ATTTTCATTTCTAATCAGAGTAGGCAGCGCGCAATTTATTTCGGATAGGACGCCGCAATAGCAAGGGCCACCATTGTGTATTAAGTAATATTATTTATATTTTTATAGATTTAATCACCAAGGTCCTGAACTGCTGAACATATTGACATCATGACAATTACTATTGGAAGTGTTATTTTATTTCTTTGCATAAATTCGACATTGGTTGTTTTGATGGTCTACATCACTATTCACCAAATTATTATATTCATAAGGAAAGGCTTCTACAAAAGAAAGATCCGAAGCTTGAGAGAGGTTTTGGAGACGTCGAATCTACCAGTCATTATGAATTTCACTCTTATTATTGCAGGATTGTTTGGTATAGCAACGATCATAGATGCTATCGTAATGAATATCTTCCTGTTAGAATGGCTGCATTGCCACGATGAATGCATACCTAAGGACACGGAAATAATATCTAAATATGATATATGTGAGAGATGTAATCATACACGCTTTCAAATCTGTCCAAACGTACAATTCAACGTGTACGTTTTATACATTTGCTTTACAACATCTATCTACATGGTATTGTGGTTCCGTCAAACGATGTTCAGCACGGAGATAACTTTGAAGAGACTGTCGTCTGAATGTTTGAAAAAATTTAGTCATTTTCAGGGATTGTTTATAATAATTTCTGCTATTTTTATCGGACTAATTTGGATATTTTACTTTTGTACATATGAATACTACCTTGTGACATTGTTTTTAGGAATTCAACTTGAAATACAAATTGGATTGCTTACTCTCTTTCTGATTCCTTTAATTAAGCACCAACGCAGCTTGAAGTATTTGCATCAGAATCAAAGACCTTCTGATCATCTTGTAAGACTCATGAAACGATCTATCACAGCAGCCATTATTGCTTCTATTACAGATATAGTAACAATGGGAATTGTACTCGCTTTTCACATCTATTTTTTGTCTGTAAATTCCTTCATCAATATGTGTTGTGTTTTATTCTGTTTTGCCGATTGGAAAACAAAATTATTTCCTTGTGTTGTGTTATGTGAAAGGGATAACGAGGCAGCCGAACAAGTTCCTCCAAATGATAACATAGCTGAAGATGCAGTGTAAATCACGATATAATCCCTGTTTTTGTTTTGGTTTTGTTGGTGACATTAATCGGGAATATTTTCTATTAATTTTACTTGAAGTTTCTCTTTTTTTAGTTATACTTGCTGTAAATATTAATATTTTGAGATCAAATAGAACATTTTGCAAATAAATTTGTGGATAGGATCTGAGTTTAGGGGGCGGCTTTGTACCGGGTTCAGTTTGAAATCGACGAGCGAACAACTTGGTTATAACACCATAATAAGCTATCATATTGTATAGATACCTACGTATACGATGTCAGAGATGTCATAGTCGAAGTAAAGTTATTTTTATAATCTTTTCGCAAATCGCATTCGAAATTACAAGTAATAAATAGGTATACACGCAGTTTTAATATGGATGAAAGTTTTACGAACAAGCCGATTATGGAGCTTATCGGATAACGATGAAAAAATAAGCATTATGTTCCAATCAAATTGAGTCCCAAAAATTTCGTATACTAATATAAATTTGAATTCGAATGAATACTTTAGGCGGGGTCGGATTTAGACGCTAAGAGACCCTCCAATACGTTCTGAATATATAACAAATAAGAGTAGTTTTAAATACGGTCACACTATTTGTCATATTTTACAATATTCACAGGTATATGGATCTCCGGGCATTTCAATAAAAATAAAAAATAAATAAAAAATTTAAAACGACTCATTGTTTTAAAACAGAATGTTTTTTTTTAAATTGATAAAAAATAAAAATAAAATAATAAAAAACTATTTGCAATACTATTGTCAAGTTAATTTTGTCAAGTTAATTTGTTAAATTTAGGTTTTGCGTCTACTGAATAGGACTACAGGTATAAAGAGACATGCAAAACACCAAAATTCACTGACTTTGTTAACTATGAATCCATAACTATTATACATGTGTCCATCAGCCCCTTCACAAATTATATTGTTAACGCTGAATATATTTTGCTCTTCATAACTAATATGAGAACTATGCTCAAATATACGGACACAAAATCCATAACGAAATATTTACCATGATTTTCGTGGAAATGTGGTATTTTTTGTCCCTAGTGTCCCATGGGAAATACAAATGTGTGCTGTCCCATCCCATTCCATGGGAAGTTCCCCATGATTGTCATTGAATAAAACCTTTGAGATATAAATCAAAATAAATGATTTTCAATATTTCGTAATGTTTCATAAAGTTATAATTACACTCTACTTCACAATATATTTTTGTTCCAATATTATGCTAGGTTTTAGCCATTTTTACAATATCAAGCAAATTTCCATGAATTGTCGTGTGTGTAAAAAAATAAACAAAAAAGTAAAAGCAATGCGTAATATTGTAATATTTTCAACAAGTGCGCACTTGCTGCATTGATGTAGAGCTCCAATGATGTTATTATAACTTGTATGTATCTATCATAAATTGATTCAGAAGTGTAATAAAGCGTCCCTTCTCACTAGTACCTGACCTGTCGTTTTCAATGTATTTAACGAAGTATGAATTATCGTTAATAGGTGTTTACTTCTGTACACACGTACGGTGTATATGCAAAGCGACTTATGCATCGTGAGAATGCCTGAGGGTATTTTGATAGTAATCAAAATATTTTATGACCCATCCTTCGACATATTCGCACGCCTGTCATTTAGCGCTTTGACATTGTTCCAGTTCACACTATGAAAGTGTTATTATTATTATATCATATTTGTACAAGGTCGATAGATACTCTTTTGATTAGGTTGAGTAAATCGAAAGGCGTGTATATCAATATTAAATGCACAGTATAGACATTTTGCATTCGATTCAGTATGGCTTCTTCATTAGTACTAACATTATTCGTAATGATAGATCGGCAAGAGGCTGAAGTTGGGCCCCATAGATAATTTTCGACTACGCCCCAACTACCTATAGTTAACTAGTATATATATATATAAGATCTGATGGCGAGAAATGTTTGCTACTGTGCGAAAAGAGTGATTACTTTATGCTTGCAGAGGGAGATTGTAAAGATTGACGGGCGCTACAATACCCTACCTCACATACTCGCCGGGATTGATATAGTTATAGATGAGGCAATTTTACAAAAAGTTGTTTTTGTGGGGTGAAGGAAAAGTGGTTGAAAATAAGCTGATGACAGTATGTTAATTTGTTTACTTAACGTAAGCCTGTTTTAGTCCGTGGTTATTGTCTTTGGCAAAATAGTATTAAACGTAATTAGATGAATATGATATCCTACAGTAGGTCTAATCACAAGATAACGATAACTCGATCCCACATGTAATGAGGCAGAATGCGTAAAAGCTTAAGGTCACTCAGGTCGTAATATAAAAAGGCTTATCTGCAATCTATCTCGCTACAAGACAAATAAAGGGATTACAGGTATATTTGGTCAATAAAAGTCGCTCCAAAATGTAATTTCCCTGCGTATGCTTCACGTTACTATTTGGATTTCTTCGAGTCATATAGAATAGGTGGGTCGTCTACAATAACTGATGTAGTGCGAGAAATATTAGAAACAATGATACAATGCTTATTGTAAATAGCTTAATTTTCCCTGTAAGACGTTGCGTGGTGAAAAAAAAGAAAAATTAGCGGGATATTCAGATTAAAGTTTTCAAATTAGTATAGTTATAACGAGTTCGCGATAAGAGATATTTCGCAGTTGTATGGACTATATTTTATCGCGTATGGAAATATAAAATAAATATATTTTGATTCAGTTCAAAATAACATGTCAAAGTCGTTCGCAAAAACTTCACATAAATCTACGTTGAATTATATTGCTACTTGAGATTTCTACGTATTGGCAAAAACAAATCCTTCCGGATTAATAAATCCACAGTATCTACATTCAAGTTTGTCGACTTGTAGAGATATCATACGACAACCATGACAGTTTATTTTTTCATCGAAAAGCATTTTCAATTACAGACAGATTACCTCAATGAATTTGGATTGGCGGTCTAGATTTTGTACGGAACGTCAAATTCTCGAGAGGTTATCTTTCTGCCATAGCAACCAAAATTACAGCAAAAATACTTGACAGACTATGTGACATATTTGAGCGTAATAGACTTTTTACATTTATATTTGATAACTTATTATAATTCTGTATCATAAAATCTTAATACGAAATACGTAACAAAAAGACTTTTATATCTTGTGGATATTGAAAGTGAGTAAAAAGAAAGAACACACTTGTTTATCAAAGATTGCAGTGCAAATTCTCACCAGTGCACTCGAATGAACCTAAATGTTTCGATAACGGTTTATGTCGAAGTTCAATGTGATTGATTTATTTAAAATATATAACGCCGATGGCAAATTCGTTTATTTATATATTAGGTTGGTTTTTATCACAACCACAATATATATACTGGCAACACAAGACGACGTATCCTCGAAGTACCGAAGTTACAACACTAGTCATAGTCACGCTAATTCAGCGTAGAAATTACGTTTTTCTCGCCACTATAACGTGTTGTGTTTAAGATTATAATTAATATGCTGATATATATAGAAACTATAATGAATAGATTATTTTAACTTAATCAATATTTTCTCCCCTGTTTGTTACAATTTAAGAAACTGTGAATTGAAAGATACATCCACAGAGCATGAGGATTGGAATTATTTAAGTACAGAAATTTTGTCGACAATCTGTTACATCTAAAATTTATATATAAATGGAAACGAGTTGTCCCTATTATAGTAAAAAAAAAAATTGAGGTCGATAGGATATAAAGATAAAAGCAATATAGTTTTTTGGAAATAAAAATATTGGTACGCTGCAAATTGAGTTAAATGTGATGAATATTTTCTGAATTATTTTCCCCAATTCGAATACTTTCCGAACGTACCTAACATCTATTCATTTTTAAAAGTATATGTAGTGTAAATATAAAATGACCTTTGCACCGGACAAGAAATCAAAGAAGACTACCGTACTAAATTTATTGGTGAAGAAGAAGAAGATATCACACTATGACGACTTCGTTTTCGAGATTCCATCTTCCGAATTTATTAGAGCATACCTGTCTAACAAGGTAAAGTATAATAAGCTTTCATAAAAAGGTGTGTGGGTTGCCCACGCTGTAGTAGCTAATCATTTGTCATCTGTCCACTTTATCGCATTGAACCACTCACAATGGAAAGGTTGGGTAATCAGAGATGTCGTTATTCAGAAAATGATTTTATTAAAATCCCCAAAATATATTGTTCAAGCCATATAGTATGTTTAACTGCCTTCCGAATTCTCAAAGAAAAGTTTTGTAAATACGATGTAGTGAATGTATCCCAATTGCTTATAAAGAAGTAGGGCCTCTGGGAATGTGCAATAAAATTTATTTCATGCTTCTATTCAACATAGTCTTCAAATATTACAGAAAATTGAGTATTGAATATTGTAAAGTTGTAAGTAATTAGAAGGTCATGCGATACTGTAGCGTAGAGGGTAGGCACAAATTTGTTGTCAAAAAGTCACCTAAAATGAATCAATTCCTATTTCTCATCTTTTGTTTTATTTATCCGATATCAGTTTCGAAGTTTGCGAATGACAATGGCTATTGTCATGTTATCCATGTACTGCATCACACTTGTCTTTGTGTTGAAAAGTCGACTCGATGCCAGAGGGTCAGCACTTGATGTTATACACAAAATATCTCGACTGTCGAAACGAAACTTGGCTGATGAAGTCATGTCACAACGGAAAATACTCGAGGTATATTATATGTGAACGTTTGTGATTAATGTTGTTGTTAATTTCTATGTTATTATTTAATATTGATTTTATTTGAATGTTTCACAGAAAAAATAAAAGTAAAACATACCATAGCCTCCGGCTTTTTATTTTATTTTCGTGCTCTTTAAGCAATTTCATTGCGTATTTTTAATTCCACTCGAAAGTGAAGTTTTCCGAAATATAATGCTCAGGGCCGCTTTATGATTTCGGGTTATATAAGATGCATTTTGTATGTTTATGTTGGAACAAAAACCAGAAATTATCTATCGACTTATCGTGGTTGATAAATCAGGACGAAGGTTTTACATCAAAATACTCTATGCTTCAATTTTTTAGTACTTTCACCATCTATTGCATTTAAAGGTAAAATTATTCATTATCATTATTCAAGAATCATTAAAATTTTTGAGTGGGTATATTTTACTAGTAGACATGTTTAAATTTGTGTATTTACGGTAACATGTGTATCTGAGGATACTTTCTGAATATTCCATACAAATACACTTGAGTGTATAATTTCCTAATTTTTTATCTCTAGGCAGTATCTCAATATGAAACTTCCAGCGTAACTCCAGCAGCAACAGTGTTTACAAAGCCTCCACCGATTCGACAAATAAAATTAGCAGAATTAAGAGAAATCCCATCAAATCAATATATCGCTTCAGTTTCATCCCCTGTTCTTCATAAGAAATCGATGTCAGCATTTGGTGCTTGGATGATGGTAAATAAATTTCGTTTGTGTAAGACCTCGTCACTGGCTCAAAACTATTTTCGAGTTTTTTCCTATCATTTTTTTGTAAATACACTGAAAATGTGAAATGCTTATTCTACACCGTGTTTGAATAAATTGAATTCCGTTTACATAAAACAAAAAATGCAACCCCATTCCTATTCCGGTTTTATACACGCAGGAAATCGACATTGCCAATAAATAAGTCTCTCTCACATGCAATGAAGTCTAACTGATATTAGTCAGTTCTTCCCAACATTCTTCAGCGACTCACATTTATTGCCATTTTTTTGTGTGACCCACAAGGTAGGGTGACCATCCGTCTTCTATTTGGAGGATTTGCCCACCATTTTCGTTTAAAATTACGTCCTTCGTGATCGCTCTAAAAAAATCAAAATCTCTTTCTACACGGGATTAAATATTTGAAATTCTTTTATGATACAATCAACAGTTTTTGATGTGTTAAGTAAGAAAAGGTTTTTGCGTGCGCAACACCTTATTCCCAATTTACTAATTAATTGTAGCTCAGTTTTACGAACAAATCGAATGTAGGAAGTAAGTGTATATAGATTAATAAAAATTGAGACGTGTTTACTTTCACTAAGCGATACATTTGTGGCAAAGAATTTTTCATTGTTAAATTACCATCCGTTCCGGAGGACCTCAAAATTAAGATAAGTCATAAGGTAGGCTATGTCTATTTCGGAAAAAATCTACGAACAAACGATTTTAACCGCATTCGAATGCGGTTTGATGTTAGGGAAACGAAGGACTTCAACTACCAACATTTTGGAGGTATCATATCATCTTCCGGATCTCTACTATGAAATTTTCAAACATCAAAAAACGGTTGCTTCAGGCACCATTGTGATATATACTACAATGACTATTCCCACACAGGGTATTGGTATCTCCGGTTACACCACAATGATCATTTCCTACAATCTTGTACAAAATTAGCGTTCTGGATTCAGGATTCAATACAATGGTGTTCGACATACTTAGTGCATACTAGTTTATGACATGAAATCGTATTGTTCGCAATTATGTTTTACGTCATTTCACCTTGTATTTTGCAATTTAGTAAAGTTTCGATTTTGGCGGAAAATTACGTCAGTAGACCCAGTCAAATATGTCAAAAAGAAAAACCCTTTTTACCCAGGAACTAAAACAAAAGTATCCGTGCTTTAGAAAAAAGTGGAACTGATATAAGAGAAAAGAAACGATGTATCCTCATGCAATTTACTGTTAATGCAAAACTTGAGCTTGCATATTGAATATTATCAGATAGAGTCAATAGACGACAAGCTCACACGCAAAGTAGTATTAACGCTCAACACATTATGATTTCAGCCCAAAATTATTTCATGCCCTAAGAAAATCACATTTGATGTAATCAGAGTCCTATTTCCTCACTACAACCTTTCGAGCATTCCTTTTTTTTCTTCTATCACTTCCCCTCCCCCCTTTTTTTCTAAGAAATTATTCATTCTGTGGCTTACATTACACGAAACAAACAAAGTTAGGCTGTTAAAATAAAATATATTTACTTCTTAGCCAGTATTTAAAATGTAACTCATTGGACATAAGATTATCAATTCCATAGTCTACCTACAGTTTCCAACATGTGGGGGCTTACGGAAATTATTACCGAAACACAGCGCATACTTCCAATTGTTACGTAATGATAAAGCCACAATTTACGGATCAAATCAAAAACTCTATCCAAAATTCGTAAATACTTCGCGACCCACTGGTTAGGAAGCACTGGTGTAGGGCAATACCAGTATACCACCCTAAAAAAAGACCGTTTTTGTGACGATCAGATCGCAATCTAAAACGGCACCGTTATATTATTACTTTACGCAGGACCCAACTTCTTCAAATGAGACTATTTACGTGATGGATCATTACTACCGCAACACACATATCTTGTCTTTTAAAAGTCTGGACGATTTCACAAACAATACAATACTATCAGACTATGAAATTCCAGTTCAATGGGGCGGTACGGGTCATACTGTTTACAGAGGCCATTTATACTTCAACAGGTGAGAGTGGAAAGGTATTATTATTATTTGATTCATAAAACGTTGAAAGGCTTATCTGACCAATCACTGATATTTAAATCGAGAATCCTATAATTAGACACGAAATGTGCGTATGGATCGCTTTGCGAAATTATTCCTTGTGAAAAAATCCATTTTTTCTACAACAAATGGACTAATCGAACTTACATTTGTAGAACCCAAGTACGGAAGGAATCGCCAGAAAGCCATTAATTTAATTTTTACCATTAATTTTATTAAACCTTTTCAAAATTTCTCTGAATTCAATAAGGCTCGACATTACACTTATCAAATTTTAGCGCATGTGACGTTCTATCAGACTAGTATGGCATATTTTCAGCAAACCCGACGCTCGGCTTAGTTCGTACCGGTATCGATGTAAATTGATACGATGTTAGTCTTGTTTGTAATTTTATTTAGAGCATTTCAATGACTAGATTTCTCTTTGTAAATCAAATAGACCGTCGGTACTTTTGTTTGTCATTTGACTCTCGTGTCCATATATTTGAGCCTTTTTCTCGTGTTTGCATCTACAATAGTTTATTGGACACGTAGTAGGCTTGCACGTAATTTACGGATTTACGGAATTACGGAATTATTTCGAGTTACGGAAGCGAAGTTACGAATTACGTAAATTCGTAATCATTGGTGGAGCGCTTTCGCGATTGAAACGAGCTCTCTATAGAGCAGTCAATTCCGTCAATTGTAAAAAATTGAAGTTTAATCGGTAGAAGAAGTTAAAGTTCCGGTATTCGCAGCCGTTTTTATCTCTCTTGTTACGCAGATGGAGAAGGCATAACGCGTTGCCATTTACTAACCTATTATCAACTTATCTAGCATGGCAAATGTACATATTAAGCGTAGATATGGGATAGAATTGTGTTGAGACCGATGGACGCCAACACACCTGGTTTCAACTTCTTCGGGTGAAATGACTAAAGAATGTAAGAGACAACTTGCCAAACATGGTCTATTTGTAAATGCCGTGATAATTAATGTCGCGCTTATCAAACAGCAATATGACGACGGAAGAGAAATTGCGTAATGAACCAACGCAACTTAGTCTTTTCGGCATCGGTAAAGCGATTCAGACGGCAGAGAAACAACAAAAAGTCGGGATTTCCCATGTTCATTCTGCGCGAGATCCATTTTCTATTACAAAATCTTGATGTTCTGTTACCGCTTTTATCGTTATATATCTGTCCGGACTTGGCCTTGTTTTCACAATGCCTCGTACTATTTCGGCCAAATATGTCTTTACAATAGCTTTAAGTCTTTACCAAATGCGGCAACTTATTTTGATTTATCGTCGACTCAAATACCACCGGCCCTCGACCAAACTTGTGTCAATCAATAACTAACAAGTCTTCGTCGCGAGGCAAGCGCAAGTATAATCAAACGAGAGAATACGCTCGTCGTTGATTTATAAATTAGAAACCCGGAATTTTTATTTAATACGAAACTCGTATTAATACGTTAATACGATTTTAAAAAAGTCAACTATCGTTTCATAAATTTATTACCACTTACCAGTGTTGGTAATGATAAAATTGATCGCATGAAATTGGGTGATAAAGTTGATAAAGGAAAATCAAAGCTAACACAAAAGATAAAAATCAGAATAAAATTAATTTGAATTCACTCCTTGATATTTGTCTTTAGCATCTGTCGCCGGCGTGTAGTACTGGCGGAGATATGAAAACCAAACTGTCCCAACTGTCGATGTCCCATTCGGAATAGAAGTGGATTAAATTGGTTGTTATGATAGGTTTAAAAGTGTGAATAAAATATCGCAATTACTGGGTCATTACGTAATCGATTTGGCCGTAATTACGGAATTGATTTTTGTCAATTACGTGCAAGCCTAACACGTAGTGGACATAACGATCGTTTCAATATTATGTTGTTGTTGTTGTTGTTCTTGTTCTTTGACACGTTTTTAAAAAGTCGCTTTTCTCTTCGAATACTGGACCAATTGCTTTGAAATTTTCAGTGGTTAAAGATTAATTTTTTTGCTAGAAGGTTTTACTTTTATTTATTTCAAAATTTTGCGTGAATTCTATTAAATTTGATATTTCGTCTAAAATTTTGCTGTATTATTTTTTATCCATGGGAACACGGATTTTAGTCAGTGTCATGACTGGCTGTACGTTTTGATTCTGCAAAATTCTTGCTACTGGAAATTCAGAACTTTTTCGAGGGTACCGGTAGCGTCAAAGGTACCGGTAAGGACTGATTCGCTCTGGTCTAACGTGTCCATATATTTGTGCGTAGCTCACTTGTTGTTGATTTGTTTTGACGACGAGATTTTGTGTGATGTATCTCAACTAACAGCGGTTAATTGAGGGCGTGCCTGGTGTGAAATTTTTCTGAAACGTCGTATTCAATCTAGCAATTATCGATGACATAAACCTGTTACTTGGCGCAAATGTAAACAACGTCATTGAAATTTTCAGGAAACGAACTGTTTCATTCTGATAATCAAAACAGCCGTGAGACATATCATGCCTGCACCGTGAACGTAGACCTATAATTGCTATCTCGTCCTGTTGTTTACATCTTATTATGAACTACTTTATACAAAGACTTTCAGTTGATTTATCATTCGTGTGAAATTCTGCTGAAAGCAATATCACACCAGTTAACAATGAGCAATTTTACCTTTTATGATGAATCACAAAACTGAATAGCTTGGTATTAGATTTCATTCAACCCAAATTCAAAGTACACTAGATTTAGAATACATCTGAAGTAAAATACGGCACAAATTAAATCTACTATCTAAAGATCAATGCTCAAATACATGTCCCTAAGGTCCAACGAATAACCGCAGCGCCGGTAACTCATGCAGACTCACACTGAAGTGTGGCTGATTATTGAGTTCGCAAAATTAAGACCAAGGACAGTCGTGACGTAGTGGTCACGCTTGAATCGGCTCATTCTTTATTGAGAAAAGCGATTTGTTACGCAAAAAGTCGCCGCAACAACAACAAGACAAACAACAACAAAGATTTAGCAAAACGATCTATACAGCCACTTCGTGACCAATAGAAAATCAAATGGGCAGTGTATTGCTTATGCTAGCCCAAGTGTGCGAACTGTAAAATCTAATGACAACAACACACTGCAGTACAAAAATTATTGTTGTCTGCTGTTGAATTGAATATTGTTAACGAACCAAGGAAGGGATTTATAGTGAGGAACATGGTATATTGGTGTCAAAAAATCTGCTAACAAATTCAGAATTCTTTCATTTCAGATACAATTCTTCAACGATGTGCAAATATAAATTCCAAACAAGAGAGATCGTTTTGTGTAAAAATTTACCGAAGGCAGGGTATGGAAATATGGCACCTTACCAATGGGCAGGAAGCACTGATATTGATTTTGCAGCGGATGAATCGGGATTGTGGGTTATTTATGCAACCCCTGAAAGCAATTGGAACATCACAATAGCAAAATTAAACGAAGAAACTCTGGATGTAAGCTCGTTGAATGCTAGATAATGTTAGGCATTTTATCTTTATTTTAAAAAACTATTCTTCTATCCATCGGAACCGATAACCGGACAAGAGGCCATGATTCGCAATATCATTATAACGTCCGATTCCCTTCCCCATTAACTTGGGATATTATAAACTATCGGAACTCATATTCATTTTATATATATATACATTGTGTTAGAAATATATGTAAAATTGGAAAAGTAATGAAGTTTAATTTTAAGAAGAAACTTGATGCAACCCCAAATTTTCGGCCATCTGTAGTTTACCTTCAGTGAACATATTTTAAATATTCAAACCTCTGGTGGCGACATTTCAATATGCAGTATTAACATACGACGCCGTGAAAAAACTTTCTCAATCTGAAATCTATAACCCGACCCCTGCTTTTTCATTTAAATTTGCCATTTTGTATTTCTTTGTTATTTTAGGTTGAAAAAATGTGGATGACCAATTATAGGAAACGATCAGCTGCAAATGCATTTATTGTAAATGGCGTGTTATATACTTTGCACCGACCCCTGCTTTTTCATTTGAATTTGCCATTTTGTATTTCTTTGTTATTTTAGGTTGAAAAAATGTGGATGACCAATTATAGGAAACGATCAGCTGCAAATGCATTTATTGTAAATGGCGTGTTATATACTTTGCACCGATATGATTCACCACAAACAATGCTAAACTATGCATTTGATACAACAACATCTACTTTTTTTTGGCCGAAAATTCCGTTCGAAATCAAGTAAGAAAGAATAGAGTTTTGTAATTATTACAATAGATCGATAATAACGGTACCGGGATGAGAGTGCCAAGACGCCAAGTGCAACTATAATATATTAACCGATTTCCATATCTTATCTGAAATAGGTTTGGATCAGTTTCAAGTCTCGATTATGACCACAGAATGCAGAAGCTATACGTATGGGACCGTGGTCACCAGTTATCTTATGACGTCACATTTAAATGAAGGACATGAGCGGCAGCATAAAAATAAAGATATGGATTTGTCGATCCTGAGGGCATTGAAGCAAAAGCGTGCCCCGTGGTTGGCCTCGAACGTTCAACTTGTTTTAAGAGAAAGTTACGTTTCGAAAATTTAAACTGTGAGTGCGGCTAGTTAGTAATTCCATTTTTTGTCAATTTATAGTAATTTTATTACTTTGATAAAAAATGCGCAAAGCGTAATTAAAACAATATTTCTGTTATGCTTATGAAAATTTTTGCAATGTGTTGAAAATCAGACCGAACTGATAAAAACTCCGAGGACCATTTTTAGTTGGGTGCTTTCAGTCCGAGTTTTTAGTAAAATAACAATGGCAAAGGTACGTCCGTGCATAATAATGAAAGTTGGGGAAAACAAGACGCTTAACAAAAAATAACATCGCGTAGAAATAAATAAAAATATATTTCGAAACATATGTATTTTATTCTGTCCACTTTTACTTTATTTTTCATATATTATAAAAAAAAACAGATCAATGATAAATTTGTTATTTTTTCTTACTGTGATTGCTTGCTTTTGCCGCTGATACGTGACAAAATGCGATTCGTGTGGTGAATTAAATATTGAAATTTTCTTGATATGGTCCCTGTTCATCAATCGGAGGAAAGTTTCAGAAATCTAGTTCTGTACACGTCGTCAGGCTGAGAAAACAGCAACTGCAGCAGGCTCCAGCTGTTCTCAAGCACGTGACAACAAAGTAGTATTGATGTGACAATATCTTATTTGTACTGACCACAGACTTGAAACTACAGCCTGAAATTCAAATTAATTGAGTTAAAAATTAGCTCATGTAAAATCAGGGTCTCTGAAAACGGGCTCCGGCAATAACTCCACATTATTGGACGTGCACTCGGGAGATTAATTCATACCAATCTCTTAATCCCGGTTGTTGGTGAACGCCTCTAAGTGCTAGGAACAATGCTTGCTCGCTAATAGCACACCGTGAACTCGCAGGTTTGAATCTTCTAAAACAGAGGTTTTCAAAGCTGGCCAAATCGTCCCAATGTGGGCGTTTGCGATAACTGTAGGGACGCTGGCTGCGAATTGAGCAATTTGGGGCACTGCCTGTCAGATAGGGCATTGTCAACAAGTCGGCCAGTTTTACATGAAACTTAATATAAAATTTGACATTTGTATACTATTTTCATGTTTTGACCTAGTCTACGTTTAATTTCAGTGTTGGGAACTTCTTTGTTAATCCATTGTTATGCTTTGTAATAGGCCTAATACCTGCCTGGCGTACTGATCAGGTTTATTGGCACTTTAAATATTGCCCTTCTACGCTGTCGAGCATGTTTCATTGTTAGAACAAAATGTAGGCAAAATAGTAGAAGTTACCTACAATATGGACTTATTCCAGTCCGAAATCTTCTTTACTGTGTAAAGAAACATTTTCCAATGAGCGATGAAACCGTCAAGCAGTTAGTTCGATAAGTGTGCTTGTACAGTCCCTATTGGATATTATCGTATGGACGACTGACTAAGAAGACATGCTTAATTTCGTATAGTTCAGAATTTATATATATAAATTACAGCCAAACTTGGTGCCTACAAAGTATCAAGGTACAAAATATTTGTGTTAAAATATCATGTTAATTAACTATAAAGGAGAGAGGACGCCGCACATTTGTGTTTTATTGAGGTAGTGTTGCGCAGGTATCCCGGTAGCTTAACAATGTACATTTCTTACCATTAGGAGACGAATGTAATGACAACTTGCACTGATATCGAGAAGAGTTCTTTCTATCCACCTGACAATTTTTAATTAAGTCTGAAGCTCTGTAGGAATGAGAAAATTTTATACAATGGGGATTTCATGACGTGTTATCTTCACTTTCGGGATACTTTAAAACTTAGAGCTTTATTAAAGGCGGTTCTCAAATTGTTGTGTTGGAGTCGTGTTTCGCATATCGTGGAGCACCAAAGGAATTTGTAGTTAATTGAAAATTAAATTCCCCACTCAATTTCAAGTATGCATAACATACGCAAATACATTTTAATTGGATTTCTCTAAATAATCAGATAAAGCGCAGGTTAAAGTTTCGGGTTACTTCTTCACATTAAACGGGTATTTTAATAATTGCCATAATAGGAGTCGTCTCAAGAATACTGGCGCTTTGCCCTCAGTCTGTTACGATGTTACTGTACAATACATAGGTCTTCGTCTTTCCTTCTTTTCTTACCGACTTTTCCCGCTCTGGCCGACTACCAACACTTGACACCAGAAAAAAGGCACAAGGCACAGAAAAAACAAAATAAACGAATAAAACAACACAGCTAAAATGAATAAAAAATACCAAAAAAGCAGCGCATGGATTCACATGGTAAATGCACGTCCGACACATGATTTGAAACACACATAAACTCCAAATGAATTTGCCGATAGGCTCAGTTATGTTAAGCATGAATCAGTAAAATAGATAATATTAATATTACCCATTTTATCATATACAATTAACTTGGATAAATAGCTAATTGAACTTAGCACAGATCGATTATGTGTTGACTTTGCAACACCGGTTGTCAAAATCAGAATTTGTATGATGCATCAATTTGAAAAACATTACGCTAAACAACATGTTGCTGAAAAGGGAATAATTGAATCATCAAATATTTCAAAGGTACCAGAACTGCTCCCACAACGTCTTTCTCTGCACTGACATTGTCGCAGGCTCGTCATCCATCCATTACATGCAGTGAAGTCATTAGTCGACCCTACCTGTAAGATATCTGAAGTGTAAGATATGGAAGGCTAGTTTGTTTTATCTGTTTCAGCATTATCAGGTAAATCCATTCGGATTGTTTTGCACGAGTCACTACGATGATTATTATTATTCAAATTGAGATTAAATTGGAGGATATATTTCAGGTCCATTACTCTACAAGACACTAAAGCCCAGTGAAATTTAAAACTCGAAATTTTAAAGTGAAATTTGATAACGTCTACTTTTTCATTTGACTCAATTGGCCGCAAATAATTACCAATTCATATCGGCAAATGGGTTGGTGTATACGTATATGATTAAAAAAACAAACTGGATCGATCTTGAGTTCATGAAACGATAAGATTTGACATCCCAGGCGTTTTTTAACTAAAATGGGAATGGATAAATGGAAAAGCGAATACTATTAAACCATTAGACGCACGGTAAAGGCGATTTACTTCAGTAAAGTCTAGTAACTTTCGAAAATCAACTCCAATGCCAAACAAAACATAGTCAACAAATTCACAGTGAGACAAATCTTCACGTCATAGATCAGTTCAACTTTCGATCAAGTCATCTGGAGTGGCACAAATGCAAAAACATGGTATATATTAGAATTAATGTAGCTAATTGAAATATTATGATATTTCTATCTCGAATTTCATGATCTTAGTGATGTGAATAATTTAGTTTTAGCCGAACTGCTTGTCGAATCGTTGATATACACTCTAGTAATAGTTTACGTTGTACAGGGAAAGAAATGTGAAAATTTTCAAGAACGAATCATATTCATTTTCAAAGTAAGCTACGACCTAAGATCACCAAATACGGGACACGCAAATATTTGGCACTTCATTTCAACATATTCCTCAGCCTCCCCTATTATCTAAGTTTTGGAGTCTGGGCAACATATTATACCCTATTTTTCACGACGGTTTGAAACATCGATGAGTCCTTGTTCAATCAATTATTAAATCTTTTTTGAACATGGGTCATTCTGCTTCAAATAATAAAACACATCCGAGAAAATATAAAATATGCCTATTTATTGATTGGTGGTGAACATAAACTTATTAGATTGGATTTATTTTAAATCTATTTCAAATTTTTTTTAAATTCACTTTACTTTTACAAAAAATTTTACATATCAATTATATATCAATTTTACAATCGGGTTATCTGTAGGCTCAGACCAGATCATATCCTACTTCAGTGGCAAGATAGGCTGTAGATTACGAATAATTTAACATTAGCGTGTAATATTTACCCCTGTGTGGGACTATCTTCGAATGTTTGCAAATGTATTTTCTCCAGTCTATCATCGATATTTCTTTGTGCAGCATTGATCCACACAGTTGTCAAACCATGTAGTGAATCTGAATATATATGAATACTAGATAAATAAAGGTATTCACACACGTAATAAGTTTTATATAAAAGGCTTCGCGTATGTCTTCAATTGCGTACAATAAAACATAACCAGCTTTACGTTTAAATTGAATGCTATGAAACGGGTGTTGCTAACGTTATATTCATAGTAGCCTAGTACCAGGAATAATAACAAAATACTTTTTAACACATTATTGGTCGCAATTGCACGTATAGGTGAATGGAACCTATAGACTAGGTATTAGAAACTAGGTATTAGAAACTAGGTATTAGAACCTTGGGTGTCGCAGCTCGATAACCAGTTTTGGTTCCCCGCGGCTTCCCTTCCCCAGTAACTTAAATATCATTTTTTCTTTATATTTTTGCATGTTTTTTTTTGTTCTTTACTGGTTGGAAAAAATAAACTTGACTTGACTAATATTGACCCACGTCACGAATGCAACCCACTGAAATGTTAGAAAAACGTGTGCATGAAAACAATAAATATCGAGCAAAATGAAAAAAAAGAGTCTCACTTATTCCGGTAACCAAGACTCGCTCGATTTGTTCGTTCAACTTTGTATGCATACCTAAATATTTTAAAATATTCGTCTCATTTTATCTCGGAAGGTCCACAATTCAACTTTTTTGATTAATATGTTGGTTAACTCCGCATCATCGACCGCTAAAATCTTGATGAGCCTGAACCCCTCAAGTTTTATAATTTTTTTCCATTTATAATACATAATACCAAGAATAGCAGAATCATAGCAGAACCTTATTATATATATCTATTTTAATTATCAAAAAACATCTGCTTACCCCAATGTTGCGTCGAAAGAATCAACGACTACGTTGAATAGCCCAAAGTCCTACGAAACAGACGAACCGTCCATCACGCACCGCAGTGACTAGTTGGGAAAAGCGACGCGCTTCTCCTCATTCCCGCCCAAACTGATTAGCGATATCACATAATTAATTAACTGTAATCAAATCGGAGAAAGAATTGAGTAATTAATCGGGTTACATAGGGTCGATCCCTTGGTCTGGCGACATCATGCTTCAAGAGATGTTTGCGGTAAACACCATGTTGGTGCGAATTTTACAAATAACAACGAATATTTTTGCAAGGTGCAGAGTTTGATTGACTTATGGTTATAACCAGTGGTGGAATTCAAATCTTTGATGAGCAGGTTCCATCACAAAAGTCATATTTTCCAGCCGGTTCTGTTACAAAAAGTCATGTTTTTTTCAGTAATGCTAACCGGTTCGCTGATCTCATAAAACTCCGTTAGACGGTTCTATAGAACCGGTGCAAACCGGCTGAATCCCATCACTGGTTAGGCCTATAGCATAGCAATTATTGTCGTTTGATTACGGTATTAAAAGTTTAAGTATATATATATGTTATTCCTTTTCTTCTTTTTCAAGTGGTACTTTATTTAAAATTTAGTAATATTTAAGACAAACTTTTCAAATAATATACTGCTACTGGTAGTTTGAACCCTGGCATGTTCTATTAATGGCTCTATTCCTAGGATTAAGATTGGCGTGAGTAGGATGCCCGACTGTACTTAAATTTATAATTGCGAGTACGTTAGTAAAGAATGCATATTAGTGCTATTGGTTTCCCATAATTCGAGTTTGTTGTTTTCTCTGAACAAATATAGAATCGTCGAATTATAGTGCGAGACATACCCAATACGTAGTATGATTTGTACACTGTACATATATATGGATATTAGTTTTATTCCCGTTCTTTCGGTTGAGCCAAAGACAAATTTGCAAGCGACAATTCTTTTAGGCAATTTCATCGTTCATTTTGGTAATCCTTTTAGTATCGGATAATTCGAATAATTTGCTCGAATATCGACTCGACGTCGAAGTGGTAACTCTGTCAATTCTTGCTTTGTTTTCCTGGGAACGAAAATATTCAAGTAGCTGACGGAAGTTGTGTGCTTTGCGTTCCTCGAGAACGCACCGATAAATTTCGCGATACTGCGAAAGTATTATTACAAGCATTTAGACTTACCATCAACTTAGTGATTTACCAAGGTCTCCCTGTCCTTACTATTTAAACTGTGTAGGTCAGACGCGCCAACAAAACATTCGGATAGACTATGTCATAAATTGAATATATCGAAAAAAAATTTGTGAAGAATTACGGATCCTTGAGCGGTCTTAATGTTTTTGCGGCCCTGGACTATGATAATGATGCTCCTTATTTCTAATTTCAAAAATAATGAGTAGGAATGAAATGTTGGTAATATTATGATTTGAATCATTAAACTAAGCAACCTAGCAAACCCTCTAAACACGCCACTAAGTTTCCAAAGTTCCAAATTATTTAAGGAAAAAAAGTCAAGCTTTAGATACGATTATAATCTTGGCACTGAAAACACTTGACAAAACTATTTGGAAAATATGAAAACACTTACGAAACACACTTATGATTGGAACTTGTATGCCACTTGTTGTTTAGCATTATGCAAGCGGTTTAGCACTTTGAATCATACTATAACTTTCCTGAATTTATCCCTATTCGTCGAAGAAGTCACCCATGTTTAGAGCGAGAGAATACAACGAGAGTGGTCAAAGTATCGCAACGAATAATTAATTTCAAGAGGTCATCACAAAAAATTTCAAAGTGAAAAACGAATCATATGGAGCCCACAGAAAGTTTTAAAAAAGTTCAAAGTCTCTTAGTGAAAAATACAATCTTTTATCACTGAAAATTTAAAGGCGATTTTTCCATACGGTAACAAGAAGAAGAAAAATACCAACAAGAACAACAATATTATATTAACACCGTGATATGATCCATTTCGTGTCCAATGAAGGACGGTTGGCAACCCTACATAGGACAGCTTCTGACTAAAATGAAGCCGGGTAATATTTGGTTGATCGCATTTCACCAGGCTCCCATCTCACTTTACCAGGTAATAAGTTACTTTTGGAGAAAATATTATAATCTTGTTTCCGATACCTCACTCTCGCACCGGGTAGCTGTGCTTGCGTGCCAAGTTTTCACGCGTGTCGGGGGTTGCCCGTTTCTGCATAAGACAAATGATAAATAGAAAATACATTTATTTGGACTTTTTAGTCAGCGGGCGTTTGTTAACAAATAAGTCGTATAAGAGGGCGTTGCTGCGAAAATGTTTGAGAAACGCTGCTGTGAAGTCCTATGTTCGAAGGGATTGCCAGATGCTGCTCGTCGTTGTGCTTAGACAACCGGCGGTAGTCGATCACGGATTTCTCAGTCACGTAAATCCCATGCTTTTGGAACAATTCGATTGTTAAGTTACGCTCGTACCAGACTGTATGAGTATCCATGCCTTCTTTACTAGTTCAAAAGTAATAACGGACGTTTCGCTGATACGCTGGCTGACAAAACATCCAACCAGACGTTTCCTGAATTAGCTGACGACGAGTCGAGCAATCCTCTGCCTCTGCCAATTCCCTACACTCCTATAGGTTTTGAACCCATAAAGCTACGCAGGGTAATGAAAGCAATGCCACAGCGTGTTCTGCGAAAAGACAAAATACGAGCAATACAACGATTTTCCCCCGATCTTCCATTCGTTACCACTAAGACCAAAAGAAATCCAATATCCATAATTAATTTTATTATAAAAACGAAATTATATATATTTATATGAAACAAGATAAAATTGCCTGAGACAGTGATGTATGCAAAGATGTATTTAAACCTAATATATATAATAAAATACACTTGCAAACGAAGGAACTGTGTCATTAGATTACAGTATAATAAATACGAGCAGTAAGCAACAAACTATTCCAGAAAATAGTTGGGATTCGTTGACAATAGGTCAAAATGAAGGATTCATGCCTAGCCTCGTTGATCAGTAGACGAGAGAAATGTTTATTCTTTTTTCTTTAAACTTCAACAACTACCCATGCTCTGTTCCTAATGATCTCAAGCGCAAATTTAGATTTTGAAAAATGGTCATTCATTTGCAAAAATGTGTAATTTATGCACAATAAAATATAATAATTAGTTCCTTGAAGAACATCTGGTCTTTGGCGTACGGTTGGTGAAAAATGAAAACTGATATATTTCAAAAAACTAATTGATGGAAAAAATTAATAGAAAAGAGTAATCGAAGAGTGCATGTAAATAAACGAGGTGTTGTTGGATATAAAATTGAAGAGTAATAATAAAAGTTACACAAAATTTGAGGAAAATACATAATAACAAAAAATATTATATTTTAAAGAAGCATAAAGTCGATTTTGGTATGAACAATGTTCAAAAATATTGAAAATATACGAAATACAAAGAAAAAATTAGATATAGGGGTGGTTTCGAAATAAAAGGAATAAATGTTACTAGTATAAACAGAAGCCACCATTGAGAAATGATAACAATATACATATTTCTACTTTTAACCCAAGATTCTCATAATTTGAAGCAAGCATTAAATAGGTGCAATTGATAATAAAATAAAGATCATTTCATTATAATTGATAGGGAGTTTTAATTTCTGTGTCCAACTTGTCCCTCTCTCTATCACACTTATCCAAAATTGTGTCATTGTTCTGAGAGTGCGGATATATTTATGATATGGAATCATGCTAAGCTCTGGGTTAGGATAGATATAGTATTAATAGGGAGTGAGATTCATACAACTGGGGGGACTGTATGACAAGTGGAAAGAAATGACTTTCTGAAACACCTGTATATTTCAATGTCAAGTTCACAGTTAAATCTATTTATATTCCTTGAAACAAGTCTTTCTTACTTTTTCAAGAAACTACAACAAACTATAAATTTGAATATCATTTCATGAAATTTTCCGCTTAACTACGTAATCACAAAATCTTCAGGTCTATCGTTGATACAATTTATAACAATATTAGCAGTATTACACTAAATCACCACCGCCAGGAACTAAAGCCATCTGTCTTTGCATTGCTAAATGTCCTATGCTTTGATCATTCGGATGGATGGGTGATAGTGAGCTAGATGGGGATATTGCATATCCTGTCGCTGTCGGAACATTTGTATGATAAAACGGTGAAGTCGAAGACGTCATTCTTAGACGAGGTGATTTTGAAGATGTGGTGCGAGTCGAGGAATGTTTCGTCGGTGTCGCAGAAGTTGAAAGGTCACTTGGTGTTAAAGGTGAAAGTATGGTGTGCGGAATGGAAGTTGTGTTTGCACTTTGTAAATTGCTTTGTGTGTGAGAATATGCAGACGACCTTTGACTGGATCCTTCATATCCGTGACGATGGCTTAAAGTATCTAAAATCGAGCCTGGTTTGACGCTTGGACCAGAAATAAGATCGTGATTTGCATCGATAGATTTCCGAAACATATAGGGCTTGGTTCTGTCATGGCTAACCAACTTATGTGAAGAGTTGTTTGGTACTCCTGAAGCATGTTGCTTATTTTTTAGTGAGTGCCTCTTCTGAGTTGGTGGACTTGGCGTATGACCTCCTGCTGTAGTCAAAGTTCTGAAGATGAAGATTTAATATTTATTAACAACTAGTCAAAGAAAGGCTTAATAATATATAGCGAAAAATATGATAACTGTGAAGTGGGTTTGAGTCAGGTTGAATACATTTTCAAGTAATACACGAATGTATTACACAAATTTGCAATGTTTGTAACTAGAAAAAAGGGTAAGAGGAAGAGGAACATTTCATATGGCCAGCATCTTCACCATACTTCACAAAGAAGATAACCTAATCAAACGTCAATAAATTGTATTAATTACTTACATGAGCTTATTACCCAGACCAGGGCTACTCAACTGGCGAACCGCTGTCCGAATCAGGACCTTTCGAATATTTGATTCGGACCGCACCTAATTTTTTCATTTGAATCATTAGCCCCACTTTTATAGTTTCATTTTATAAAATGACTTTTATTGTCTTGAATATATATGAAAAGAACTATTACATCATAATAAACAATCTTGATTAGCTGATAATCATTAGCCGGTCGAGGAAGTGAGTGTTTAAGGATGCCAAAATATAATTTCTGGAAACACTGAATTTTAAAGTTTTGTATGCGGATCTTCGGTAAAAATAGTTGAGCAGCCCGGACCCAGACTTAAAAGATCAGATGCATCATAGAGTGATTAGAAGCAATAATGGACATTATTTAAATCTCATTTACGTTCGGTACGTTAGTTTTAGCAAGAATTTGTTATTTATAATCTCAATATGGAATTTTTAACCAATCATAGATTCAAAAACATCATACACATGTTTAAGCGTCTTAAATTAATATTTTTATTCAGCATAAGTTAGCTTAACATCACCTCCTATTTGATCCACTATAATCTTCTAATTTCAGATGTCTTTGAAATCTTGAACTTATCTTTGCTGGAGAAAATAAAAAGATTTTTAAAAGGGATTGACAAGAGTTGATTGATATATACATAAAAGTCAAGAATTTTTCACACTCTCTGTGAGGAGGGGGGGGGGGGGGATGGGGGGCATGATTCTGGTTAGTACGCTTTACTTATCTTTAATGAAAAAAAAATTTTTATTTTAAAATGATTGGCAAGAGTTGATATATAATAAAAGTCAAATTTCAATATTTTATAGTACGGTTTCACTCAGAGTCAGGCTCTCTACAACCTGCAACAAATATGTAATATTTCTAGTTAACAACTGTCTACATAATTTTTTTTACACTCTTTGTGAGGTGGTGGGCAGGATTTTGGTTAGTACGCGGTCTCAAAGTCAAGAAATCTGTAACTGTGACTTGAGATTAGGAAAAAGAATATTCAACCAAACACGATAAGCAAACCAGAATAATCAGCGCCGGGATGAAATTGCTGTCCATGACTCAAGGTATAATAAACTGGAATGGCCAGGTAAAGTCAATTCATTATGAAAATTTTTGAATTTGACTAAGAGCAATGATGAATCTTAGAAATAATGTGACTTCAGCCATCTTACCTTAGTTCAACAAGAAATCAAATCAAAGCTGTCACTTAAAACCTAATAAATTTAACTTACTTTATATATTTAACTAGGGTTATTTAAATAAGTTCGTAACATTTAATAAAGATATGGTTCTGTACCGTACTGCAAGGACCATAAGATGTACCAGGTTATAAGGCACATTATCAATAAATTGCTTATATTTTTTTCGTACATAATGCGCACCGGACTATAAGTCGTAACCGGTACTAATTTTAAGCATAGGCAATAAAGAATAAAGCACGATCTGATCCATACATTAGGCACAATGGCTTATAAGAATTTTTGAGAAGAAAAAAGATTTAAAGTGTACCTTATGGTCGGTAAAATACGATAATTTAGGATTTCAATTATTTGAAACGTCTCAGGGAATTCTCTCCAATGCATGAAATACAGTCAAGAATATGTGAACTACAAATTCTTTTTAAAAATTCCCAATACTTAAAAAACCAGAACAAGGACAACAAAATAAAATTTCACAAACCTGAGGCTTGTCCATGGATAGGAAGATTAGCAGGTTGAGTTCGTAGTTGAGTTGGAACAAATTTATATCTATTATTATCCCCACTAGGAAGACTGTCATTTACAAACCATGTGTCTGTGCCAGTAACAAGAGGAGATTCCAGACGAATGGACTTTGTTGGCCTAGAATACAATAAATAATGACATAGATATTTTGGTTCGGACATCACCAGGCACAAAAAAATGATAGCACATAAGACGAACACACAGGACAGAAATTCGAAAAAGTTGCCAAAGTTTAAATTTGAAATATGTGACATTGTAGTACTGCACGAGCAATGGTATATGAAGGAACAAACATGATAACATACTCTCCAATTGAGCATTTAGCTTGCGGGCTAATATATATATATATGCAGCAGCAGTGAAAATACAAACAATAAAGGGCGCTCCCGAAGTGTGTGTACCAATATGGAAGTAACTAATGTTGTTCGTCTACTTTACATCAAGTTGTGTAAAGGGACTGAAGCCTATGGGCAGGGAGTATATTCACTTGTCTAACACAGACAGTCCCCAAACTCGTAATAGGACTAAAATAAGGAATATTGGAATGAAATTATGGCCTAAACCCATCATGGTACACATACTACGAGGGTACCCAATACCCATGCAGGAGCAGTGGAAATACAAACAATAAAATGACAAGCATGGACATATACGTACTTCCCTGGGTATTAAAGTTATTACATCTGCCTTAAAACAAAAGCTCAAAGCTGATAGTGAGTTATATTTTACTACAAATGAAGTTTACTAACCTATGAGCTCCTTGAAAAGTCTTGTAATTAATTGGCGTTAAAACTGTTGCCTTTTTCCTTCCTTTTGGTGGACTGATATCATGGTCACTCCAATATCCTTTTGGAGGAGTCTTCAATCGATTCGAAACAGTTTGAGAATCTTGCGGATATTCTTGATTTAAATTTCTTTCAGATGAAGATTTGTTCAAGCGTTCTAGATAGAATGTAAGTATGTTGTATGAAAATCAAAGACAGATAGTTGGAATTGAAATATGAGATAGAATAGTAAGAGTGAAATATTTGATTTATTGACGCTATTTTATTAGTGATTAGTGAATTATTTGTGTTAATTATTATTCAAGGGAATTTAACTTTAAATCAGAAGTTCTAAACCGAAGTTCAATTCACCTCTTGGGGGTTAATTTGTCTTGAGGGTAAATTTTTCAAGCAAGAAATTCCCACATAGCAAATTGCAACATTTCTTGAATTGCAATATTGTCTGTTACGAAATTGATATTGTTACACTTCCACAATAGAGAGACTGTGTGATTGGTAGTTATTAATAAGAAGAGCATTGTTACGCACTCCAATTTTAGTTATCGAAGGTCAGCACATTCAAATTTAAGTATATACATCCGCAATTCCACATGAAAATTCCCCTTTTTGGTTTTATCAATATATCTATTGATATTTGTAGAAGTTTTGTAGGAGTGAGAATATCGAAAAACATTTAGGGGTAAAAATTTTACTTTTAAAGTTGTCGATGGGCTAAAATATGAGGGCTCATAGCCCCTGCTTTAAATGATAATATAAATATACTTTTAATTTTATATTTAGGTTGCTCGTAACTCTACCTTGAAGAGAGTTTTGCTTACTACTGGGTGAGAGTATATGCAAATTTAATTTTTTTTTTTCGATTTCATTGCAAACAATTCCATACCTGATGTTAATGGTTTTAAATGCAAAGGTTTATGAATATGAGCTCGATGAGAAGAATGATCTGAAAGAATATTAAAAAAGAAAATAATGAAGCATGACAAAAAAAAAGTTGAGCATGAAAATAAACACTGAAACATGAAAGTTATTTTTGATAGTTCGTTCTATCAATGATAAGGAATTGATGATAGAGAATAGGAATATGTTTGGAATTCCCATTTTTCGACTAAAAGATTCAAAAAACGAAAATGACGAACATGCTATGTTTTCCTTAGCAAATATATTATTAATCTGATATATTTGTTGATGAAAGAATAGAATAAAAAATAAGAAAGTATAACATATATCATTAGGAACTATATTAGAAAATTGTTGACATTGTATTTTTTCACAAAATATTTTAATAATAATAAAGAATAGCATATCATATATTAATAAAAAGTTTTTAACTACATGAGCTTGAACACTATAAATTAAAGACAAGAAACAGTTATTACAGATATATGAGTGTTTGGTTTATTTATGCAAAACTTATAGTGTAGCCTTGTATCATTATTACTTTGGCATGGTGGCCTAGTGGGTTAAGCGTTAGACTTGACTATGATCTCATTGCAGGTTAAAATCTCGGGTTCAAATCCCATGCCCACCATCTCACTTTGAGTGTGATAAATTGGGTTGGCATTGCCGAAGTGGAATAATTTTGGCCTTTCCAAACTATAGTAGTTTCTCAACTAACAGTGGCAGCTTATGCACTTGAGCCTTGGGAGATTCAGAAGTGTGTGTACCAATATGGAGGTAACTAATTTTGTTCGCATATTTTACTTCAAGTTGTGTAAAGGGACTGAAACCTATAGGCAGGAGGAATATTCACTTGGTTAACACAGACAGTCCCCAAACTCGTAATAGAACTAAAATAAGAAAAATCGGAATAAAATTATGGCCTAACCCCAACCTGGTACATATACTAGGGCAGTAGCGAGCTTTGTTCGGAACGAAAAATATAAAATTACTTTATTGGCAACTTACTTTCTGTCGATTCATGGATGTGCGAAAGAGATTGAAATGCTGACTCAGCATCTTGTGATGATTCTGAAGTGTCTGTACTATTGTTCAGATGTGAATACCGCAGACTATATTTAGAAGATGGAGTTGACTTTAGTACAATATGGTTCGCGTATAGATTTGTGGATTTTGTACTAAGTCTCGGAGCAGAATAGTCTTGATGGGATCTGTAGGGAAGACTTCTATGTCTCGAATATTCATAAAGTTGGTATTCATTTATGTGACGCTCACGAGTTAGGTAATGAGGCAAAGATTGTTTTATTGGTGGAACTTCTGTTTTTGGCGCACTATTATCCAAATCATTTTTGTTGTTCAATCGTGCTGTACCTGGTTCTGCATCCAAGCTATCAGGACTTTCAGGGCTTTTTCGTTCTAATTTACCATGCAACAAATCATCTGTGATATTTTCAGCTGGATATTGTTTTCTAATAGCAGATACAATATCTGGATAATATGGTGCTGGCTTTGACTTTTGTCCTGTTTCAGGCTGTTTAGACCAGTTGTGACTTGCTGACTTTTGGTAATTTTGTCCAGACATTTCAGCAAGGAGTTCTTTATCTGATTTTAAAACCTTTTTCCCTTTCATCATAACATGACCTCTATGTAACCTTGCTCTGTTTCTAGCGGTCGAAGTTTTTATATGTTTGACAATGTTTTCTTTATTAAAAGCCAATTCTTTTGGTTGAGATTTTCCACCTTTGTCTGTAGCGGTTATATCCGGCTTGGTTTCTTGCGCTACACCCTTTTCATCGCCTAGATATGAATACATTTATTTGACATATGCACATAAACAGAGATCTTTAATAAGCAAATATATGTATATGGGGTAAAGTAAACTTCATTTGTAGAATAAAAGGAAACTTTGAAAATTAATCCCTCAAAAGTTGGAATTGTTCACTGAGTAAATACTAGGAAGAAAAAGTGATGAACGCTTTAATTGTTAATATTTGTCAAAATGGCCTGATAAATGATGATTCCAAATACACATAGAGAATATAGTAAAAAGCATGAACTCTGTTTCACATAAGAAATGAGAGTTTCAAGAGAAAAAAAATGAATGTTGAGATTACCCCAAAAAATTATTTGAAAATATTAAAAAAAGTAGAAACTTTTCAAGCTAGTATATATTCAAGTATTTCAATAAAAAGATTTGAGACAATTTACGTTTCCCGCACTTTCTCCAAATCATAATTTGATGTATATTTAGCCTGATCCAAATGTACAAAAACTCAAATTCATAACAAAATAACTGGTCACTCAATTCTCTACAGTTATTGAAAACATGATATGACTTTCGATAAGTTGTTTTTATACAAAAAACTCAATAAAAAGAATCACTGTGTTTGTAATGATGTTGAGCAGATGAAATTATTTCCAGTAATTGTCATATTCTGTAACAACGATATGGAAATAACATATGGAAGTAGATGATATTATTATCGCTCAAATCATTGATTATACAAAAAGGCATTTCAAAACTATGTGGACATTTAGATGTTAGATGATTGCTGGTGGCCATACTATCTATATTTTGATCAAAATTTATCCGAAGACGTGCATATCCCACAATTGTGTTTTAGGACAGCATGGCATTCCATCCAACAAATTTTATATATTCCAAGAATAATAAACATATATACATTCACCAGCAAAATAAACTACCAGTATGTTTAACAACAAATCGTATACCTGAGCTTCCAATGTGACTAGAATGTATAACATCACCAGAACTTGGTTTTGATTCATGAGAAGACAGATTTGAAGATGTGATTTTCTGAAATATTGTTATAATATATAGTTTAAAGCAACGGTTCTCAACCTTTTACTGACTGCGTACCACTTAACTGGTTTTTACTCCTGGCCGCGTACCACTGACAAACATTTTTTTAAGGATGGGGAACAATGCCACAAAAAATGCACTATGGGAATAGGAGTATTTTATAATGTGGCGATCCCTGATCCCCGGGAAAAAGGACTGGTGGCGCTATAAATGCCGTTCAGGAAATACATACAGTATTGAAGATAAAGTGAAGGCATTGCCGACATAATAATCCACATTCCAAAGCTGCTCGCGTACCACGTACCACAGGTTGAGAACCACTGGTTTAAAGTTAGAAACATTACAAAATGAGATGAAAAGAAAATAGACTTTAATTGAAAATTTTATATTTTAAGCAGTTTACTTCTAGTATAGCAAGCAATTTGTCCAACTGGAAAATTTCCCAACTGATTCAACTTCACATAAATCTCAGAAACAAAGTGTTACAGTATTCAGGTAAACTTTGGTAAACAGGTAAAATTTGCATTTGCTTGACTCTCTGGCCATTGCATAACCTGCAACCTTGAAAATGATTCGAATCACAAAATGTCAGACAACATAGCTCAACCTGATATTTCGAACAATTTGACTTGACAAGGACCAGGCAAAATGTTGATGCAAGTTGACATTGCTTGCTTCATGGGTATAATGGCATGATAATGTCGTAACTTTTCATTAAAATATAACTTTTTGAATAAAGATAGAGAAAACTCAAGTTGTTAAGATTACTTTTCAGGCTATATGCAAAATGCATTGAATAAAAATAAAAATTTCTACCTTTACTGGTGCACCCCCTAATATAGCAGGATTGCGAAATTTCTTTATTGGTTTTTTATTAATTTCATTTGTATAGTCATATTCAAGTGCCAGATCATCTGTCAAGCTATCTCCACCACTTTGTGCCCATGTACCGTGAGTAACTCCAGATGTATCGGAAATATTTGAAGATGACATCGTTGAACTTGGACGTGTTGGATGCTTCTTCTGTTATGAATATTTTATTATTATCTATTGAATTTTGGGGCCAATGATCTAGCGCTTAATGTTGCGTTTCACAAACTGTGTGCCGAGTCACACTAGTATGCGGGGAGAGATCCTCAGGTGGAAACATAACCTCGTTTCAATCTTATTCGTTCCTCAAAACAAGCGCAACCATCGCATCAACATTTGCAGAATGAATTTGTTTAATGCTAACTTTCTTTTTACAAGTGTGCCGCAAATTTTTTTTTATTTGCTCAGTGCACCGCAGGCAAGATAAGTTTGAGAACTACTGGCTTAAGGCGTTAAACCCAACTGTTTTAGCATCGCAGATTACAGATCTCTGTTCAAATTCCATGCTCACCACCCTACCCAGAGTCGGTGTAATAAATTGGTTGGGAAAAGCTGAACTGAAAGGATTTTGGTCGTTCAAAAAATATTGTCTTCTTACATATCATTAGATGCTTGTACAGAGCCCTATGCAGAGTGTGCCAAATCCGTAAAATACATTTTATATGTAGGAAAAAATTGTTTTTTCATTGTTTTTATATGTTTTACTCAGTTTCAATATCCAAATTAAACTTTTCTTCCAAAATTTTCCACTAATTCATTTAAAATTAATAATATGCACAAGATAAAATCATAATATAGTCTGATCATCCGTATCCTGTTGTTTTATTGGTTGGCACTCCAGAAGTATGTGTACCAATATTGAGGTAACTAATTTTGTTCGCCTACATCAAGTTGTGTAAAGGGACTGAAGCCTATAGGTAGGGGGTATATTGACTTGGCTAAAACAGACAGTCCCAAAACTCGTAATGGAACTAAAATAAGGAAAATCGGAATAAAATTATGACCTAACCCTAACGTGGTACACAAACTACGGGAGTACTCATTGATTTTCCTATTAGCATATATGTAAATACCATAACACTTTTTGATTTATCAAACTTCATTACTTTTAAATGTATTTCTCTTGATTTTCATGACTGGCTTTCTTTCCGTGGATGAAACCAGACATTCAGATATCATATATATGGACAGCTCATGTTACAGATCCGATCTAACTCAAGACATAGGATAGGATTTACCTATTTATCCTAAGGGAGAGGAAAGTCGATAAGACGACTAAATCATATGGCGAACCATGCTTCTATAACACATCTATCTCAACGCACACTAATCTAAGAAAAAAAAACAGGATAATAAATACCTTTAATTTGCTTTTATTTTTTTGTAGTAAAATTATATGGGATTGGCTTTTTGATTTTTCTTGCATGGTTTGAAATTCTTTTGCCATGAATGAATGAGTTTTTAATTTATGATGTCCTGGTTCTATTTGAGATTTGTCTTTCAATGTTCGTTTCTTTGTTGGTTCGCTCGTACATTTCCCCTCGCTTGTTATTGCCACAACCTGAAAATATATTGAAAACCTATTTAATGGGATAAGTGAAGTGAAAATAAATAATAAACATGTATAAATTTGAATTTGTAAAAGTGTATTTTTCCATTCTCGATGTACTAAATAGGACTAGAGGCTAAAATAAAAATGAAGTCTGTCTGACTTTTCCACTTTGCTTAATCAAGAAATATTTTGGGTCACTATGCTCTATTTGTAGCACCTATTGATGACTGGGCTATTCCCTGGTCAGTTTAATACTATACATCAAGTTGTGTAAAAGGATTGAAACCTATGAACACGGGGTATATTCACTTGACTAACACAAACAGTCCCCGGACTCGTAATAGAACTAAAATAATGAAAATCGGAATAAAATTATGGCCTAGCCTAACCGTCTTCTAAGAGCGGTTCACTACCAATGAGTTGCATTTGATCACCCTCGTGTTGACAAAAAAAAGACAAGTTTCCAAACCATACCACAAATACATAGTCTGTATCAGGTGTAAGTCCAGTTGCTCTGTACACTTTGTCCGTTCCTTGATAAACAACACGATCGTTCATACACAACTCGTATCGAAAGAACCTGCCGAGAGGAACGGCAGGAGGCATCCATGCAACATGTATCTCATTTCGTCCAATAACTGTTAAATTTGGTTTTTCTGGTGCATGAGCTCCTGGATTAAAAAATGAAACATTCTGCAAAATGCAAAATTCTGCATACCGGATGCGGTCTCTTCTTGATTTTAAGATAAGATGGAATATTTTTTTTCAAAAATTGACATTTCAGGCATAAACTCCATTCTGCTTATTTCATTGTTAGATTATATTGCTAGAATACAGTTTGAATGGCAGGGTTTCCCATCAAATTTACATGTGATAGTAAAAAATTATATGGGTTCTGTATGAAAGGTTCAAAACCTAGAAATATAACTTCGAATTTGACATTTTGAACGTTCAAAGATGATGACCAATGATTTTCCAAATATTTTATAAATTTCAATTTAGCAGGTTTGCACAATTGTTGTAAAATTATGATTTTTTGGTTATTTCTTCAGCTGGAAATAAATGATGATTATAAAGATTATACATAGATTATAAAATTTATAATAATGTTGAATTGACATGTCAATTGTAGTAATCATACAAGAACACATCCAGCGCTTGGCTCAATCTTTATTATTAGTATTCATATCAGCCTTTAAAAATCTAAGTGCTTTGCAAGTAAAGACAGAAACTGGAACAAACGAAACCTACCAAGTTCATCTGTAACTGTCTCTACTGTGGCTCTTTCACCAAGACCTTTGGAAGTAGATGCGCAAACATGTACAATGTATCGGGTAGCTGGTGTTAATCTTGATATGATGTACGACATCTCTGTTATCACATCCATTATTTTTTCACCTGAATTTAGAATATAGTTTTCTGTAATACTCTGCATTTATTCAGTTAAACAAATTTGAGGACAATATTAATTACCATGTGTCTCTTCAGTTTTTAAACAATATAAGTGTCCTGAACATAGGTCCGATTTTTTTATTGGATAAAATTGCAGCTTAGATGCGCATTTTTCAGAAAAATTTGCTAACTGTGTCAAAATTGTCTTGCCTCACTTATCCTTCTTACACGTCACTTTTCCCAATTGTATGACCTTCATATGAATACTTCAACCTTTTGACCACAGAATTAGGTACAGGTTAGGTTTAGGCCATAATTTCAATTCGATTTTCCTTATTTTAATTCTACCACGAGTTCGGGGACCGGCTGTGCTAGCCCAGTGAATATACTCCCTGCCCATAGATTTCAGTCCCTTTACGCAACTTGATGTAAAGTAGGCGAACAAAATTAGTTACCTTTTTATTAGTACACACACATCTGGAGCGCCAAGAATTATATCTATTCCAATTCAAAAAATTCCACTTCATATGCTTACTTCAACGATTTACTCGACAATATATATCGATTCTAACTAGGAAAAGTGTGAGAGAAGATCGGGACAAGTGTGGAACAAGTGGGAGACAACATTTTTGAGACACTAAAATTTGCTCATAGCAAACTCATTTAAGAGTAAGTGTGATTTATATCTGAGTGAAGCTACGGATGATCAATAAAATATGATGAGCTTCCATGTGTAAATATGATACTTATTTATGATTTATTAAAAACCAAGTTTCAAATTTCAGTCACTAAAATGATACTTTAATATGTGACAAAAAAAAAGTACGAAGAAAATTACAGATTATCACATACCCAAATATATTGTGTATCCTTTCAATATTCCATTTCGATGTTCAGGAGAATTCCAGGTTAATCTAAGTTGTGTTGGAGTTGCACCGATGATCCTGAGAAATGTTGGTGCTGATGGAACATCTTCATCTATAAATACATTCGATCAAGTTAAAACGAAATAAAATGACGAGCACTCAAGAGGCAGAGTTTGCTCAGTAGATTGAGATGATGAAATAGTATTCCTAATTTTTCGAAAACTAATAAAATGGCTTAACTTATGATAAATCAGTTCAGGTGTGGGGTTGGTTAATTATGTTCAATACATAGACATCGTTAGGAAATTCAGATATTTATTTTCTGTTAAATTACAATCTAACGCAAAGTGATTCGAAAGTGTGGAAATTCTTTAAACATTGACAAAAACATGGATTTGATTCATAGTGATAGATGAGCGTTCCTGGAAGACTACGAAACTGACACTTCATTGCAGAATTTAAATAAGACATATATGAAATATTGTGTAATAATACCAAAAATATTTTTGCAGAATTAATGCATAGCCAACTCATATTTATATGAATACTTCTTCAACAAAGACTAATCAAGTACATAATCATCCGCTAAAGATTCAAACAAACGACAGTTAGTGTGGTGAGATAAAGAATAAGCTTTCCAGAAATCCCTTTGTATAATAATACTGATGCATTGAGATATTACCTCACAACCCAAACATTACCTGTAGTTGCTGAAACCATGTCACTGAATGGACTGTCATCTCCAAGTGTGGAAGCTCTAACTTTAAATGAATAGGAAGTGAAAGGTTGTAAGTCATTCACAGTTATTTGAAGATCAAGGCCTTTGTAGATGACCTTATTTCCTACAGAGAATAAGAAAGTAAAGTGGATAATCAGTCATGAAAGACAAAACATATTATTAGCACTAAAGACTCCAGTTTTCAGAATATCATTGCATTCGTTTCAAATAAAGTCCTGTACAAGCACCCACTGATATGTTGGAGGACCAAACGCTAAGCAGTTTGTCATTCAGCAAATTTCATTATACCTAAATGAGGTGGTAGGGCATGGGATCTCAACTTGAAATTTTTGATCTGGAACTCCAACATAGTTAATTAGGGTTAGTCCAAAGCTTCTAAAGTTTTAACCACTGTTCCATAAACCTGCTTCTTCACTCCTAACAAGGCTTTATTCAAGCATAAACTTATATTTAGAGAGATGTGAAGCAAAAGATACTGTGACTAGTTGTAGCTCAAGATATTTTTCCTATTCTGACTGAATGATTTAGATTTTAGATCTTGTCTTGTGAAAAAATGAGCAAAATTTAATGTTAATTCCAAGTTAAAAAATATTTTTGAAACCAACACTTGTGAGGTGCTCTGATAGAAAAATAAAATTACAAAAATATTTTTTTTATTACCGTTAAATAGCTTATATGTAATCTGCAATCCACTGTTTGTATTAACTGGTTTCCATTGAACTTGAATTGAAGTTGAATTAATAACTTCAACAACTGGAGGGTCAGGTTGATCTAGTTTCTTCAAATACATCAAAGTTTTATCAATCTCTTCATTTAATTCTGAAACAATTATAAAATTTAAGAGATAAATTTAAAGTTCTTATTAGCCAAGAAGAATTTGTGCTGAGGGCTCCATGAAAGCAGATACTAATATATGCGGCGAACCATGTCTGAAGCGTCAGGGACGTTAGGGAACTTTGAGCCATTCAAATACCAACTCCGAACTTCTCCAGTTTGAAGGAAATTATGGACGTGGCCGGATATCAGAGAAAATCTTACTTTGACAACAAGGTATCATATGCATGCCTTCGCTAATCGACTGCTGAGAATGCTTTGGCAATTTTATGCCCTTCGAACTCCGGGCCTGACACTAGGCCGACCTTTCAAGGCTTGTGGCCCCCTTCCTGAGGCTTTTAGCACTCATGGCCCCTTGTTTAACATTACAGTGGTATTTATTGAACAAAAATGATAGTGTATTACCTTTTGAGTTCCTTGGTTTATTTTTCACTTTCATCAAAGCAGATTCAACGTCATTGTTTTGTCTTAATCTAAGCACACCTTGTTTATGAGTTGATATGGTTCTGAGTGTCCTGAAATTTCAAATGCAGATATAAATTTCCATTGATTTTCAGTAATTAAACCCCAAAAAAAAATGGAATTATATCAAATAAAGGTTAATGTTTTGCATGAAGGTAACAATTTTTATGTCACCTATAAATAATTCACTGATATAATCAACTCTTGCATAATTGACGTTAATCCATAACCAGTATGGTTTAAACCGAAGCTACTATTCCATAAACATTCGAAAATTTTTTCCAAATATTGAATATTTACTATTACTTACTATTTGAATATTTAATCGAATCGAGGTTTATAACACTGACTTCAACAACTCAAAACTATTTTTGCTGTATCTTTTCATTTTCACTTTCACACTTTTTGAAACTTGAAAAAATCAGTAAATTGACTCACATTGCAGCAAACCAAGCTGCCTCTGCGTCATCTGTGTTGCTAAGCAACAAAATGAGCCTGTTGACAACATCTTGAAATAAATTATTGGATAGAACTCTTTGATTTCCTTCAACGTCTGTCGCCATGCAACTGATAGCAAAACATGCATTTTTAGCTCCGCCCATGTCTCCTTTTGTTAACATTCGACACAATGACATTATCTGTAGATACAGAAAATATAGCATTTCCTCGGTTATATTGATAAATTTACCTGCTTTCTGTCAGTGTACCTATCAGACTAAAAAATTTATCTTCAAAGTTTTTTTTCGAAAACTTCAATCATGTGGCTCACTAGCTTATAGCTGTTTTCTGGTCATATCGATATGAACAGCTTACATGTTAGATTTGTCAATGCTGATGCCAACGGTTGAAATACTCAACAAGTCAACTCAGTTCTAATAGGAAACTAAAAAAATTTATCTCCTAGTGGGTGCGATGGTCTAGTGCAGGGGTGCACAACACGAGGCACGCGTGCCAAATTTGGCACGCCATACGCTCAAACGTGGCACGCGAATGGTTTTGTAAAAATAAAAATTGCATTATGATATACATTAAAATATCACGTTTTTATCAAAATCAGCAGTTTTTCAGGACATTAAATGGTTTCAATAAATAGATCCGTTTTTATGAATTAGTATTGAAATTTGTCTGATGTGTGTTTTGTTTTACGGGAGTTAATTTACAATACCAACGATTGTGCATGGCACGCGACAAGAATATTTTAAAAAATTTGGCACGTATTCTCATTTGAGTTGTGCACCCCTGGTCTAGTGCAGTGGTTTTCAACTGGGGTTCTGCGAGACCCTATGGTTTCGTTGGAAAAGTCCAGAGGTTCCGCAAGTTATCATTCAAATCCCAGAGTCGATATTAATACATGTATGTTCTTTGAATATAAATAATTATCTATTAGATTTGCCACTTGAATTAAAATTTATACACTCAAAAATCATTCTTTGCATATAAGGACAATGAATCATTAATATCCCGGGGAGAGGAAAACCTATAAGACGGGTCTTGTCGGGTATGGGATTATTTAGCGTTAGCCACTTATTTGTTTCAGATGCATGGACTTGATGGTGGAGGAAGCCGCAACTGACCACGGTGGTGAGAAGTAGTCCAGCAAAATATTAAACTATTTTCTGTAAATATTACTGAAGTATCTAGTTATTTACAACAGTCTGAGAAATAGCATGTCCACCCAGTCAAAATTTACAACTACCGGTACTATTCTGAAAACACAATAAAAATTTCCAATAATTGTTTACATTTTGTTGAATAACTCTGCTACTTAATTGAGTTATTCATAATTTATATTATTCTCAGTATATCTCGTTTACGTATATACGGTAAAAATACCCAAAGGTATTTCGAGGAATAATATATTGCGTCATAAATTTGTGTATTAAAAAGAAGATTTAGTGGCAATACTCTACAATGATTATTATCAATTTAAATGGGATGATAAGTATGCTTGTGATGAGTCACGCACAGCAAACATAATTAGTGAATCTTAATCTGAATGATTTAGCTGTGCAAATAACAAACAATTTTATTTGACCAATTCGAAATGTTGAAATGGAGGCATTAATACTTGTAATGTATGATAATATCTAAAAAGGAGGTAATAGCATTGGAAGTTATTATTTGACATGACTTGGGAGATCCAATTATTGTTTTTCAAGTTTTTCAAGCAAGAACTTTACGTGCTAAAATCCATACAGTTTATTTTGTTTTATTTTCAGTACAATGTTGCAGGTGTTGAAATTCATTCTAATTCATTCCATTTCTATACACATTAGTTCACTTCACAATTTAAATATAATTTCTTCATTAATGGATAAATATCATTATAAATAAATTGAAAAAATAGCTATACTAAAACAAATCAATGTTTTATTGACTGACCATTTTTTCAGCATCAGGTGAGTAGAGTAATCTTTCTTTCCCAATTTTCGTATCAAGAAGTCTTCCGATTGCAAAAGCTGCATTCATGCCTCGACCTAAAAAATATAACAGTTGATAATAAGACTGTGATGGTGAAACTATGGGCTCAAGACAACATATAGAAAGAAAATTATGACATATGTCAGAAAATTACGAATTACTAAAATTATAAAACATGCTTTGTTCTAGCGGCGATGCTCTGGTGAGCGTTGGACATAACTTGGCATCACAAGATAAGTCTCCCTTACCCAAGGTTTAATAATATTCCGGCCATTTTGAACTCTTATAGCTCCCTACCTATCAGTGCCTGCTTGTACAGTGCCTTATTCTGAGTGTAAGCACATAAAATCATAATAATAAAAGTATCAGAATGATTTCAGAATAATTATGAACCTGGCAGTGTAAAATAAAATGTACTGAATATTGATAACTATTCATAACAAAGGGCATAGTTTTTATTTGTGAATAAAAAAAAAGGATAAAAATAGGCTATTAGATAAATACATATACTGTGATTAAAAAATTATTATTTGTACCATGTATCAAAACAATATTGTTATGATTGAAATTTCACAATTTTCTGTTTCGAAATTCCCCATGACTGTCATGAATAAAAATTTGTTTAAAATAATGTACGATAACAGGATTTCATAAATGCGAGAAACACTCGTCAACAAAACATGTTATGTTTTTATTACATGTTCAATCTATTTCTTCTCTATTCATAGTGTGAGATAGGGCATTGTTACTGACTGCACCTTATTTCAAAGTATATATAAACATGAAATTTCTCATTTCAACCAAGTTATTTGAGCATGTGAATACTCATCTAGAACATTACTCAAAGTGGAAAGTCAAATAAAGAATATAAATAATTCCACCGCAGGACACGCGACATCAAAGCGGCAATTCAGAGTAGAGAATAAAGCAATCTGACACCAAGCTTTTGTCACTGAACATGTAAAATACTGGAACTCACAACAAAGATTTAGATTTATTAGTGTGTTATGGGTTGTATAGTGATATTCATAAATTCTGGATAAATTAACACAATTGTCATGACAAAAACAGACAAGTAGAATAAAGAACTTCATATAGATGATAAAAAAGGATTGCTTATTTGAGAAAGTGTTAAAATGATTACCGCTGAACATCTATAATATGTCAAGGTTTTATATACAACACGAGGCTATATTAAAATAGAAATTGCCCTTTTTTTTTAATTTAAGGATTTGAAACGGATTGAGGTATAAGAAATTTGGACTGGTCAGCTTGAAGAGTGCCAATCTCTCTTTGCAAAAACTTTTAATAAACTATTTTTTCAAAATTTCATTTTCACATATTTTTGTTTTGAGACTTCCCATATTAAATTTAGGGCATTATAAATAAAAAGCTAGGTTAATGTGTGGGTGGGTGTTGAACTCACAACTATAGTAGCTTTGCAGGTTATTAAATATCTCAGGTTCAAACGCCATGCCTCACCCAGGGTATAACAAATTGGGTAGGTGGTGTCGATTGGAAAAGATTTTGCTCCCTGCAAAAATAGTAGCACTTCTAATATTAGTTGATTGTACGAAAATGCGAGACTTATTTCTAGAATACCAAACCAAACAGTTATGTACATGATAATGAATCAAGAGGGTTCCATAAACAATAAAAGAAATACAAACATTGTTTTGTAAGATCATGATCTAACAAACCTTACAAATATGTTTTCCATTTCATATGAAGATATTACCCTTATTTCTATTAATAAAAATGTCTTAACATTGCTAGTTGCTACATATGTGATATATATTCATAATAATTATATATATGACAATTATAACATGATTATGAAACTCTAATTAGAAAGCGGTACAAGGGTAGTACAAGACAAACTCCAGGGCTTTAAACCAAAAATTAAAAAAAAATGATCTGAAAATTGTGGTAAACATAAGATCTTGGCTTTCAAAATCTCTAACTTTTAATTGAAATGCTTTCATTAATTCGGCTTTAAATTGTTATAAGAAAAGCAAATTTTTTTTAATAATTATAATCAAAATTTCAACATTATCCCTTCTATCTGGAAACCCTCGGAGCTTCTTAGTAAAGTTAAGAGCACTTGGGCAACCGTCATGTGGTCAATTTGTAACACACAAAATACTCGAATCAATTCAATCGACCCGTCAAGATGTTTTTTGTTTTTATAAGTGGTGATAACTGCGTCAAATTCAGAAATGGCCAAACATGACTAATGTATAACAAGTGTCATCACTTCAATGTAAATATATTCCTTGCTTGGGAAGATAAAAATTGACAAGGTAATTGGAAGAAAACATTAGTATGGATTGTCTATTGTGATAGACGTGTGAGTCACATCTGACGTCTTCATCAACCACAACATAAGCAATATCCTTTCACTTGTTATTGATCTGTTTGATTAATACAACTTGACAAAAGGCTTAAATCAGGTCATGATGGATAAATAAACGATAAATTGATGGACGATGTTGGCATTACAAATAAATTAATAGTTCGGTTCAAATCATAGGTTGTTGTAAATTGGGTGGGCATTTCTGTAACAAAAATACTCTGGTCTTCCCAAACTATATTAGCAGGGCCTAATACTGAGTGAAAGGGAGTATAAAAATCTCGTACAAAATGATATAATGAGGATATAAAATTCTTTAAAACACCCTGCAATTTCTAATTTTGAAAATGGTTCCATGTATTTAAAGAAGATATAAATACCATTGTATGTTATTTTTTTGCTCTTTTATGTAATAATAAAACAGTAGTAATTGATAAGCTATCATTTATAATTTGAATAAAAATATGCAACCAAAAAACTCTTTCGAACAACATTCACAATCACATATTTTGCTCGAATTATAGTAGTAAAAGTAATGCCTCAAAGTTTATTTGATGTGTGATTATTACATAGATTCTACCAGATAGGCCAAAAATTCAAGTTCAAGAATTTGTTGAGGTATTTTGTTGAATAATTTTATATTAATATGAGAATCCTGACTTTGGAAAGTAGGCTACTCATGGCAGGACTAATTAATAAAAAATGTCATTAAAATAACAGCAAATAATGATGCAAAAATGGACAAATATGATCCATTTAGATTTACATTTTGTAAAAAAGCCAAAAAAAGCATTTAAATACGAACAAGAAAGCAATGCTCAAAAAAACAGCCTGCTAGATAGCCCTCTATAGCTGATTTTTATTTGATAAGGTAGATCTTACTGGATTTATTCGTCTTGGAAGTGCCTTGAATTATTATCAAATATTTATTGTCTTTGATGCGAATTATGAAATTTATCAGTTTTTCAAAAATTGAACCTATCTGTCTTATAATGAAACTAATTTCAATCTTGCTGTTAATTTTAATAAAATAATTTGTAACACTATTACTAGAAGCTCTACAAGAAATATTATTATTCATAAGGACATGATTTATTGAGCTAGATGAGATATTAAGTAAATATTGATATAGACTTGACGCAATGGAAGGAAAATAATTCAATACTATCATTTGAGTCAAAGTCTGCAGGGGTACATTGTTGCCAAACAGATATAATCAACGATCCGGATATTGTATATCACCATAGCAACATAAAAGTGATATTGATTTTGAAGTTATCCAATAAATTCAATTCAAATAGAGAAATTTAATATATTTAATGAATCGTTTCATTGACTTGGATACTGTTATTGGTGTTTGCAAAATTTGGCATCAGTTAAGAATGAACATAAGGACATCACATTGTTTAATATTTCAGAATTATGTCTTGCAATCAGTTATATCTTGATCAATCTAAATGAATTTAATTTTCAGCAAATCCAAGATGGAGCACTTAGTTATACTGCAGAAAATAGAAAATTCACAGAAAAATATTAGAGTGAATAAAATAACAAAACTTCCTAATATTAAATCAATTTACAAATACATGATACAACAGGGTGACCCCTTCCCAAAAAATAATAAATTTTTGGGGCTCCCGAAGTATGCGAACCAAGATGGCGGACATCGGAATGTAATGTGTGTACTAGGTTAGGGTTAGGCCATAATTTTAGGTATAAATACTACGGGAGGCTCTTGGATAGTCTTCGAAATGATAAAAGGACTAAAATAAGGAAAATTGGAAAAAGATTATCGTCTAACCCTAACCTGTTACCCATGTTACGTTCCGATGTCCGCCATCTTGGTTCGCATACTTCGGGAGCACCAAATTTTTTAATTACTTTCACGAAAATGAAAAAAGATTATTTACCCATTGAACTTCTATTTGTGTATGATTGTACCCAAAAGTAATTGTACCCAAGAGTAATTAAGGACGCTTCGTGCAAAAGCTATGTTCTCTCCAGGATATGTTTCAAATGAAATAGGTTTAGTTTTTTGGGATCACTCTTGTAACATTTATATTATATTTCGTTAAAATATGGGTTCCATGAATATCCTATCTTTCATACAGTGAAGCAAAGTGTCTGCGGACCCACCTAGGCCCTTTGCAAACTCATCGAGTCTGCAGCCTCGGGGTTGGGAAACACGCGTTTAGAGTGTTGCAATTCGACTATGGAGGCATCGCAAGGTGAATAAATATCTTAGGCTTGAGCCCCATGCTCAGTACCAATGGTGTGATAAATTAAAAGGGCAATGCAAAATCGGAAAGATTCCAGCCGTTACATAGTATACTTGATGATTGTACAGGGCCTTGTTCAGAGTGAAAACTTTGTGTACTAAAGTGCTGGTTTTGTGATCACATGATGTGGTCAAGTACACAACAAATCAGAACACAGAATTACTATATGTCATTATCTACATGATAGATTGTGACATGAGTAAATGGAAAATACAAACAAGTTAAAAGCTTGTGTCAAACTGAATACACAATTACAAGTACTTGAAAACAAAGCAGTAGGTTTTATGTCCACTTAAGAGTAAAAGAGTTCTATAAATAAATTGGTGCACAAACCTCAAGCATAGTTTGCAAAATCGTATCAGGTTTCAAATATGAAACAAATAAGATAAAAGTCAACTTTTCTTTAGTTGGATGTATGACTACCAGTAATACTCAGAAAACACGATTGAATATAAGAGTCATAGAATCAATAAGAGCAGGACTGTGTAAGCATAAAATTTCCGACAAAAAATGATTTTTTTTTTAGTTTCTGATAGAAATTTTGACTTCAATTACATATTCAAATTTTTGACTCCTTCTCTGACTCACTGAAGTTCGAAAATAAAACCCAGCTATGACTCCAATATCAATATAAAATACCGAGCTCGAATACTACAGTCCTAATTGGTATAAAATTAAAAATTGAATAAAATATAGATACATGATCTACATGAACCATCTATAAAAAATTTGTGTTTAAATGAGTAAAAACAAAGTTGTGTGTTTTTACTCATTTAAAAATGTTAAAAAAATTTACCGGCTGTATCATTTCCTAGTGATTGTATCAATCTTGTCAATATATACTTAGAACGAGGATGATCAAGGATGGCCTGACTTCCCGATTCTGATATGGTGATTCTGAAACAATTAGAAAAATGTGTTGTGAATACATCAAACCAATCTTTTGAGAATTGGATATTAACAAAATTTGAATTCGGGTCGAATTCCGATTTCGTCGTAAATACAGTCAAAGATGCTGAACTAAGAAGATTTTGGCCCTTTCAAAAATAGTTGCTCCTTACCAAGGAGCTTGCTGATTGTACATAACTTGTTAGTTGTAGTCAATGCATATCTGTCTTCAAAATAAATAAAACACATTTATATTTCAATTTTTCATTTCAAATTGTATCTGAATGAATGAATCTGATAGTACCTTGCAAGAACAAGAGCAGAATTACTCGCTGTCCAATGATTATCGGAACCAAGCAAAAATGTGATATTTATCATTGTTTCTTCAATGCATTGTTGACTTAACATCCATTGTCTTCCTTCTTCTGTTTCCGCCTTATTATAGGAATAAAATAAAAAATAAGATTTTTGCAAATGGGTGAACAGTAAATATGACCGAATGGTATGGTATGGTATGAATGGTATGGAAAGGATCCCAGATTGGTAACTTTGACTGATAACATTTTAATTTTCTTAAGATAAAATATAGGTAGGCCTACCTGATACGATAACTTAATTTGCATGGCGACCAAAGCATCCAATCTTGTCACTAGTTTTAAATGAACATGGCAATGACAAGCCAATGAATGAATATTACATTTGGCTGGACATGATTGGTAAAGCAAATCTTAATTGATACAGGTAATCAAAATATGGCGATTACTTCAATAATTATTAAATTTGTTAGGCTACTTAATGAGACGAATATATATGCATACAAGATGCCTTGCTCAGAAAGACAAAAAATCACAAAGATATCATATAAAATATTACCCGATATCAAAATACTGCATACTGAACTATAAAGAAAATGATAGAACAAAGCTTACCAATGTACCGAGTGTACCCGCTGAATTCATTACTGTTTCGGCATCTTCTACTGTCAACATTTTAGTCAGGTCCTGAGTATATTGAAAAACAGTATACCTGTATCATATTCTATTCTGAATCACACTTTGGTACAAAATTACGAAGAAATGTATACCTCAAGTATTGTAACAGCCCTTTTCCCATGTGTTAAAGATAATATTCTATGTGATCCAAGCTCGGTTTCAGCTAGACTTCCAATAACATAAGCAGCATTACTTGCGATCCTATAAATACAAAATTATATTAAAATAATATTTTTTTAAATTTCTGCTGCAATGGACAAAGGGTTGTGGAAGATTATCTAGATATTGATTCAGGGACAACATTATTGGCAAGTTCAGCAGCACATTACAGGAAACCGATAATAAGATGCGTAATATGTTATGTTGAATGGCTAATACACCCTTATCAGTCAAAAAGCCTACTATTGCGGAGCATTTTTCATAATTGAGAGATTTTACACTCTGATTCAAATTTTGTACAGATAAATAGAATTATATTTTTATCTTCATCTGGAAAGAGGAGCCACAGTCCCTCATATGATTACCAATAGATACCGGGTATAGGAATAAATACCCAGTTAATTGTGTGACCAAACGATTACATGAACCCATGAAACAACAGCAAAAGTCGAGGACAATTCTCGCACAAAGCTTTCAAAAATATGGTTTGGTGAAGTTGGAGGTGAATTGCATGCAAAAAATTCAATTTTTTTTAACTGTTGAAGCACTTTGATGCAAATAAACGGCTCATGAGCTATCACTTAATATATAAGAGACATTTAAAATATGCTTGACTCATTTATTTTCAATTGCTAAAAAGGGAAAAGTAAACGCTATATGAAATAAATACTATATATATTTCCATTTTTCAAATTTTATTTAAACTAAGGCAGATAAATGTTGATTTTGATCAAAAAACACACATCAACTGTGCAAAATCCTTTTAATAGTGGTTTACAGTGAGTATCAGAAATCACTTTATTTACTGAGGCAGCTACCACAGTAAAGGAAAACCTGTTTACATTATTATCAAAGTTTGTTTAATAGGTGTGACAGCGTGGCCGTCAGAGTCAGTAAATATGAACAATCGAAAAACAATTTTATAAAATATGCACTTAGACCTTTCAATAATAAATTATAAACCATGGTAAAAAAGTATGAATATTGCATATATAAAATTTAAAGTGTCTTGAGTTAATTTATAATTTTATATTTATCTCATCCACACTAAATTCTAAGCACAGCATTGTAAATCACATTCCATAGTAACATAATATTTTTATGAGTATTTACTAAAGGCTATGTTACATATATCAAAAATTAGTAAACTGGCCATAGGAGTATAATTACTGGTCACAACACTATCCTGCCATGAGCAGCAAAAATCTGTAATATATTTCTTGTGTAAACAGAAATATTTTACAGAGAAATAGAAATTTATTCAAATGAATAAAAATGCATAATTTATAGTCCAAAGTAATTGAATGTCATTTACAAAATCATAGATTTGATAGCTAATTGAAAGTGCTTACAACAAATACACTTTGTACACTTGTAAGTACATACTTCACTTTCAAGTACCAAATGTAAATGTTGAAATCAAACAAAACATATTTGTTTCAGGTCATGTCATATGAAAAACAAATGAACCTATATATTTGTAGTGTGGTGAGTTTGTGGTATAACTTGTAATAAAATTAAAAATCTGAAACATGACGTCTAGTTTTCTTGATTTGGTTGAATATCATTCTTTTTAATGTATTTTTATAGAGGCAATGAATATCTATATTAGTCAGACATTCTATTCTAATGAATTGTATTTTGAATATGCTTGTGATAAAAATCCCATGCTGTATTTCACAAATGAAAAACATAAATAACTGTAGGCTATTAATATTTTTCATAAATATTGAACTAGTTTAGACCATCATAATCACCCTTAACGATAATTGACGAATCAAAAATTGTTCAACAAAAAGTCATGACAATAAAATGTAAATATTGATAGCTTGCAGCAGGTAAACAATGTTGTTCTCAGCTATTGCAACAAATCTGTGAACTTAAAATTGGTAAAAATGAAAAAATCATCAAAACTCACCTGATAGTCTTGGAAGATAGCATGTGTATTAATGCCCATAAAAAATCTTCACTACCAGAATGACTGAGGAAATCATATATTGTTCTTTCTTTATTAATATTTATTTGTTCAACTAATCCATCCAAAGCCTCAGCAGTTCGTACTTCTTTAGTTGAAAGAAGGTCATCAAAATTTCTTTCATCAAGAGACATTATTAAAGGATATCTGCTATTTTATTATTGAGAATCTTATACTATATTACAGCAAAGAGTAAGAAAAAGTAAAACATGTGAAAACATACAAATGCCTGGAGGGGAATGATACAGCAATACCAGAACACCATACAGCCATACTGGTGTTTGCATGAAATACATTGCTGCACAGGTTCACCTGCAAAATGCAGCATAACACAAAATATAATTTTCAATCTAGCTGCTTACAGGCTTAGGCTATAAAGATTGGTCCGGTAATAAAACAAAATAATCTGATACATGTAATGTAGCACAAGCACTGGTCATACAACTCACAGCAGTTGTTTGTTATAAATATTTCCCTGGTATTGACCTATTATCCTGATCTTCATATCGCCTTAGCCCTTAGTCTGTGTTGTTTAATTTTCCATTCTATATAGGAAAGATCAGAATGAAATTGTTATTGTATATCATTAGACTAGTCCAGTAGTCTATATCCAGATATCTGTATATCAGTATATGAAGATAATTTAATAATAATTGCCTATCTGTGCAAAAAATGCTAAACAATAAAATGACTCCCAAGGTGCACGATCATGTCATTTGACCACAACACGAGCTAGACACTAGACTTTGTCTGATATCCAACTGTTCCATCTAATTTTGTATGACATTGGCGTCGGTTCACCATGGATGCAGAGACAATTCATTGTGAATCCCTGTCGCCACCTTGCGTAAATAGGTATAAATAGTATTTTGATTTTGGAACAAAAATGCATGTGTACCGTACCGGCACGGTACCTGTTAGTTTATCAAAAGTTAAGTTAATTAGACAATGATTTAGTTTTGCTAACTGAAGTCATGTTTCAGCAGCGATGAAACTACAACTCAAAGTGACTATAGTCACTTTGCTAGAACTAATGCTGTATCCTTGATAAGACAATCATATGGCGAACGACGGCCTCTCGACCTGAAACAGCCACGGTACTCTGAGGAGAATTAGACTAATGTTAGAATGTTACACATTCAGACATTGGAGTTCAGTTCAGGAAAAAACTCGTTCCTTGACTCGTTTTCCAGTTTTCTGAGGTTTGGTTGCGAAATTAAGGTCATTTTTTGGTATTTTTTAAGTTGATAGCAGCCAAAAAAAAAGACAGAATATTTTTTTAATTTTGAATTGGACTAGGCTTATATAAGTACTGTTTATTTTGAGGGTCTGGTATAGTTTAGTACCACATGCACTTCTAGTTGGCCTGGCTCAACTATTTTTGCATATGTCAATCCTAACCCCTACGGTACCGTACCTGACTACGTCACCGAAAAATTAGGTCATTTCGACGTCACAGTGGCGTAATAAGGCCCACCAAAGTATGCGGAAGGTAGTCCAAAACGCGCAGACGATCATCCGAAATCGAGCAAGCTATTTCTCTCGTTTTTTATCGTCACAACGATCCCCATAGGAGAGAGATGATGACGTCGTAGTGATGTAATTTTTGGATGGCATAGTCAGGTGGGGGTTAGGAATAACATATGCAAAATTCGTTATGCTATGCCCACTGGAAGTACTTGTGGTACCAAACTATACTAGACCCTATTTTGACTCCATACTGCCATAATCAGCATAAAAGACGATAAATAATTGATAAAAACAAACTGACAAAATAAATAAAACTGATTACAGAATCAGGAAAGCAACAAAACCCTAATTACAGTATTAAGTAAGGTTGAAAACGTACAGATTGTAGATTCAATGTTGCTGTCAAAAAGCGATATGTGTTCGCTCACCCAAAATTGGTGTAGGCCTATTTGCAGAATTAACTTTTTACCAAATTAGAATGGGATTTACATATTTATCCAAAAAATAACAGCCCATGTCTGCATACATAATAGCAGAATGCCACACCAAAAAGGATATTACTTGCTAAAGGTTACCTATGTCTTGGTAGTTTTATGCTTTAATGAACTTCATTGACAGATTTATGTTTATCCTTTTTTGTTTGATTTTATGTGGTTATTTTATGACTGTTTGATGTATTGTATTATTTTGTTTTAGAGCAATTAATATATTTTTAAAGACGAAAAATTTTACAATTTGACTACCAGACTACCATTATAATTATGTTTACTTGCCCAAGTTTTTTATTCAGTGATTGCACGTTTTGCATAATTCTATCAAATTATGTTGCAGGTGTTTTTCATGTCAAAAGTCTGAAAGTAGCACAATGTCTACACAAATGAACCAACGGAATTTTAATTCGACAGTGCAAGAGACTTTAAAAAGGCTTGATATATTTTTCGTCTCTCAGAGCACTCTTGCTGCCAGTAATATGTATGCCGATAAAGATGCTTTGATAGCTCATGTCGACCAAGTTTTGTTTACACCAAAGGAAACAAAAAAGAGCAAAAACTCTCATCTGAATGAGCTTGATTTAGCAAACGAAATTTGTACTTTTTGTTCGAGGCAGAAAACTGAGTATGTAAGATATTGTGTTTTTGATACTCTATTTTCAATGACAAGGTCAACAGCTAAGGATTACAGGCGTCAAATACTTGTTATAAGCACTTCATTAGCAATTGCCTTAAAATTATCAGCTGTATTAGAATGTGCAGCACTGTGGCTTGCTACGACAACAAAAGAACATGCAATATATGTGGCTTCTCAACTAGAAGAAGATTTCTGCTCAGTTATGCCTGAGAGTTCATCAGAAGTAAAATTGTGCAATACAATATGTGAAAAATTTTGCTGCATGTTGATGACAGTATATTGCACGAAATATACAATGAAAGACCCGAGTAACGATGTTAACAAAGTTGTGTCATATCCATCACAAATTCTACTTGATATCATACAACATTGGGTATCACAAAATCCTAAAATATGCTTTTGCGTAATTCAAAAAGTAGATCAGCTTTGGCACACTGTGTTGACAACAACTCGCACAGCAAAAAACTCTATATCACTATCTCCACTTGCCGGATTAATTCAGTGGTGTGCGAAACTTCCATTTGCTCCAGAGATTGAAACAGAGCAAAGGAGCACATTTGTTAAAGAAGAATATACAAAGCTTCAATCCAGGCTGCATTTCGGAGTTCTTACTGCTATATTATCATCTCAAGATTGCTTGAAAGTCATGCAGCAGGGGGTTCTCGGCAAGGAAAGCGATTTTCAATTGTGGGGAAAATCAGATGCCCATTTACTGGTTGGAAGTTTGCTTGCTTATGGAGCTGATAGCCCAGATCCAAAGAACATTACTCTGTCAATTGACAGATTTTCACAAATATCCCAAATTGCTATGACTTCCCATATTCTCACAATTACAAAAGAACAATTCCAGAGTTTAACTGATCCACTTCCTAAAACAAAACTTTTAGAGATTGTTGCTTATGGACCTGAGAGAAAGCCATCCATAGATGATGTTCACATGAGTTAATGGTGAAGTTGTGACTAACTACATAGCTGTGTTTCGGTTTTCATATTATCGTTTTTACCCTATTTTCATAAATCACAGTATCGGTAATAGTATTTTATATTTTAATTACATGTTCTTCTGGGGTCAGTAGTGAAACTAGTGGATAGGATTTACATATTTATCCCAGGGGAGAGAAAGCCGATGAGACGGCTCAATCATATGACCTCTCGTCCGATTACCAGTCCATGTCGGGTATGGGATTACTTTGCCAGTTATTTGTTTTCGGAAGCATGGACTTGATGGTGGAGGAAGTCGTAACTGACCAGCGGTTACATGAACCACCCTACGGCGGCGAGGAGTCCAGCAATCCTCTCACTCTTAACCATCCCATATGCCGCCAGGTCGTTCTATATATGTTCTAACCAATGTCCCAGAAGCTGTGAAAATTTCCAGTAAATTATTGTACTAATAATAGTTTCAATATTATGGGTATGAGTAACAGAACTTGATAGCAGAATTTTTAGCTTGGTCACTTTGTTACAACTGACAAACAGTTTTCCCTGTTTGAGAATCACTGATAAGAAGCAATGCCTCAATGATTAGCAATCATTATATGTTCCAGAATCCTATACAACAGTCATTACAAATCTACTTATATTCGGAAAAAGGCTAACACAAGAGATTTATAAGCATGGCTCGGCCTACCTGTGTGGCACAGCCACAGTGGCCTCTAGGTGTAAAATTAGGATTACTGTGAAATTTTGTGTAAATTGCTTTTTTCCCCGGGACATTGAGTTTAATTTTTTAGGTCTTGTGCCAACTGATTTCCTGCGTAATCATAGTAATAAATCCATTTTTGGTTTGCATTTCGCTGCCATCAGATGTCGCTAGGTTTGCTACTTGGAGCTAATTTGTTAGTTCACAATGTAGTCATTTTATTTACACATTCGTACATTGTATAACCAGGAGGGAATCACGGCGACCAACGAGACACAGCGATCCTCTTAACATGTGGTCGAGCGTCATTGACGGCTGGTTATTGCCCGTCCTGAAAAAAAACTATGCCTCTCGGCTGCTCTTTCGAAATCCCAAGTGAAGAAATCCCAAGTGAAGACTTGGTGGTGCTAACTACCTATCGAGCGAAAAAACTTTGGGCCGAGAGTCTATACTTCCAGCAATCTGACCCACAACAAGTTAACAACCCATAATAAAACATTTGTCATTTACTATACTTAAAACCACAGTGTATTCGGTACATAAAACGAAAATATATGATCAAAATTTATCTAGAATCTGAATTCCTTGGCCACAAACGGCAGCATGGAAATGGTCCTTCTCTGCTGTTAATGACCAAACTTCCATCGAAGAAATGTCAGCAACATTCATATATGTACTTGAACCAAACTCGTACTTTATAGAATCTTCATGCAAAAGTATTCTCCACTTTGTCAAACGTTGATCTATTGATGTTGATATTACTTCTAATTCACCACAAGTCGAGAAAAAACCAAACCTTACACTGGTTATCTGAGTTGAATGAGCATTCTCAATATGACAATTACCACAAACCATAATACTCTCATTCCGAAACATAATCATATTTAAATTTACTGCGTTATCATCCCCGCCTGTCGCAATAAAAACCTTGTCATGTGACTCTTGCTCTTCTTTCAGTGAATATTTGGTCCATGTATCTAATGCATTGATGCCTGACATATGGACTCTTTTTTCAAAGCAAGGTTGGTCTAGTTCTAAAGTGTCTCCATCAACTTGGTGATTTAACTTTGTGTCACAAAGTTTCCATATTCTTATGAATCCATCAGTCGCACCACTAATCAAATAACCATGATCTTTCAAGGTAAAGTATTTGATTGTCAAAAAACAATTACTGTATTGTGATGATTGATCTGTGAAATAAGATAAATAAAGATTGGACATAGACATAGTCACACCTAAAACATTTACAGCCTAAGAAATGTTTATCAAATAACACTCACTGATTAAAAAAAGCTTTTTCTGATCCAAATCTATCCTAAATACACGAATCAGAGCATCTGAGCAAGCAGCAGCAACAAATGCTTGTCGACCTGTTAAACAAATACCTTAGTTTACATTAGTTTAAAGAGCACATAAAAAAGATAAACATCTCGTTGCGTATTTTTTGGGTGAACAAGAAAATTTGCGACTACCCAGAGTTGAAAAACAGACAATTAAGTGTTCACCTTTTTGCCAACCAGCGAGGTCCATATATCTTGTCTCAGGATTTGTAGTGGAGGAAGCCCTTCTGCAATTTATATTCAGTTTGTGAGAACAGACATGTTCAACTGAACGATTCTGAAAAACAAATTGTGGAAAACTTTAAATATAAAACATGATCGGGTGGTGATTTCTGTGACCCATCAACAGCAGTTAAAAAACCAGACGGCACCGGTGATATTGGAAGAAACTACACTCTAAGCCAGTGGTCCTCAAATGGGTGGGGCGCGCCCCATAAGAGAGGACGTGAAGGTAATTAAAAATAAGTAACGGTATATTTTTTAGATTTGATCTTGCCAGCCTCATTTTGAGTATTTACATTTCAAAACTACTCAATTATTCCATTATTTACATCCATCCACATATTTTCGACGTGCTTTTTGAATAAGACATACTTTCGCCTTACTATTTGTTATTTGTAGCTTATTGTTAGCTAGTTATTTTTGAGGTGAAGCGCGAGACTTGACAAATTCTAAAAATGAGGCGCGGCTTAAAAAGTTTGAGTACAACTGCTTTAAGCTGTTACCCTGGCAGTATGGTCTCGGAATGTTCCGAATCCCATTTCTCCCAATATAGGAATGGGCGAAAGACAGTTTTCACAGGACAATATGTCTGTTTTTAATGGCCGAGAATCCAAGTGATTCATGTATTGTTTGAAGCATTCAAAGTTTTCAAAAACTTTGTTGAATCTGTGGACGGTAATTAGACTCCATTTAAAATCAAATTTTTCACCTTCAAATAGTATGTATGTGTGTGCCTACCGCAATATATTAAATGTAAAAAAAACTGTAATGGAAAGGTACAAAATTTCTAAAACATTAACTCCCGGTTATGTAGATACTAGGACAATTAACACTAAATAAAATTTGTACATACAAATTTGATAAATTTAGTTGAGCAAACACAATATTAAAGCAAGAATGTTTTATGATAGAAACCTAAGTCATCAGATTCAGGTTAGAGTGGCAGCTCTTGCATGCACAGTTTTATGTCACTTAAATCAAATAAATTGTGAATCACCTCTGTCCATGAATATGCTTTGTTTATCTTTATGATGTAACAATTTAGTGTAGCTCTGCCTCCTCCACTAAACAGTATGGTATTAGACAAATTGGTATCGTCAGACTTTATTTTAACTGATGTCAGTGTTCTAACGCTTGAAATATGATCATCAATGGTGAAGATATGATGAAGCTACAAAGATGTAATCATAAATTAGTCATTTGTTCTATCGGTTTGGTTTCTACAAGACCAACTACTTTTCCGTTTTCTATGCTTTTGCGTCGATGGATCTGTATGCATATATTTGTGTTAGGGTGCAGCAAGACTATTGAATTACTCAGGATAAATTATTTATTTGGCATTTCACTTCACAATAGGCTTATTCTTAAAACCCATAAAACACTATTGATATTGCTACACCGCTAACACTAGGTATACAGATTGGAGAAAATGCCTCTCATTCCGAACAAGGCACAGTACAGGCATCTACCAATTTCAAATGATATGTAACTATTAATTTTTTGGAAAGATTGGAATCTTTCTAGTCACCCCATTTAATTACACCGTTGGTGAGGTGGTGAGCAAGGGAATCGAACCAGATATGTGTAATCTGCAATACCAACACAGTTAAGCTCATTCAATTCTGATTGGATGTGACCTCCTCCACCATGTCTATGCATTGGAATGAATGTAGCTGGCTAAATCATTCTTATCTGGGATAGTAGCTAGAGAATCGGACAATGATTGACCATATCACCACATTGAATGGTATTCTTGAACTATGATAATCCTCTCTTATATGACAGGTCTCTTTAGAACATTTAGTCAAAGAAATGCTCTTTTAATACCAATTAGAAAAGTTGACTTCAATTGCCACCATTGCTCCAGCTTTTATATCAATGTAGCAATGCCTAACTCAGATTTCACAGCCTTTCAGTAAATGAAAATTGAGACAGCCTGTTATTAAGACAGCCTCCCTTTTTAGTCGTTGTAAATTACCTTCGCCAGTTCTCGATATGTATTAGATTGAGTATAAACAGAAACAAATATCTTTGTGTCTTCACTTCCAGTAACCAAATATGAGATATTCAGATTGCATGACTTGTTAAAGAAACCATCAATGTATCTGATACAGGTGATTTGACCGCCATGAAAATATGGTGAAACAACTGAAGTTTCCTTGGTAACATTGTGAGATAGCTGAATAATTAAAAATAAGAAAAAAACTAGATTACATTCTTCAAATGATCTATCCAAGGTTATGAAGCATGTGGGCAAAAGTGTTCTAAAACGTGACCACAATATACTAGCTGATATTGACATTATAGAGAGAATGATGGACATTGGCTTGCGCCAGTTCACCTCATCATGTAAAATAGTTCGACTCTCCACAGTGAAGTTGCAAGCGACAGGACATGCCAAAAGTAGTTAAAACATTTATTTTCATAAAATCCTATAGGATATCCATTCACAAGAGTCAAGTTTTTTAGTCATAAATTCGACATAGCATAAGTCCTTCGTAATAAAAAATTAACTTAAAACATTTCAAACAGACATTTTGTTTTCAAAACATTTTGTTGTTAATAATTCAACATTATCTCAGCGGAAAATATTACTTACTCGAGCAAAATGCAAAGAACTTTCTTTTATAAAAACAAGAGTGGATTTGTCATTTGCAACCTTGAAACTCCAATCTCTGTGTCCACCCCCACATTCAATGGTAACCAAAGTATCACCTGAAAATATCAATACCATACATTGTTAGCCAGCAAGAAGAAAGAAAGAAATAAACAACTTCATAAGCATGTAAATTAGTGGACTAGGTACATCTGCGCGTAAAACTCAGAAGCTACCATGAATACTAACTAATCTTGAGAATTTATGAATAACATTCGAACAAACCTGTTTTACTACTCCACACAGTAAAATTTCTGCCATGAAATCCAACAACAGCAAAACTTGTGCTTGATGATTCGTTAGCGAGTGGAATTACAGTTTCCAACCAATCCATACCCTGAAATAATTTTTCGAGTGGGGTAAGTTCATAAAGAAAAACTGCTTTATAAGGAAATGAAGTAGGTACCGGTATATATATTTTTGAACTAGTATCCTAATTTAAACTGGTTTGTTAACTGTTGAGAATGGCGACGTTTTGTGTACTTCAGTATCAAATTGATTCAGCAACTTCCATTTTTATTATAGAAATACGATAGGCCTGATCAACATCAAATCTGACATGAATCATCATTGCGGTAGTTGAATTATGATCAAGTTTCTGAAAATATTGTTAATTTTCCCAATTTACATCTTTCTTTCCTTCTTCTCTGACTAAGTGACTTTTAGCTAATGGACATGTAGGTCAAATAACTAATATGTTGCACGCTGTGTAACAAAAGAATTGCACTAGATGTGATATGAAAGTCTTCAAAATCAAGTAAATCAACCAATAACAGGATGTAGCTATGCGCAAAATAATAGTCAGAAATATTTCAATCATAGCATTTTGATTCAAAACTTGTACCCCAAAATTAGAACAGATATGCCCAATAAAATAGCTGGCAAAATTTCACAGAATATTAAAAAAATAGCAAATGTAACCTGAGCTGCACGATTTTGAGCCACATTGTGAAGTTTACTAAAATCAGCATTTATTTCAGTTTTCCTCCATATTCCATCTCTTCCAGTTGAAACAAATAAATTTCCAAATTTCTGAACTGACGTTACACCATTTTTATCATGAATACCATGAATTGTATGGACAGGTTCACGAATATCTTGGAAAATAAAAGTAAACAATTATTGTGCTATACACTATACCAGGAATTCCCAAGGTTTTTTCAGGACGACCCCAAGAACAACTTTCAAGTGTCCAGTGCGACTCCAAGTCAATATATATATATTTTTTCATGAAACCCTAGAACTTCTATCACTGGTCATGTGGTGGTATTAATTAAAATAAGCTAAAACCAAACGATGATGTCACAATATTCACCTACATTTTCTATAGCATAGGCAAAAAGCGATGCCTATGGGCCTGTTTTACAGTAAGCCATGGTGCAAACTGCTAAATTTAACTAACATGTTTTGTCAAATATTAGATGTTTTGTACATCCATCCTCGACCATAACTCAGAGACCTCACCGACCCCATGACCTGTTTGCGACCCTACCTACTTATCACTCCGACCCAATTTGGGGTCGCGACCCCTGGTTTGGGAACCCCTGCACTATACAGTATTCTGCTAATGCTGGTTTTAAAAAATACTATATATAACAAGTGAGCAATGCTCAAATATATGGACAGTGGACACTGATGTCAAATGGCCAACATGATGTAAATGAATTGCACTGGATGTCATATGAAAGTGTTCCATTTAATCCAGAAAAATTGAGGTAAAATGTCGAGCAATGTAGAAAAATTTTTCTAACAAAAAGTTGAAACCCATAGGTACCACAGTTTCGGAGGAAAATGATTCTGTCACAGGAACAAAAATGACGACCACAAACAACAATTCAGCAATAGTATTCAAGGTTCGCTTAGTGTCCTATATTATAACTTAAATCTTGAGATATTGTTAATTTTCTTATTTGAACTACAATATGATATTAAGATCAACTCGAATTTACAAAATTAAAGAATCCTACCTTCTTTAAACAAATGCAGTGATCCTCTTCTATCCCCACACACAACAAATATTTTGCCAGAATAATTAGTCATAGCAACTCCCATATGCCATCTATGTTTTGCAATCGGTAACACCCATACATGCTTTCGGTCATATATAATAAATGCATTTTTTATTGAAACTTCAGAACATATAAATTCACCATCAGGTCCTTAATAAAATAATCAGAAATATCAAAATAACAGATTAATCAAATTATTAGATTAAATGGACACTTACAAGTATACCCAACATAGCCACATAAAGCATGGTTTTCTAAACTTGTTAAAGAGCTCTTCAACTCAGTGGCATTAAAATTACAGACATAATTTAACCTCACAACCTAATTACTCAATTAATAAATGAGAGATATTTCAGGAAACCAACTAACACTAAATAACTTTCAAAAAGCATCAACTGATCTTCACACTCCCAAAAGTCTATTATAATTGAAAACCAAAATTTGAATATTTTAAATTAAAATTATTTGTGGGTAGAAGTTGATTATAACCGGTGCAACTTTCTTATTTTCGACTCTCGAATACCTTTTTTATAGATCTAATTTGAACATTGATACATCATTATACATATTTTTTATCCTTACCCGATATAAATAGATACATTTTCTTTTCCATCTCATACCAACTAATTGAATGAATTTTCCCTTCTATTGTTGTTGCACTGATAGAAATATTATTGATAACGCAGGATAAAGTTTTATCCAAATGTAAAAGAAGCAAATTCCCTGAAAGATGTGAAAATTTAAAACTACATGAAGTCATTCAGAAGTCAGAACCAAGAAATAAGGTGAAAGATTGCCTATTCCTAATTTCCCACTTCTGTTCCACCAAAATTGGGTACTCCCAAAGTATGTCAACCAAGATGGCGGACCTTAACATAGTATGTGTACCAGGTTAGGGTTAGGCCATAATTTCAGGTATAAATACTACGAGAGTCACTCGGTTAGTCTCCGAACTCGTAATCGGACTAAAAAAAGAAAAATTGGAATAAAATTATGGCCTAACCCTAACGTGGCACACATACTACATTCCTGTGTCCGCCATATTGGTTCACATACTTCAGGAGTATCCAAAATTGTATGTAACATATTTAATACCTACAACAAGAACAATAATATTAAACCACAATTCAATGACATCAAAATACTTGGATAAACTGAACTCAGGATGTCCAGAACAGATTGCATATTGAAATACATAAGTAATATTTTGCATAGTTAATTCGAGATAAATCACAATGAATCACTGTTATTTATTCAATAATATATTAGCAATAAACAGCAGGAATGGGCAAGGTTTTTGGACCAGAGGGCCATGTAAGTGTGATGTAAAAAGTTACATTATATAAACAATATTTACAGTGTTACAAAAGCAAAAGTGGAAAACACGAAGCCTCGCGCCAAAATTAAATTCAACAGCAATTTCAACCGATTCCTCAAGCTATTTATTACTTATACAATTTTAATCGGTAAGTATGTTGATAGGTATTTGTCTGTCTCTGTCTGTTTGTCTGTTAGATGCACGCGATATCTCACGAAAGCGAGATTGAATCTGCCCCAGATTTTGCATGTGCATTCATCATATGTCGTACCAGAAGCCTATTGATTTTGGATGAATTATGTCGTATAATTAGCGAGTTATTAATTAATTAGTGATGGGACACAAGGTGTCACTATGGAGTAAGAGCGCTGTTTTGGAGGATCCCCTAACTTTCGATCGATAAGTTTTCGGTCTCTGACCGATATTCTCAATTATTTTTTGAAATGTGAAAATTTGGTTTTCGTTTGGTTGTGGCGGAATCAGGCGGGCCATGTCCGTTATACATGGTGGCTAAAAAGATTGATTTCAGCTTTTTTTTAATAACTCACTCTAATGTTTGGCAGATAAAAAAGTATACACAAACCTTTTGTGCTACCAAGAGCAACCAAGTTCTTGCTATTCAACACACTCATTGTCGCATAAGATTTGAAATTTGTGTCTTCATTCACAATAGTCCAGCTCTCATTAGGAATTGAGAAATGTAGAAGAATGCCTGAATCCGTGTGTCCTAACACGTTATCTGTACCACACAGATGAACAGACTTCAAAGCTCCAACATCTGCGATTAAAAATGCACAATTGCACATATCCAAATAGTAGACTATAAGTAATTTTTAGTATCAGTAAAAAATAGTGTTTTGAATAAGAAAAATGTAATTTTAAATAAAGATAACCTAAGTTTCAAGTCTATAAAAAAAATTGATTTTTACAACTTGCTTTCGATATATCAATAGTTAGATATTCTGGAATTATAGTTTAAAATGCAACATATAGGTAACAAGATTCTAACCAGTAACTAAACTACTCAAATACAAAAAACTTTAAAATCTACAAAATTTAAAAATCAAAATTTAAATATCACTGAAACAAATACTTAAAACAATAAAAGACAATATATGAACTATGATCCTAAGAAAATACCTTGTCTGTTCATTAAAGCAAATGGATGTTTCACTATTTTTGCTTCATTGTTAATTAAATCACTTATTTTCCAAATTCTAATTCCTGCATCCCCTCCACCTGTCCCCACATAACCTTTGAATAATGAAGCATAAACTCTGATTAAAAATTAAAAAAAAAAATAGCAAAATGTAATTAGTTGATCTCGAGCAGTTTCCTAGAAAGACTTACATTTATGACCGAATAGTATTTGTATGAATATATAAAGCAAAAAAAGGGTTCACCATAATCTAAACATAATTCAATACTGTGGACACAGGGATGGCCAAAACCGAATATTTCACCGTTCCAAATACATTTTAAAAAAATATTTCCGAATATGAAATATCGAATACCTACATTCTAAATTGGGGGCAAGCACATGTAAAAAATTACATCACATAGAGAAGAGAACATATCTCCATTCTAATATATTGAAAGAAATCGAGAAACCAACCTTTATCGTGGTCTATAATTAAACTCCATATATTCCTTCCTTTATGACATCTAATTTTACGAATCATTTTTCCTTCCACTCTGTCATGTGATATCGACAAATCCCAAATTATACAGTGGCTATCCTCACCAACACTTATTAAATACGATCGATCACCTGCAGCATTGAAAAAATAACATATTTCTCTTGAAATCTTTGCATTCTCGAGGTTTCGTGAAAAATCGATTAAAAAGACCAGGCAAAACATTTCAAAGTCAACTTACTAGCAGTTTTCCTTAATGAAAAAAGGAAAATTTAGACTAGACTTCGGTACTTCCGTATTATGTGTACCAGGTTAGGGTTAGGCCATAATTTTATTCCGATTTTCCTTATTTTATACCATTACGAGTTCGGGGGCTGTCTGTGCTAGCCAAGTGAATATCCCCTTGCCCATAGGTTTTGTCCCTTTATACAACTCGATGTAAAATAGCCAAACAAAATCAGTTACCTCCTTATTGGTACACATACTTCTTGAGCGCCCAGATTTCAATTTTGGCAAAACCGAATTTGGATGAAAAACTTTTGCATATGCACGATAGCCTTGATGACAAGACTATCTTGATAATTGAAAAGTTTGACACAACACAGAACACCATAACTAACATTATAAATAAAAAACAAACTTACGATATTTGATACATTGGGCTCTCCATACTCTCGACTCATGTCCATATAACTTGCACAGATAATTATTAGAATCAAAATCAACATTATTTGATGAAGAATAAGTTTCTAAGGATTTGCATTTCCATAATCGAATACTACGATCATCAGAGGCAGTAATGAGGAGCTAAAAAAGGGTTTATTATTTTATACTGTTATTAAACATATTATTTTGTACCAACACAGTTGCTGTTGTTAGGACAAAGTCATTTCCTTTAATAACAACTAGGGGAGCAATCAATCTCAAATCTCCAGAATTTAAATATGTTGAAATCTATTAAATTTACTTTTTTACAAATTTCTAGTCTCATATGAAGCAAAATTTCATCCAAATTTTTCTGTTTTATTTTAATTACAAAAAAGCACTGTTTTGTTTGACTGCCTCCATCCCCATTGTCTGCAAGGAAATCAGAAAACAATCAGGTGAAATTAAAAATCTAAATTTGCTAAGTAGGTTTATCCCTTATTCCCAAATTCCCATATAGAGCGTTCCAAGGCAAAAGAGAAAATATCGAAAATTTCATTTCATGTTTCTCATAGCAGTTTTTAAGATGAATATTGGAAAAAGAGCAGATTGTATTCACTGGTGAAAAGGCGAATGCAAATGTTCGAATGTGACAAAATGCCTTCATCAACAAGAATAATGTGTTAGTGGAAAACAGTTGTAAAAGCATAATTCACCGGGGTGTTTCAATAAAACATTACGAGAATTTAATATCAAAAGTGTATATTTTCACCATTTTCTTGAAACAGCCTTTTCAAATTTCCTCTTTTTGGGTTAAAGCCCTCGATAAAACATACGAAAATATCACTCAAAAATGCGAAATTCGAAAACTTACTCCTGTATTAAAATCAAAATCAATACTAAAAATCACTCCATCATGAGCATGAATTCTTTGGATAATTTTGTTTTGATCACGAGATCCCGGTCTCCATATAACCACTTGATTAAAAACTGTCCCACTACATAACGTTAAAGAGTTCCAAGTTGGTCTGAAATTAAAATATCAAGATTTAATTTTTAATTAAATGAAATTGAAATCAAACCAAAAACCTAGGGTGGCTTCGGGTAACTTGGGTATACATTCATTATTAAATCATAAGCAACACTGTAAACCTGCGACTGCCGGCTGTATAACAGCATGTTCGAATTCACAAAAGATTATTAGCTTGTGCTATACCGGACTATATGGATGCTAGATAACAAACCCATCGTCAAGAATGAACAGAATCGAAAAAAAGACTACAATATACTCTACAAAATTAAGGCATGTTCAATGAAAAACACATTGACATACAAGTCTAAAATGCAGTAAAGTAAAGTCAAGCATAGTTTTTGAGATAAGTAATACCTTTCGTCTGCAACAAAATATGCAGAGTACAAAATACATTTTTCTTCGCAATGAGATTCCACTATAATCTTATCTTGCATCCGATCATATAAAACTACAGAATTATGTCCAAGCGCGAAAGCGATCTGATGTGTGAGTCTAAAAAAAGCATTACAATATTTTAGTAAGTAATTTAAAAAGTCGTTAGTTCTGACATTCATACATGATAAACATACCTTGGAATGTCATCGTTTACAATGTCTCGGTATATTAGCGAAACATCCCATATCCAATCATGAATTTTAGATGAAAAAAGTATCTGTAACAAATCATCATCATCTAAAAAAAAATGAAATGACTCGTCACACAGAAAAAGTGGAAATCCTATATTTGTTCAATCTTAGTAAAATGTTTCTAACAAATTCCGATGACTCCTATTGAACAAATTCATGAATGTTGATGAAATAACTAACTTTACGAGTTTACGAACAAAATTAAGTAATTTTATGACAGTTAATAAACATAGAGACAAAACTATGTAGAATTAGAAAATGGGAACGAATTTTAGATATTCACATTTTTTGAGTAAGTTGCACAAAACAAGTTCATGCGGCTATATTCAAAAGTTACATGCATTTCCTAGCAAAGTTGTCGCCAACTAGTGGAATGCGAACGATTGAAATTATGCAGCATATAATATTGTACTTTCGGAGACTGCTAACCTGGTATAAACAAAGATCCACAAACCTTCAGTTAATTTGCAAATGCACCATTCTTGTCCACCATATGCAACAATAAAAGATTTTTGACAGTTGAAAACCTGAACGATCACATAATATGAAAATAATAAACTCGGACAGAGAGCAAGAGAGATTAACTATTTCGCCGGATGAGAACAGAACAGGCCTAAGTCACAATTTTGAGTTTTGAGAAAAACGCAAAAAACAATTTGAAATTTTTTTATTTTCGAATTTCTAGATATTCACACTTAGTAAAGTCCTGAGCTCTGGTTATTTTAAGGTGGATGAGAATATCTTTGTAATCAAAATTTTTTGGCACTTCAGTTTCAATTCCTTCCTGCTTTTTTACCCCCATAAGAAACTTTGGCCCATTCTGTTCTCAACAACTTCTGAAATTTTTTGTATGGGATGCAAGGTAAAACAAGGTGACTTAGGCCTAAGTTGCACTGAACAAATTTTTAGGGATGTAAGTTTCGGACATTTAATTTTTGATGTTCATGCCCATCATATTGGAACTTAGGACTATCTTTTTTCAATATTTTGGGGTTTTGAGCCATGCTCTACAAAGTGGTTGTCTTGAAATCCTGCATTTCTCAATAATAAAAATTTTAGCTGGATTTAGGCCCATTCTGTTCTTAAATATTTTAGGCCTAAGTCCAGCTAAAATTTTTATTATTGAGAAATTCAGGATTTCAAGACCACCACCTTGTAGAGCATGGCTCAAAACCCCAAAATATTGAAAAAAGTCAATTTTCCAAAAATGTGACTTAGGCCCCTTCTGTTCTCATCCGGCGATTTGTCAACCAGAACAACTATAATAAAAATATACAGCAATATACGTAAAGTTACTCGGTATAGACTGGGGAGAGCTCTCCCCATATTCACTATTTTGTATTATGTATACAATACTGATGATTATGATGAGTACATGGTGTATAAAAGGGCTAATTGCCAGAGTTTTATCTACATTTTCAATTCAGTTATAAAATCATAGAGCTTTGAACCCACAATTAATGAACAATCAATTTATTGATGTGTTCAAAACTTAATTAAAATGTTTTAGGAGACCCTTAAGGCAAAAATTACAAGGGAGTAATGCTAAAATATATTTTTGTAAGAACAAATGTCATAAAGTGTTCTAATTTGTCATAAAATAATGTTCCATGATATTAAAGAAAACAGTAAATATTGGGTGGAAATTCCGTCTTATAGGACTCAAAGAAGAAATTAAAAAAATAAATAAATCTCCGAGCAACTGTAACCAATTTGTCCATTAGCAATTTTTGCCCCCCAACAACAATTTAACAAAAATATATATGAAATCACCATCACAGCATGAAAACCGTCTACATATAAAGGGTTTTTGAATACCTTCAATCCATGGACAACATGACGATTAAAAATTTTCTTCACGAACAGAACTTCAGTTGTATCATTTTCTCCAGACTTAGGTGTTAGAGTATAAATTTTAATGAAGCTTCCAACACCTGGAACATTTGATGAATAATAAAACACTGAAGCAAGACATTCTTTAATACCTATTATTATGTCAAATTTACATTGTCATATATCGAAAATACAAGATTAATTGGAAAAGAATGAAAGAATCGCTGAATCAGCCATATAGTTAATAAAGTAGCCTTGGACATGTAAAAGGTATATGGCAGTCAGACAGTGTACAGCACAAGTGATTACTGGATTAGGGTTTATTTAATAAAGTGCTAACATTTTTACTACTGTGCTGTGAGACTTCTATTTAATGAAGTTTAAACCAAAAAACTTAGCCATCGACTATCGTTACTTTCGCAGTTTTTAATGTCAAGATGCACTTGATGACAGACTGATTAAAACACAGTGTGCAGACCCTGTGGATTGACCCAGGCAAGGTAAACACAGTAAAATGAATGCGGCTTGAGTTTCGCTGAAAGAATTCTAAATCGTGAATAATATTCATCAAGTTTTATCTCACAATATACAGATATACACAAGGACCCTGCAGCTCAGCACCAGTCTAACCCCAGTCTGGATTTCATGGCCTTTTTGAACGAGAAATCGGGCGTGCAATCAGAAATTCCCGCGTGCAAATAAGAATCCCTGGCGTGCAATTATCAGAGCCATTATATAATGGCTCTGCAATTATAGCTCACGGCGTGCAAAACAACTGCGCCCGCGTGCAACTGACTTTGACATTAGATACCTCTCGATACATCTCCGTCCGGTATCGGATAAAAAATACGTTGAATCAGAGCAAACATTTTTTCTACAGTTTGTCGCTAATTTTGAGAGTGTTTGTGCGATATTGGATACCGGTACTGTTCAGTACATCCGCGTAAAATTATTGAATAAAAAATACGTTGAACCAGAGAAAAATGGACATACTTTGTCATTAATTTTGGGAGTGTTTTTACGTAGAATTAATAAAAATACATCGAATTAGAGCAAAATTGGACGTTTGACCATTGACCCCAAACAGTATTTTTATACTCCGTCACTAATTTTGAGAGTGTTTGTTCGACTTTAAATACCGGTACTGTTCAGTACATTCGTGTAAAATTATTGTATGAAAAATACGCTAAATCAGAGCCGTACCTGGCCAGCGTTGGTGCGGAGGCGATCTTTTCGTTCATAACTATTCTCACGGGATTCCTATCATTCAACACAATATGGTCCTTTTTGCTTCGCATTTTTCGATCAGACCAAATTTTGCAAGCTAGTATTAGTCGACAATTGTGAAGTTATAATATTTTGGCATCTTTATATTACTGGATTATTGATTTTAAAACAATTTGAACCGATTTACATTGGTGAGCAATTGCAAATTTTCGGCGTGCAAAATTGAATTCGCTCGCGTGCATTTTTGCGGAGCGCTAGCGCCCTCGGGCGTGCACCCGCCATGGAATCCAGTCTGGGTCTAACCCTGCAGCCCACAGGTATGTCAGTATGTTAAATTTGTTGCTATAATAATTTTACACTTGACGAACAGTGTTGAAAGTACTGAAGTAACAAATACTGAAATATGAATGAAAAAGCTAGAAGAAGAAGACTATATAAATTTGATAACTACATAACTACGAAAAAATGGTGCGGGTATGAAAAATGACCTCTCAAATTGAGTCGTTAGATTTTATTTACATTTATTTGCAAAAACAAAATAAACATAGGTTATATACCGGTAAACAAAAGATTAAAGCAGTACTGCAAAAGTAACAGAGTGAAGCAAAAAATCGGAAGACTGAAGTCTCTTAACATAGTGACATTACTTACCGGCAAGCAAATACTCCTTATAGACAGCAAGAGCAGTTACTGGGACTTTGATCAAAGACATCACATCACTTTGCAACACAAAATACTGTTCAATTAAAATTATCAAAAGAGAAATTCCAAGTCAAATTATAATGAAATGACTTGAGCACGTTGAAAAAGGGAATTCCCCTGCGAAAACATCAAAATGAATACAATTAACAATGAATTCCGACCCTTGACCCCTAAAAATTTGCATTATACTTTACCAATTCAACATTTTTGAGTGTTTTGGAGAGTTGGCGCTTACAAATGTTTCAAGCTCATTTTTAATAAAAATCCAAACCGTGTGGCGCCGACAGGTGAAAAGTACTTCACGAGGCGTTGGTCCATATTATCACACGTGAAACCGCGAATGAAGAGCCTCGGCGGTGTGGCGCATCGGGCTAAGCGCTTGCCACCGCATCTCTGATTACCTTGCGTGGGTTCGCGAGTTCGAATCCCATGCGGGGGTGATTATGTGCGAGAGGATTGCTGGACTCCTCGCCGCCGTAGGGTGCTTCACGTAACCGCTTGTCGTGTAACCATTCAAACAAACAACTGGCTAACTAATCCCATACCCGACCTGGAATGGTAACCGGACGAGAGGCCGTGGTTCGTCGTATGATTAAGCCGTCTTTTCGCCTTTCCTCTTCCCCGGGATAAATATGTAAATCCTATCGCGGTTCCATTACATTTGAACCCGTAATTTGAACCCACGACAATTGTACCTGCATACTATTTGCACCTACGGATATTTGAACCCATACTAACCCTACCCATGGATTTTAGCATTCGCATATAGATTGAACCCGCGGATACATGGGTGCAAGTGTATGGGTTCAAATGCGTTGTCACCGTTTGTCGCGAAAAGCTGATCGAACCCGAGGATAACATCCAAATGATAGATGTAATAGCTATTTGATAATGGGTTCCGTAAAAATGATTGCTCATATAGCACAAATTTACAAAGCACGTGGATTTATGGATTCGATATATACTAAAATTGCATGGCCAGGGTATGCCCTTGTTATATTTTACTCTGTTCGTTGTAACGGTTCTTTTATTATGGTTATTTATTGCCCAGTAGTGAGTAGACTATCAGTTCTCCATTTATGTTGAGAATACTCTGCGCCTCTGACTACCGCGGACAATAATTATGTGCAATAGGATTGCTGGACTTCTTGCCACTGTAACGGGATTCGCGTAACCGCTGGTTGGTTATGCCCCCTCCCCCTATTAGTTCCACGCATCTGAAACAAATAACTGGATAACATATCGTATACCCGACATGAACTGGTAACCGAACGAGAGACCGTGGTTCGTTATATAATTAATTAGTCTTATCGGCCTTTCTCTCCCCCGGAATAAATATGTCCTATAGCTATGGATCTTACGAATAAATAAAACCCTCGTTTGGACGAACATGCATATCATTTCAAGAAAATAAAAAAGTCTTAGAAATTTTTTTCAGCAAATGAAAACAGGATTTAATTTCCATTTTTTGCCGTCTAATATTATCTTCATAGAATAATTTATTTATTCGCTTTCTTATGAATGACAATAAACGTTGTAAATCTAAATAAATCACGTGATTTATTATGAGTAATCTGTAAATAAAGTTTGTCACTATTATTTCCATATTGATGTACCGTCAGATGAAATATGGCTATATATATAAATGGCTCGGTCACATTAGAATTGTTGTGCAAGAAATTTTTAAACTAAATTACGCCCAAGTCATTCTTGAATTGAAACATTGCACATAGATAATGTTGTCTGTTGATCGTCATAAATGAATGATATTAATGCACACGAATTGCATTGATTCTTTAGTTGCTGTGAGCAATAAAGAGACGTATTGTTGATAAACGTATCTCTGCGCTCGAGCTTGCGTGGGCCAAAACGTATGTCATTAGTTGACAAATTCCAACATTATATTGAAAAGGAATATGTACTTGCGTGATTTGAAAGTATGGCTAATATATCACGAAGACGAGATTTATTGTCTGATCCACAAGCCAGAAAACAGTAAATAATAATAACTGAAAGAAATATATATGGAAAAATAATAATAAATGAACTATAATGTTTTAATGTACCGTACATATTATGTACAATATGAAACAGCTGATGAAATAGATATACTTTGGCAAATTGTTATATCAGAACTACACAACGGGAATCGGTCTGTGTGTGTTAAATTGTTAGTCCACATATTATCCCTGACTGTATACTAAAAGAATTGTTTGATAAATCGACATAAAACAATACATCTGCGCTATTTGTAATGCATTTGTGGGTGTATTGAAATTCCTATAATAGGTAATCAATTCTATCACATATAACGCATTGAATACAAGGAAGTAGTTATTTGGTACCTACGTACGTCACTTGTAGCAGTTGAAGTATCATTATATACCTACGTACGTCAGTTAGCACGTGTGGATTCATTTCCTTGTTTGAGTCAATGCTAATCATATAAAAACTATGGCTGTTTTGTAATTGATGATTTTATTTGGATGATTAATGATGCGTTAGTAAATTTCATTGCACATTGTATAAATGGCGCTTGCAAGTGAATCGAACAATTTAGATTTTCAAATAGGCGCAATTGCCGATTTTGGTTATTTTATTCTATAAAACCTTTGACGTATTTGTATGAGAAATTGCTCAAAGCACGTTCAAGTGCACTTACTTAGGAATAAGAAGAACTCAATTTATAAAAAAAAATAGGGAAAAATAGAGTGCGAAGAGCCACTGAAATCACACAGATTAAAGCGAGCATTGGCACAAGTACATGTTGATGCAAGACTTGAAACAGTTGAAGTCATTACGATCGCTACATTACGCTATGAGTTGTTAATTCCTTAATATATTCTGAAAATTTTGATAAAAATATTTCTTGGTTTTGAAGGTTAACAGCCAGCCGAAAGTCTTTTTTTTGGTGGGGCGTAACCAAAACGTCCATAAGCTAATGTCAGCTACAAAAACTCTTATATGTTCACAGCGAGATAATATTTTACTAGTTGCAGTTTGCAGTCCGGATGCTCTTTATTATATTAGTTTCCAATTATGGCCAAGTAGATTAAAAAGAGTTGTGGGATCTTTGGACAGAATGTGACAGGAATAATCCAGAGAAGGACGTAGGCCTATCACTTAATTGTACAAATGACGTAGGCCCTAACGAGAAAGATGCCTGTCGCTACGGTAGAAAGATCCAACGTTCTCGCGTAACCAAAGAATATGTACAATATCATTCATAAATAATAATCAGGTTAAATATTAGGACATAACAAGCATATCAAGCAAGTGAGAGTTAATTTTCCAAAGTTCTTACCTGAAAAGGCCCCTATAATCGGTCCATCATAAATATAGGTCGGCAAAACAGTTTAAACATGCTATCCTGTATTTGGAAACCCGTTTCTAATGGATTTGGCTGCTTGGAACTTAACACTGATACAGCGATGAAGAATGGTGATATTAGCAGTATCTACACATGGTGCAAATGACATTATCTGGAAGTTGAAAATTGAATTGAAGATTATCTGGATTGAAATTGAATGTAGATTAGACTTTCAGAAGAAATAGGTAATGTCTGGAAGCGGATGGAAGACTATCAAGAACCATTGTGGCGATGACGTTGTTTTCGCAAATGATTTTCTGATGACAAACAATTTACCATGTAATATATAATTCAATTTAATGCATAATTCCGTTGCGAAAGATCCTATAAAAAACTTCAAAATATTCAAACAAACTGACTCAGACGCCCAAACCAATTTAATGTGCATTAATAACAGTTAACGAATGAAATATGGAATGGTTTCAACGAAAGAGGCGATCAGATTCGAGATAAACAGTAATGATACTGATATACGTGTTTCAGGCCATTTGTTGATGATAGACGGAATGCTATTTGGACGATATCTACCGAGAATCATGATATCGCCTTCGTTTTTAATTAAATGTCAAAACAACGGGGGAGGAACTGGCCTGAAGCAAGTGCACAGAACTAAACAAGACTCAATTCAAATCAAAGCCGGTACGTTACTTCAAATCAAGGCTGTATTTGTTGAAAAATGATTTCACGAATAAAGCGTCTTCATCCTGAGAGCAATTTATTTTTTCCATCCTAATAATTAGAGGTGGAATCCCAAATTTACCTAGGACTGATAATGAAATATGGCGGATAAATTTTTCCAATGAGATTAAATCTCTCTTTTTAGACTTGTGTGTCGTGAAATGGACAGGCAAGAAATGAAATACTATGCCATAAATTTTGGTAGAAATCGAAAAACGAATACTAGTGAACGGACAGAAATTTATAGTTAATATCGAGAAGCGCCGAGCTTGTCCTTTAATGTGTTTTCAGTACTGATTTCAACTTTATCATTTAGTAATATTATTCTTATGATATTCTCAAACATCAAAATAAAATATTGAATACAGCACTGTTCTTATATAAACTAATAAAAAGAAATGGGATTTTGTATAGGCTATGCATAAAATTGTATCGCAGGTGCGATATGTGTCGGACTTGATATTATAGCGCGACGACTTGTGAATTGATATGAAAATACAATGCTCTTTTCAATTCAATGAGAAGTCAATGTGTAATGTGTACAAATAAAATAATGCTATACCATTATTATTTCAGTGTTTAACTCGTTTGGAGATATCTACTTATAGTAATAATAGTGAATAGATATCTTCAAAAAATGAAATAATTTGATTGCCGCTGGATATTAGACAATCAAATGAATTATCAAGTCATTCATATTCGACTTAATTAAGACTGGCAAGGAAGCTCAATTTTATTCTTCTAAATAAAAAGTGAGTTATTGATGTTTGCTCAAACTTAACGATGAAGTATACGGTTTAGGTCCAGATTGGACCATGCATATAGTAAATTTTGGGTATATTTGAACAATATTATAATGAACATTTCGTTTTATTTTTGTTACCTAACATAGAAAGTGTGAGTCATACTATATTTGATAAAAATCATTCCCTGTTCCTAATTAAGTTTTAATAAAGGAAAGCGGATATTTCTAATTTATACTAAAGATAAGGGATCATTTCTAATTTTGTTACTAGAAACTAATGGGAAACATGAAGACTGATATACAGACTACATATTGTTTAACACCAAGTCATCATTTTCAACAAACTCACGGGGATCAGAAAATTATGAGTGAGTTCATAGTAATTAATTGCTTATAGGTAAACGTACGCTGCTATAGGGTGGGTCGCGTAACTATACGTCGATAACACATTGTGTAAACATGCATTGCTATCCTATTGCAAAATAACTCGGCATGTTAACGAAAAGCTATGATTCACTGTAAAAATTAAGTGTCTTACAGATTTTTCTTTTTAGAGTAATCCAGACTTATGAAAATCCCAACCGTCTTTATTAGATATACATAATTGAGCATGATACTATGAAAGTTTAATAATGTTGCGTTTGTAATTTCCAGGTTTTAAATTACCCCAGTTTAAATCAAACAAAGTGACAACAATGAACGAAAGCAAAAAAAAGACAATTTTTCCAGGTGCTAGTTTTAAAAATTTATTCTTTTTTATATATATTTTTCACTTTATTAATACTGTAATCAATTTTGTCAGAAATGAATCAGGAACAAAAAGTGGATATGATGGAAAGAAACAACTTTCGTTCTCAAATAAAAAAGATAAAAATACAGCACAAACCTATTAATGACGACGAAGTTTCGAGATTTTTGTCGCAAATCAAAAATGAAAGTAGTGATTGGAAACTTTCATCTGTAGTTGAACTTGAATTCCGTGACTGCGATCTTACCCCCGGATCAATTTCTATCTTCATAGACAATTTGGATGAGGTATGTGTTGGGGTGTTGTTCTACATTCAATATTATCAATAAACTAAGAATATCAGTAATTAAGCATGAAATGGTTAAGATATTTTTATCATGATAAGTTCAATTATCAAAACTTGTCACTTCGGTTGGATGGGTGTTAATATATAAATAATATATTTTTAATTCATTCTTAATAGTAGGCTACCAAATATATGAAAATGAAGTAATACTACGTTTACAGGATACCAAAGTTGGGACACTGAACGTCACTGGAACAACTAAAGTTGATGTTTTGATAACAAAAATATACGAGCTCGTTGAAAAGTTTGGCACTGAATATCTCAATCTCGAAGAAAACGAAACTGAGCCGGATTTTCTGAAAGATTTGTGGCGACTTCTATCCAAGCACAAGGTAATTTGTCTACCCACGTTTCACACATTCGCGGATGGTTCACAGGAGAAATAACAAAATCAAAATATTGTCCAACTTTTAGTTAAATTACATAATACAATATAAATGATTGTTTCAGGATAATACTCTACGTGGTCTTGACCTAAGTTACAATGAACATCTGGACTTTGATTCTCTGGGGAAAATTATCAACTCATCGGAACTTTTGCAATTGAAACTGGTTGGCTGTGGTTTAGATACCAATATGCTCGAAAACTTACAGGGAACAGTTACTCAGGAGCAGAGTCAGGTGGAAAATTTTTCATTTAATATATCAATGAGTCAAATGAATTAGCTTATGCCATAAGTTTGGATATTAAATATAGCAAAATAAAAATTTTATGATTCGAATAATGGCTCCAACTTGATTCGACAAAAATGTAACTAATACCCAATTTTCAAACTCCGATAAAATTAGAACAAAAAAAATTAGTGCATGCAACCCTTCTGTAATTGCCTATTTTTCGAGTTCATGTGTGGGTATTTGAATTTAGCCATCGACACCATCACTATTGGAAGTTCGAAATTTTGACTCCCGGTTTCGGAGAATTAAACTTTTGACTCCGATCCTCGAAAATACGACTCTAACACCAATGTCAATGAAACCTGATAGAGTCGTAGTGAGGATTCCAATTACACAGACTTGGACCACAAAAAAAAAACTTTCCCAAAAATATCTTTATCGAGGTTGACGTTTTTGTTTATTTATTATTCTTTTTAGGTTAATGACTTGGACGTTAGCTACAATATCGATCTTATCTCTGAAGATATAATCATGTTACCGAGTATTCTCGGAAATGGTCCAATTCTGAAGTTGACGATGTGCGGATGCGATCTTTCGGAAGATGATGTTGAAGGATTCAAGGATCCTGTTTACGACAATCTGGAGGTATCACATTTCTTGTCAATTTATCATTTAGTATAAATCTATAAGTCATATATATAAGTTAATATCAAAGATCAACGCGCGGTATTTCTACTATTTCAAACTTTTAATGTTGTCGAATAAAGTGGGCGTTGATTCGTTTTACAATATAAATATATATGTACGACTCTGATGAATGTGAAAAAAAAAATTGAAGCAGCATCATTGCGATGTTAAACGCACACGCTTCAATAAGATCGCAACCGACCACTGGCAACAACTCATAATGAAGTCATAATGACGCACCTTTCTCGTGATATCTGCTGACTCGAGATCTGAATCAGCTCAAATCAACGCGAAACAACTCTGAGTAAAGAATGGCAAATAATTTAGGCAGTAGTAAAAAATTCCAAAATGTAAATGTTGCTGCCACAAACTGATTTGGCGTTTGAACACCGACTGCATAATACAGGATCTCAAAAGTGCAAACGATCAAATTTCATTATGATTTTATTATTTGTATTAGGTTGAATTTTTGGATGTAAGTTACAATTCTTCTCTTGGCCCTGACGGAGTTTCGATTGTCGGAGAATCTGTAAAAAGGATGAAATGCAAAAATCTTGGTTTATCTGGATGCTCGTTAGACGAAGAATGTGTTGATTCATTGAGGACTTCCTTGTGTGATCACAAGGTTCGTAACAGTTCAATATGGGAATTATCCTATGAGTAATGCAACCTAAACGCATAGTGTGGCGCAAGCAATATTATGATTTCGTCATTATAATCTAATCACGAAAATACAAAATGATATACAAAAAATAATATTGACCAATTATGTCTGACATATTGTCACTGTTTTACTCATTTTGACCAGAAACTGCGGTGGTCTGTGTCGAAATCAGTTCAGTTATAATTTATAATAGTTCATAATTTTTTAAATAAAGTCTTATTTTCAGCTGAAGCAATTGGATATTAGCGACAATCCTGAACTAGGACGCTGCGTTGGCAAAGTTGTCTCCTTGGTGAAAGAAACAGAAATCAAGTCTCTTAAACTAAGCGACTGCCAAATCACTTCTAAACAAGTTTTGAGTCTTTCTGAAGAGTTAAAAAAGCAAAAGGTAATACATCAATATATACTAATATAAATAAAGAGCAAGAGAGCAAAGTACAAATTCATAAATACAATAGGTCAAGGGCCATATGATCCCGTGCATTCGAAGAAAACGGCAAACTTTGAGTGAAATATAAGAAGAATTTGGGGGAAAATGGTAATATACGTCTAAGGATTTTGTCCGTGCTGAGGTACTTTGATACCGATTTAAAATCGATTGCGAAGAAAAATTTCATTTACAACGAACCGAACAACATTCAGCAGAGCGATCAGCCTGTACATTCTGTGTCCAATATCTGATACAAACTACTATTCACCATCATCTTTATGAATGAAAAACGGAAAATATGAAAATATAACTGTTTGTTATTTTTTACCCCATACATCAGTCAATTAAATGGCCAAATATTGCTAAAATAAATTCATTACTTTAACAGGTCGTACTCGAAGAATTGAATTTGAGCGATATGAGATCCCGTCCTGGTACCGATTATATGTCTTCTCTGGGAAAACTCCTTAATTCTGTGGAAAAGAAACTTATTATTTGCTTTCCACAAAGTTCGACTGATATCCTTCGAAACTATATTCAAGGAATTTTGAAAACAGAGGATAAAAACGTAGGTTTATGTTTAATTTATAAACATATTTGCAGGCTTCATCCTTGCAATAGCAAATATGATACTAAATAAATACATATGATCAAATAAATAGGATGCAATGTTAACAACCTTCGATTGTATGTAAATATATTTATAAATGAGTGCTAAAATGATTAACATATAAGATATAAAAATTTAGTTGGACATATTTTGTCACTGCACAGGAAAACAATATTTCCTAATTTAAACAAAATGTTTTAATTGTAAAAAAATGTAGACTGTGTAATTTATCAATTTTTTATTTCTCAAGTAATTACATTTCTAATTTTCTCATAGTAGAGGTTTTACTTTGTTATGATCTGTTCACAGCTCAGCATTGTATATGAATACGACCAAGGCCACAAGGAAAAAGAAATTGGTTGTATGAAAATAAGTTGCTGATATTCCCTGAATACCAGGACTGTTCAACTTTGTAAAAAAGCATCATCTGTAACAAAAGTTTCTGAAAAGCAGTAATAATATGTTTTGGAGCTATTTTCAAATTCTATAGTTCTATTCTAATATGTAATTCCATCGTTGTTTTTTTCGTGAATAGTCATTCTGTACTGCCGGTGGCTAACGTCAGGTTGACAACTTGGATACGCGAACTTAGGACAAAACTCTTGTCTGTCACAACTCGAATCAGACTCCACCAAACAAACCAACCAAGCAACATTGAATGTGTAGTCGAATCTAATCTCTACAAGTTTAAATTAGTGATGTTTTAGTTATCAGCAACCGGAGCCGTTTCCAAACCTCCCCCGCCCATCTCTCGCGACCATAGAGCCACCGTCACAATGGCGAAATACTAGCAAAATCCTGCAGCCAAATATACGATGTCATAATAACGTGTTTCCACTTTGCGAAATATTTCTAATTGATAGCCACGGAAAAGTAGAATTAAAAATTGAAAGTTATTATGTAGCATTTGATCCCAAAAACCTTTTTTGACTAAAGAGGAATTTAACAAAATACATTTAATACAAAAAATAACGTAAATTTTACAAAATAAAATCGAAAAATAGTTAAATTGACACTAAATTTGAACAAGATTCGCCTTTGGGGCTAAAAAAAGTATTTTAGATATAGACGTATATTTTAAACATATTTCTAACCAATAGAAGAAATTAGAAAAAAAACTCGATCAATATTCTAACAAAATATTTTCAATACAGCGTAACAACGTAAATTTCACAAAAATGGGAAATATCGTTAAATTGGCCCGAAATTTGAACATGATTTGCTTTTGGGACTCAAAAAACATTTGTGTATGGATAGCGGGTTTCAACATCTTACCAATCAATTATTAGTTACGTATTCCTTATATTCAACTTGTGTTATATTGTAGGGATAATCTTGTTATTTTAGTTAGATTCTACTGCTATTTTTTAAATTAATAATATGAATCGTCGTAAAACCAGTCAAATCAGATTTCTTAAAATTATAAACCACCAAACAAGTTTTGCTAGTGGACATAATTAATTTAAATAGCCCCAAGCCATATTACAATGACGAATCAGTTTTAATACAATTCATCTTTGTACCACACTTGATTAGGACATTTCCGTACATGCTTATTTTCTATATATAAGATCACTATTCACCATTTTAATTACCGGTATCTTATTCGAATTATATCTTTTCGACAATAAAGACTTGGCATCGTTAACGTGTGTCTTTCAGACTGGGGGATCGATGCAGCCGTTAGAGTGGTATCCGTTTCTAACAAACCAACAAAACTTAGCCAGAGAATACGTTTTTGGCTATAGATTTACTGAACTTTGTGAAATATTACAATAGTATAATATATTATCGAATGTGCGATCGAATCACACATTTAATATAATTCTCCCTGTTTTGGTGCTTTTTCAATGTCTATACACTTCGTCCATGTTTATTGCTAAATCTTGGTAGATGATTCATTATAAGTAATCAGTAGTTTATTTTATCCACCATATATACATACCGTACACTAATGAATGCAGAATATGAAAAGAGGCGAAACTGATAAGGTGAGGTGAAAAGGAGTCGCGAGAAACCATGACTGGTTATCGAGCAGCGACGCTCGTAAAAAAAAATCCTAACAGTAATTGATAATAACATAAAAAAGTCTGATGATTAGCATAAGAAATATAGAAAAAAAATTACAGTTGAGGCGACCTGAATTTCCAGGAGACACCCGATACACGAAAAAAACAAAAAACGACACTAGGCACTGGAAAATATGACGAGTCACGATTTGAAAACTTAATGATGCAAGTGCGCGAGAATGAGAATTTACTGCAAAATGGTGGATGATGCGCAATGGCTCAATTGCTCACATTAGAGGGAACCATGCTTGGGGAATGCACCCAAATAAAATATCAATCAAGTTCAGAAGTCAGATATTATGTATGTATGATTATGTCAGTGGTTCAATACTTTGATTTGAAAAGGCTTTACTATCCTTTTTGGCGTGCGTCTTATTTCTTTAACTTTGGAGCGATTCACACTTTGCGAATGAGCAGTAGTAATATAAATAGATCACAACATATTATGACGTACATATCAGTTTATTTAGGCCCTCTAGAGACGATGTCTCATAGTTATAGATGAGCTAGACCAGGGGTGTGCAACCTTTTATACAGGGGGGTCAGATACAAATAACTGAGTGAAACCTCGGGTGGCGTCTTCATTTAACATAGGCTTTCTAGTAATTGCAGGCACAAAAATTTTGGTTATTGATGCTTAGATAATAAATTGGACGCAGGTATAGGCTTTGTATTTCAGAGGGAGTGGAATTACTCGAACGTACCGATTGAACCAAATTAAAAACTCGCGGACCGCATACCATTCAAGATTGGCACTTCACCGCGGGCAGCACAATTTTTCCTTGTGGGCCGCATTTGGCCCGCGGGACGCAGGTTGCACACCGCTGAGCTAGACGACCGCATTTTTCCACATATAAAACGCACCATCACATCTATAATTATCCTTTAAACTGAAAGGATGTGTATTATGCTATGCATTGGTGTAGAAAATATCTAAAAATATTATTCGATGTTTTATGCTCAAGCAGCTGAAAATTCTCACATATATTAGTCCAAGTATTTTAATTTCATTTGGCGAAGTTAGCAGTAACCTATGAAACTTGCAAATACTTTTATCTTTTATAGTCATATTTTCACAATGCTTATTATTTAGGTGTACGAACTACGAATACAAACTTCATTTGTCAATTTGTGTATATTCTCAACTGTGTATATTCCAATAGATTGCCAATTATAAATCATTTAATCGTGGAGCTATAATAGTGCACAAGCTTCTGAAATGAACACAGAATATGTTTCACTTTGTTTGTGATACTTTGATGAAGACTTTGAAACTTAAGGTAAATAACGCGTTGAGTACAAGATACAGTTCACCTTCAAAACACGGCGTTCCTTGTGGAGTATTGGTCAAACAATCATTATTTTATATTTCCATCAATGACTTGCGAATTTTATTCAATTTAATATTAATTAGGAAGTGGAGAACGATTGAATTCAGTCACTGTTTCACTCAATGACGATAAAAATAAACATTTTTCGAAAGTTGTCCATGATGCGCCATTGAATTTACATATGGACCTCATCCTGCAATGTTTCAGTCCCTGTAAAATAGACCACACCAGCTATTACAATCTGTGTGGTTCAGGGTTGTTGAGTTGGCAAGATTTACAAGCGACTCCGACTTTCAAGGGTTGAAGAATTATATCACTCATGGGCCTGAAATTTTAACTCTGACCCCCAACCTTAGAAAATTCAAGATTTCGACTCTGAATCTATTATAAACTTCAAACTTCACTTTACAATAATGATGACTCAAGGTGTGCCAACTTTTGCATAAAATACAACAGACATTTTATTCATACATTTTCAAATTTACACTCATTTACATATTTTAGGGTAAGCAAGAAAAAAATAGTCTTCATTAACATAGGTCTTAGGATAAAGAGAAGATTTATAGAATATGCAAATTTGATTAATGTAATATGAAGGCATGCTTCTCTATCATAGTAAATGTGTATCGACACACTCAAACTTATCCCATCGCGATGCTCAGATGGATAACATTCATTCACATACAATATTAAATAAACAATGTGGAATCATAGCATTTGGTTTAACGAATGAAGCGTTTGCTAAAAATCGTGTTGTCATTTTTGCTTCAGTTTATGGTATATGTTTGATATGACATTAGCGAGACTTTCTGAATAATATGCATGCAAAGAGGAAGGATGTTAAACATCAAACTAATGAAACTGTTTGATGTCTAAATTAATAGTTTCAAAAAGGCCATTTCAAACATCTATTGCTCTTTACCTATAACTTTGTATAGGTTCGTTTTGCAAATGAACACGCGAAGCAAAAATTGAATTAATATTTAACATGAATTATGGGAACCTTTTTACAGTGTGATGACGGAGTTGGCTTAATTGACAAACAATTTAAAAGACTCGCTTCAGTGATAATAAAATGTTTTTTGGACACGTTTAGTGGACATAACGATCGTTTCAATATTATGTTGTTATTGTTATTATTTGTCTCCATCATTTTTAAAAAATCGCTCTTCTCTTCGAATACAGGACCAATTGCTTTGAAATTTTCAGTGAGTAAAGATTGATCTTTTTGCCAGAAGGCTATTACTTTTATTTATTTTTAAATTTCGCATGAAATCTGATATTTCGGCTAAAATTTCGCTGTATTATTTTATCCATGGGAACACTGGCTGTCCGGTTTGATTCTGTAAATTATTTATACGCGAAACTCGGAATTTTTTGTGGGTACCGGTGGCGTCGAGAGTAAATACTGCTTCGCTCTGGTTAACGTATCCATATATTTGAGCACAGCTCTCTTGTTTCTTCTGATAAACTTACTTATAGTGAATATAATATTAAATAATAAGAAATAATACAGATATATTATCCCCTTAATAGTCAAGTTTGACTTATTGTTCTGCAGAGTCATACAGAAAAGGTAGTACTTTGGGAAATCTAGAACTGAAAAATTCCCAAAATCCCTCGGGGTAACTCTGAAAGCATGCGTGGGTTCGCGAATTTATTTCTCCGTAATGACTTTTCTTATTCCGAAAGAAACGTATGAGATCGTAGAATGATTCTTCATCGAAACCAGTTTGGGGTTTTTCAAGGAAAAGGACATTCTGCACTCCACAATATTCTTGATTTTTCGTATTAACCTCTTCCATACTTCTCCGCATTTCATCTGTAATGAAGCTATCGTCCCTACGTTGAGTACACTTCCTCCAATCGAGCTTTTCTGCCTTGTTTTTGCCGTGATTATATTTATATGGAACCATAGAGCTTTTTTTAGGGCTGCTTGCTCTGCCTGCTAGTTTTTGTATTTCATTCTTATTAATTTTTCGCTCCCCTTTCTTTTCCAACGCTTCATCAATTTTTGTTTTTTCTTCCAATGTTAGGACAAGTCTTTGTATCCAGTTTCCATTTAAAATTTTATTGTCATCAGCTTTGCTGCATATTTCTCTTTGTAAATTTTTAGCTTTAAAATCAAAAAAATCTGTGATGTAAGCGATTCTTTTTTCAGCATTCCAAAACATTGGATGATCTAAAACTTTATCAATTGAAGAAGAACAGGCATCAGATAACATTATCCTTATTAAATGCGCTGCTATTTCCCCATCTTCGTAGTTTTCTGCCATTTGTTCTATTTCGCTATCACTTAGCTCTTCACTGCCAATTTCTTTACCGTTGGTTATCACAAAAAAAAATATTTTCCCCAAGCATTGAATATCAAATCTTTGATTTCCCCTAGAAGAATCTTGTCCAACAAACACCACCTCGTTGTTTGCATCGAAGCGAATGTTATCTACTTTGATATCTCCATGCGACAATTCCTTTTGATGAAAAGATATTTTGAGGCGACGACTAATTTTCAAGAGATAGTCTACTTTGTTTTCTTTAGTGATTTTCTCAATTTTGCTTCTTAAGCTTCTTAATGTAACGGCCATTGAATAGGGATGCAAAGTATCGGAAAATATTCTCATAGATGGCATATGGACTTGAACGTTGTAGCGATTTGGTAGGCGTTAGATTTCTTCCACTTATCAGTCTTGATTAGCCTTTTCTCATTGTGACAATGTTGGTTTAATGATAATATTAATGTAATCATTTGCTTTGAATTTGAAAGCAAAAATAACTTGGGTTAATATAAGTAATCAAGCTCTGGGATATTACCTATATAACTGAAAACGCCACAAACTGACGTGTGATAGTGTAAGATTGAATCCAGAAACCCAAATAACGATTGTAATAAACGGGATATTCGGCCTACGCAATAGATCTGCATTGTTAATCTATATTTGCGTGCAGTTCTTATATATTTATTCGCCGTAGAGCTTAACAATGATTAAACACTAGATAAAAATTTTAATCCGTATATTTTGCTTACACCTATAGTTGCTTCATTAATTGCCAACTTTATATATTATGCCTTGCGTTACCGATATTTATTTGCGTATCTTCTGTAAAATAGACTTATATGTAGCAACTAGAACTTGTTTACCAATGCTCCTTTCATCTTTGCATTAAAAACTTGAGAGTTCGATTTTCGTTTAATCTCATACGCTTTTAACTCATATATATATACTTGACATTGATACAGGTGTCAAAATATTCGCGGGTTTTCAGCCATTTTATCAATGTACTCAATACGTCCTATTACTTATTATGTCTCCACATCTCAATTAATATATAAGGTATGCGAAGAGGACGATGACTTGAAAATATAAATATACACAAATCAGGATCGCGTGATGCGGAAGTTTTATTATAGAGAGACGACGTAGTATGACGTTTAAGTATAGTCATAAGTCATTCATGGTGAATGATAGAATGAATAATAACTAAATATTAGCATAATGATATCTATGACACTGATTAGTTAACCTATAACCTACGTGGTATACTTAATTCTTTATTATGACTTCCTTGTGTGCCTATTGAATAATCTATGCGTAATGAGCTATTTAATAATTGCAATGTTAAATGTTAGCAATGTTCCACAACCCTGAATTAATATCTATGGAAGCCGTATTTCCCGGCGAAAAAGTCGCTTTTCTAGATCCAAATTTTTGGCATGATTCTGGGTCTTGAGGGGGGGGTCGTCTTATTAGGCGAGTATGATAATTTTTTGGTGTCGCCCTATTATTCAATTTGTACCATAAAATACCGGAGATAGCACCCCCACATCCTCACCATTGCCGTGTTATTTTAGATCGGTAATGTTCTTATATAATGGACGCAATCGCGAGTTACGTTGAACACAATCAGATTGAAATTGAAAGAAAGTTTGAATTCTCGTAGTTGTTATGGATTGAATATTATGCTACAAGAAAAGTCATTATGGGCTATTTCAACCAATGCATGGATGGAATATTACGCTACAAGAAAAGTCATTATAGGTTATTTTAACCAATGCGCAAACGCGGCGACTGCTCAAATTTCTCTGCATGGTAATTTGAGATTCCGATGTCGATGGGATTTTACTACCCGTCTTATTGGCAGGTTATATGCAAAAACCTATTTCTTCAGGCTTAAAAGCGGGCCTCGTCTTATTTACCGGGTAGACTTTTTCGCCCGGAAATACGGTATATATTTTTTTACAAACGCACTTATATTTTAAACAATTAGTCAACCAATTCGAGCGTGGTTGGTAGTACAAAATTATTTTTTATTCGGTGGTCGTTGCTCTAGGTATTTCCCACTTATTATCCTTGAGCTGTTTGATTACCTTTCTCACCTAAGATTACCACAGTTAAACACTCGCGCCTTTGATAAGTTTTGTGAGATAGCGGCAAGTTGTTTATATCTAGTACAGCTTTATTCCCATATTTTGTGCATAAATGGTGTGTCACGCAATTTAGCATTCAATACCGCTATTTTGTTATCATTCCAATGGCTTTGATGAATTTGTTCACTTCACATATTTATGAAATATCATAAATATAATTGTAATGAACATTCGTATTCAGTGAAAATCGATTACAAAATAATAAACAGTGGCAGGTGAGTCTTGAATTATTCACACAGTTCACAGGTAAGACAATTGCCCTTTTTTATGTAGGTCACTTCATTTATTTATTTTATGAATCAGATACTTTATAACTGAATGCAATAAATACGTCATTCTATTCAAGTATGAATCAAATTATCTCAAACCGAACGTACGAAAATGCAGTCCTTTAAGTTAAGTAAGCCATTTTCTTAGTTAAGGAAGCCATATTTTCCTCCTATTAGAAAATTTTAATATATTATGGAATTACACTGATTTATCTGCCTGAAGACCAGTATTTGTGTGTTTTTGAAAATACCAAGGTAGCGATATGAGAATGTTTTCATTAAAAATATTATTCACATGACATCAGGTCGAACAGAGCAGATTCAATTTGTATGAGTTTGCTCGAATGGTCTCGTAGACGTAAGGCGTAGTCGAAGATTGTGCCAGTTTGTTGAAAAATCATTAATCGAATTTCACGTGTATTGCGTAAGCGTAACTTAGATTTATAGTAATCGACAGAACCGAAGAGAAAATTTACTGAAAACTATATATCGCAATGGGACAAATGTAAAATGTAGGCGACGCTGAGGGTGGGATCATCGAAAAATTTATTAAGTATTTAGCTCGAGCTTGCAAGTGATAATCTGTAAGCTGATTTCTGACTTTTGTCTTGCTTTGCTCACAGTAGTATGTTATGCCAAAAGAGAGAGAGAACTTTTATAATTTGTGTAAGGTACATGCACACAGATCCTGTAAAAATATACAAAGGATTTCAGTGGTAGGATCTTCTGTGATCAACGATTGCTTGTAATTTTGTTCTGCTTAGATCAATTCCGAGAGATTGCCTTCGGTGATCTACTGTTTATGCTATGTGCTTCATAAATACTTCTTCTCCAGAGTACCCGTAATTGATCTAACCCGTAATTGATCCACAATGCTATCGTTACCATGTGTTTTGTTGAACAATGGGGTATTTTAGACACCACGTTGTGGCAAATTCCCGCCATTCATAATAAACCTTGCTTCTTACTTGTAGACATTTTGTCTTTCATAATCACATCACTGATTAAAAATTCACCTTAACATACCAATTTCCATTCTAGTGTGTGCAGTCACGTAACACAAATTCGAAAACGTCGATAATGCCGTTACCAATAAAAAACATTAAAAATAACCAAGCGGACCACGTGAATAAGTTCCGCGTTCCGGACAATGGCATGCGAGCCGTATGTTGTTCCCCCTCTGGACTAGTTTCATGTGCCCCATCGAAATTCTATTTCTTGATCAAGTTAAAAGTAGAATGCTGCAGACAACGATTAGAAAATACTTCATGAGATCTCGATTTTCTTGTATTAATTTATTTTTGTTTTTTTAATAACATTCTGTATATATTTTTGATCAATGAGTCTGTATCTTTTTTAGGAACTACTTGAAGAAAATACTAAGTAGAATGATAATCGATTTCACTCGAACAGGTTGGCCATGTAGTCATCACATTTTCACTCTATAGGAAAGTAAACAGCTGCCGCAATGATTGTTTTCAAATTGAGCACAAATCAGAAAGATCTGTAAAATGAATGTGAACATTACTTATTAACTCTAGTAACTAATCCATCTCACCAGCAAACAGGTAAACCAGATTAAAAATGTCGAATCTGGGCAAATCTGAACTCACCCGAGTTGATATCAACTTTCAATGATTTCAAGAGAACCTTTAATGAGTCAAAAGTATTTGCAGGATAAACTTGTTTCATATTATCCAGCTCTCCTGTTGCCATAATCTAAAGAGAAAATAGTGAATCAATATAGGAATAACAATAAGTCAAACTACAATTTGAAATCTCATGCAGAAGTTCGAAAGTTTATTTTTTTGGCACCGTAACAGATACTACATGTACGTGTTATTGCCTAGAAAATATTGGGCTAGCAGAGCTTGTCCTAGGACCTAGGACAAAAAACGCGTCAAGTTTTGCCATGTACAGTTTTTATACAAATATTTTGAGTTTACAGTTTATATTGAACACTATTTGCAAACATCTTTCAGTAAACAATGATGCTGGTTGTAGGCTTATTTGAATTTTATATCATTGGCAAAATGATGGTAAGGCATATACACAGCAACTGTAAAACCTTACCTGAAGCTCACCAACAGGTACCGCTGATCCTACTCCGATTGCGAATATGTTTATTAGGTTTGATCGAGCATATGAAGCTGCGGAAGAAAGCTTGGAACCATCTGATGACCTAACATAAATCAAATCAAGTGGAAGGTTAAAAAAATAACATTTACTTTGTTGTTTGAAATTATAGCTAACTTATAATTAGAGAAAGTAAAATGTTTACATTCCATCTGTGAGCAGGATCATTATTTTTTTCACTGAAGGTCTATCAAAACAATCGGATCCCATAAAATCTTCGTTTACGGTTTTATTGATTGCATGAGCGGTGTAAGTTGTGTATCCAAAAAGTTCTATTTCATCCAAAGCTCTCTGTAAATATATTTGAAAGTTTTTTCATTTTTTGGCATTTTTTCCATAAAATGAGATACGTAAATAAAATATTTTTCGCATTTTCTAAAAACGATATGAATTGATGATGCTCGATTTGCACCTTGGATCTGGAGCGTTGGAATAGCTTCGCGGTTTGTCTATTAACTTTCGTTTCCATTTATTTGGGCATTGATCTTTTGTAAATTATAACAATCGCATAAACTATAATATTATTGTACTGCTTGACGCTTTTCAAAGAGCCATTGTCAATACTTCGAGAGTATTTCCTGCTTCTCATTCTTGGCGTCAAAGTCAATCGTAAAGTTATGGAAGGAATAAGAATTCGTTGACAGCAATGCATCAATTGGCTGATTATGCGATGCACAATTCACCATTGACGTCATAGCATAGGATTGCTTGGGTAATTTCCTGAAGGTCCCACAATCGAAACACAACAATCGAAAACACAACATGATGAATAAAATGTTTTTCAACGAGTAGTTTTGGGAAAATTTTAAATCAAATATTTGTCTCTCATTCTTGCTAGTTGCTACGGCGGAAAAAAATCTAGACTATGGGTCCAATGTATATATTGTTTGTTCTAAATTATCCCGAAGTAAAAATATAAACATTCTCGAATTATTGGACAAAAATTGCACATAAAGATTGTATTGCTAAATTCTGCCAAAATCCCAAGTTGTTGTTTTTGTTCTTATTTTTGTTGTTCAATAGAAATAAAAATTCAAAACACAATGAATTCGTATTACCACTCATTTTTCCAAGAATTTTGCGCAAAAAATATGCATAATTCAATGAACTCGTGATTGGCCTCTAGTTTTAACGTGTAAATGCTCGCTCGATCATATATATATATATACAGTTGAAAATATTGGATTGAATAAATACCGCTATAAACATAAAGTAGATAGGATTCACCCACAAATGAGAATGCAGTACAATTTTTTTTTATAAAGTGTGAGCATTGGTTTTTATAAAAAAGTTTTTACAAATTATCTCACAATGCTATAAAAATAACCTACTAACTCACATAAAATGCTGTGACATTGTCGTATTTTCCTAGCGGTATCTCTGTTTTCATGTAAGGTTGAGATGAAGCTCCACTACAAAATTTAAATGCTTTTATTTAAAAACTATAGCAAGAAATTTTATTTATTAGTTGAAGTATGACATTTTCTTTCAACATTCTAAAAAATACCTTTTCATATAAATTATTTAAAATGATAAATATGATAATATTTTTCAACAAAACACACGTATTAGTTTTCATCAATCAGGAAACGTCCAAAACTTATGCTACGACTCAAAAAAAAATGCCCAACATATTTCTTAGTCTGACTTTTATCTGCAGCTTCCTACAATATACTAATAATGATATTTATATTGAGCGTAGAAATATTTCTTCTTTCCTTGATGATTCCTAATGACTATTAAATCCGAAAGTATGACTTTGAATTAGTTTTCAAAAGGTTATTATGTCAATTTTTAAAGCCTGTTTAGGGAATTTCCTGTCATTACTTTGAATATAAATAAATTCTTACCTTAGCCAATGGGAGAACTGAACTACACCAACCGCAACTGACTCTTCTAAATCAAGTTTGTCAACAAACATTTTAACCCATAACTTGGCTTGATTCCAATTTGATTGTCCTACAGATGCCGACCCATCTAGTACAAACATTAGATCTATGCATCTGTGAGTACAGGCTGAAGTGAAGAAAGAAAATAAATGCATTAACGACAGGTATAAAGTTGTTTTAATGATAATAGTAAAATGAGTATTTGCTTAGTATAGTTGAACAAATTTTCAGGTACAAAAATAAAAAGGGAACTCAGGGATGAGTTGAGATTCGCAATGTAAGAATTTGAGAGTACTCAATATCCTTCTAACGCCTTTATTCGTGAAAATGCTTGGCTTCTGCTCCGATTGAATCTCAATTATTGTTAAGCTCTTTCAGTATAATTTACAATTTTTAATTCTAATTATAGAATCAATTCTTAAAGGGTTTTGCATAAATGATAAAAGCATTGGACAAAACACACAAGGGTTCTGTAGTTTTCTATATAATTAACTTTGAAATATTGTTTTTTTATTAGATCTAGCAGGTCACCAATTCCGTTCATAAAAATATATTTTACTCGCATTCTACTCGGAGAAAAGACCGTTGCATAGCTTTATAGCAAGCCTGTTGTTTTAAATTACCAATGGTCAGTGTTTATTACTCACAATTCTGCCCAGTGACGTTCACATATTCACAAATGCTATTCTGTAGCGAGCCAACAGTTTCACTCAAATCAGCAAAATTTTTAAGTATAAGGACTCTTTCGTCGTTTCCTTTCTCTCCATTTGCTATTATCTGTTATAAGTCGTAAAATAATTTGCTGGAATTTGCTGGAAAAACAACAACTTGGCTGGCAATTTAATTCAATTTGTGGTTTCCGCAGATGCATCTCAAACATCTTTTTAAAGATTGGAAAAGATTATTTTAAGTCCCCTAATTCCTCTAATTTTTAGATAGAAGCGACTTCAATCAATCAATCACATATTAATTAAATAGCCCTATTTGTCTAGCACTCTACCTTATTCCTAGTGGCCGAACAACGTCGGAATTTTGATAATGAAGTGACGATTTTGATAAAGGAAGTTTAAATTGATATAAATGTGATTGGCAAACCTGCAGTTCTGCCTTGTTATATTGTCCAACACCAATAGAAAATGTGGTTATTCCAAACGATTTGGCGTATGCAGCTGAATAAGGTAGATATGAGTAGTCTAATGACCTAAAAAATAGAGATTTTGTAAAGAAGTTTTTATTATTTAACGATTCGTTTACAAGTCATTGGAATTGAGGAGTACTCAAATATATGAATAGTGTTTGAAAACACCAACGACGGCACATCGCAGCGTAAATTTGCTATACGATCATTCAAATGCTTCATATATGAGTTACCAATCAATATCATAATAGAAATATGGTGGACTATTCTGGCAAAAAAAAACCACGCGGTGGCGCAGTATGCGTAGAAATAGCAAAATTTGGTGCAAAACATAATTTTTATAGGCCGATTTCGAAGCCCGAAATTTCTCTGAAAATAAAAATATTGTTTCTAGCAACAATCTCACCACCAAGAACTGTAATTGCAAAATTGACTGGTCAATTTGTTTCGAAATGAGGCGATTTTTTACTACAACAACAAGACCTTAACAACCCCTGTTTAGTAAAATCTTTCCAATAGCCAGGGTCTTCAAAAAACAGTTACATACTGATAAAAATTGTTTTGAGAATAGAGATAAATTCTTAGTTAGAAATACGTTTCAAACTTACTTGCCATCTGTAAGTAAGATCATGACCTTGTGTACCAAGGAATCATTAAAACGATCAGACCTCATGAAATCGTCATTGACTGTTTTGTTGATGGCATGTGCGGTGTAAGTTGTGAAACCCTGGTACTCCATGGTGTCCACAGCATTCTGTTAATAAGGGTATTGTGGTACTAACAGCAAAGCATATTTGTGAATATAAACACTCACACGGTAACAACAAAATACCTGAAAATATGTTTGGTCTTTTATTTTTCCAAGTTCAATTTCGGTCTTCACATATCTTTGTTCAAATGATGGTCTTCCACTGCGATATGTATTATTTAATTTTTCATATCAAATTTTTTTTACACTTAAACTGCCCGCGGTGGAGTTTAATTGGATTGATGTACACAAAAATGTATTGTCACTAAGTTGTTCCTTCTGCGGTTGGAGCGTTTTCATAAATTTGTGGCTTTCGCTTTTAAATTGATATACTTGGTGAAAAATCAGGTTAGTCGAGCTTCTTTGTAACTACTGATAAATGATAATACGTGTGGTTGTAACGTTTTGTAGAGATGGAGATGGATTATTTACATTTTACACCTAGTCACTTGTTTTCTATACATGGCGTAGATGCTATGTAGACGAAAAATACACAAAACAAAAATACAACTTTATACAAAATACACAAAATTTGTGGGAATATGGTAAAAGTTCATAGATACAATTTTCAAACTGCGACCTTCGGACCAAACGCAGTCAAAATGCACGTTTTTTACGTTTGCAAATTCACGCCGCAGTTGCAAAGGTCTGTCACGAGCAGACTCCATTCAATCCAACTCTGTTTGATTACAACGAATACTCTTACCTGAGCCAGTGGGAATACTGAACAACACCAACATGAACATTTTCGAGATCAATATGGGAAACAAACGTTTTCAGCCAAGTTTTTACATGTTCCCAATTTGTGTTACCAACAGAACCTGATCCGTCCAATACAAACATTAGGTCCATTGAAGTATGAAGACATTCTGTTCAGAGAAATGAATATTTGGATGAGGTATTTTGTGCCCAGGCATAGCATTATATGTTTCATAACAAAGTTTTATTTTATTTGGTTGAAATAGCAGTTAAAATACATCTAAATCGTATCATCAACGTCTAGCTATAGATAATATATACAAAGTTACATTTTTTAAACTTTAATATTAAAAGAAGATTTAAAACCTTATCCAAACATTGAATTATTACGAGTAAATCGATTTATGCGTGCTATCATCAATAAAGATTTTATCTATTATATATTGAACAATACTAAAAATAACATATGGAACTAACCTTTTTGAGCAGAAGTTGTTATCACAAATAATGTCAATATCATACATAATTCAAACATTTTTCTTATTGCGATATTAAATGCTTCTAGTAAAAATATTACACTCAGTAAGTACTTCTTATTCACTATGATATTAATGCTATAAACTGCTTTCAATGAGTAAAATTAGACTTCAAAATTGTTCAATATATAGCAAAGTCGTTTGTTTCAAGTTGATTTAACTTTGAAATATTTCTATGGTATACTAAAAGGGTTCTTAACAACTAACAGAATACTACACAAATTCTGTTCGCATAGAGAACGCTTCCATCAAACTCTGCAGCAAATTATTCATATAATCTGGTGCTTATGGAAACGAATTTCTCCTTACTCGTATCGCGTTCAATAAACTAAGTGTTTTAGCTCCTTTCAAGATTTTGACAAACACTGAAACTTGCATCGATGATTTATCACAAACTAGAATTAAAAATGAATGTTATGAAAATCATTTCTTAAAAATGAATTAAAATAATTCCCACTCCCCGATTCCAGTGACGACATTGTTATTTGTTTCACAGTTCTCGTTCGTGACTGACGCCCCCGGCGATCCTGGCGCCTTATTGTCAATACAGATTTCGAGTATTGAATCAGAATGCTTTTCAAAAACTGCATCAAAAGTCAACTTGTTTATGTTGTTAACATGTCATTCTCCTACTTGTTTTGAGTTTGTAGTTTATATTGAGAATATAATTCATTGAATCTCAACACTGAAAAATTGGTAACATCGAAAACCGTCCTAATAGACAAATGCTACATATACGCAATTTATATATTGTGGCTTTATTTAAGAGATTGGAATGTTTTTATTTTCAAAGCGCATTATGATAAGTTTAACAAATAAATAAAATTCGCATATTTTCAGCATGCAAATTTTATCATATATTTTTTGTGTACAGATGTCAATCTCTAACAACAATTATTAATTTATCACAACCTTCAATTCTTCCGGCATGGTATAAAATATGCGGAATGAAATTGCTATTTGTCATGGTGTCATGAAATCGCGTAACGTGCGAGTTTTCTTACCATTATTTAGTTTTTCATTATATTTACTCATATGAACATAAGAATATTATTCTTATAATTATAGAACGCAATTATCTCCAATATGTTTCATCTATCAGCCACGTACAATACAAAAAATTGTTTATTGCCTAATGTGTAGCAAAAATAATGCTTATTAATTACATATTAGACATGAAAAAAGAATTGCAGCAAATTAGATAAATATCCAGACATATTGGTGTTTTCTGGCCAATCCAACCTACTGTACAGTTCAATTTTGTAAAAAGGTATTTGTTTTAGTGGTAGAAAGTTTTTAAATTCCTATTTGAAAATAGGTCTGTATGTTTATTGGGAACTACAACTGTAACGAAGATGAAACTACATACTACAATTCCTATCGTTACCAAGTGGGTGCCAACACATTTATTTTGATGCCAATGAATACAGCCCTAATTGTTTCAGCTGTTGATCGGATTTATTGAACACGTTGTAGATCTATAGATCCATTAGTTATTGAAATGTTGTTATTGTTGTTGGTATTAATCCTCTTTTTTGTTGTTGTTGTTTTGTTGTCGAGACACTAGACGTCTATTTCTTTTACTTGTTTTTGAATTTACTATGACTCATACGAAATCTGATATTTCATCCAAAATTTCCCTTTTTTATGCGTGAGAACACTATTTTTATCCCGAAAGGCTGTAATCCGTTTTGATTTTCGAACACGGTGCTCAGACACATTTCCGTATGAGTCACATAGACTTCCGGTACTGCGGCTAGTTATTGGACAATCGTGTCCATATATTTGAGCTTTGCTCTTTTGTTTATGATATTTTTAGGTACCTCACGATCTGCAGTAAATATCAACAATTCACAATACAATTTATACATAAGTATAAATTTCATAATCTAAAATATTTCACAATATGCCACCATTCTCAACAATTGAAAGTCTAATTTACGCACATCTCTGAGTGCTCTAATTTTACTTCCTTCCACGTTTTCTACTGAGTATTTGAGATAAATAAACGCTACTTTATGAAATGTTTTGTGTAATGTTTACAATATATATTTCATTATTATATTGATCGAACAGATATTTAATCAGGCCGAAATTTAAAATAATACCAAATAAAATATGTCTCTCAATCCATTTTTGCAACAACTTTGAATCTATTTTGAATAAAAGTAGTAACATTTTTTAAAGATCTCTGATCAGTGTGTGGAGTTGAATATTAAGTATATTTTATTTCATGGCGTCAGATGAAATAATAGTAGAATTTTGCATATTCCGACTGTTTGGTAATGGAATTGTTAGGGCTAATCGTTAAACCAAGTTTTGGTGTTGTGTTAATTGATTAGTATGATACATATAGCTATGTGGACATATATGCTGGCATTATAGCATCGTCAAATACCGTTGGCAAAATGAATACTCTCGTTTCATAATTTGAATTGCACCACAAGAAATATTAATTAAAAAACTTTTATAACTGGGCCAAATTGTAATTCACCAATCTTAAACTCAAAAACCTCAAAACCAATCTAAAAAAAATACTGAGAGTTTGGAAAATATTTATTGCTAATCTGTTTCTGAGGAGGTACGACAGAGGAAATTTTCAAAGTATTTAGTCTACGAAAGTGTACCTTAGCTAGCAACTCGATTGTAGATCAAGTGTTTCCTGTATTAGTTTTCCTTAGAATTTGAAGCAATTGGAATCAATGTTGTGCGAAAATTTTGTAACGTACAACAAGTGTTTCAAAATGGAGTAATACTTTCTTTATTCTTATTTGAGAAAAGAGAAACGAAAAAAGAATTAATATAGGCAAAATGGATTCATGCTAAAATGCGGATTCACAAAAAACTGTGTTATATTTCAGCTACGTAGTTTGGGGAAGTTATGCTGAAAGACCAATCGAATATTTAAACTGTGGAATATTTGTCATTTAAACAGTTTGTGAACTTGATTTTTTTTGTTACAGAACATTTGTTTAACATTTATGTTGGCATGCTAAAATGTTAGCAATATTATTAATCGCTATTTTTGCATTCCAGTGTATTGGATACGGTAAGTGTAATCTTATTCTATTCAGTGCATATTTTTGTTTTAAAAACGACTGCGTTTTATATAAGTTTATATCTAATAAAATCCCACAGAAACCTTCGTTAAGATTTATTCTCTAAAAATGAATATCCAAGTTGACAGTGGTATTTCAGAAAGTTAGGAAGTATATATACCTCATTCGGCCTGATGCTAATGCTTGCAAACTTGTTTAAATGATTAATCGGTTGACTGAATGACACCTGGTATTGTGTAATAATTCATTGCATTATTCCAAGCTGTATCATAAACCGGGCGTTTTTTCAGACTTATTTCCCGTTCAAATATGGATAATATGTAGTGAAGTGTCAAAGTAGAAAAAAAACTGTTCGGGCAATACATAAGTATGCAATTGACTTGTGCTAATTTTGTCAACTGTTTGCTGATTATACTGAAAAAATCAACCCAACAAAGATTACTTCTTTTTTTTTATCTATAACAGAAGTTTTTTCATAACTGGTATAACTACTTTTAAATATAATATTGTGGATCACCCACAATTTTGCATGTTTGATGAACGATCTAGTCACGCACTCGTATATTAACATTATAGTATTCATTCTCGTAATACAAAACATATATGATTCGAGTAAATTGCAATAAATTCCTACTTCAAACTCAGGATCATGTCAAGCATCCTTGTGTGAGGGTCCAGGTAGATTTAATTGTGGAGACGGGGTTTGCATATCTAGAGCAAGACGTTGCAACGGAATAGAAGACTGCCGTCGTGGTCAAGACGAATTAGGTTGCAGTAAGTCACCTTGTCAATTAAATATTACGCCATTCATTTTTGTAAATGGGTATTTTTTGTACCTGAGTTTTATATTTATTTCTTATTAGAAAATTCTTACACTTCAAATATTATTCAATGTAAAAAAAGTTGAATTATATCATTAGGCTACACAGAATCGTTCTCTAGTTCTGTTATCGTTTTATTGAAGTTTTTACTACTTTCGTCATTATCTTTAGCTCCGACCATTTGCGAAAGGAACGATGCCTGGTGGAAGGGAAACAATTATACTTGCAAGCGAGATTGTACAACAACAAGGAGATGTAAAGGTGAACTGAAGAAATGTATATGTGATGATGAGTGTGGACTGAGTTGCATCAATCCAAGTAAGAGTCTTGTTTTTTAATGATAAAATAAATAATAATTTAAAAAAAGCCTCATTTAAAATCAAAATTAATATTTTTGATGTTTTAGTTTTTTACTAAAAAAAAATCACTTCTAAATAAAATTAAAGTATAAAGAATAAAATTGCAAGCAATCACTCGCATTCGACAACACCATTGGCATACGTGCTCATAGGTATTTCGGATTTTAATTAGAGTTCTCATCACCGCAGAAAAGTTCTGCATACATGCCATTGTGATTCCGTTGGGCGAAAATTTAATAACAAAGTGTTACACCCATGCAAAAAGATCCTTTCTTTGTTATCCGAGATTATCGAAAATCCTTTTTGAACAGTAAACTGTTTCATGCTCATGAGTTTAAATGTAGTTGTAATAGTCTATCCATCAAAGGATCAGAAGTTTGTATTTATGAGTCCATGAAAGCTATTTTATCAATAGTCGTTATGTATTAATTCATAACCCCATACTGTCTTAAAATGAAAAAAAGAAAAGTAATACGAAGTCCTTCGTAACATATTTTGCAAGCTCCGATGTTTGCTGCTCGTCAGATTGCACATCTTATAATTTGAAAAAAACATAAGCCTTATTTCCATCATAACGTTAACTCGTAAAGATATGAAAGATTGGAAATATTGTTTACAAACAGTAAAACAATGATATTATAAGAAATGCAATCGGCAAGAACTACACTGCCATGCAATTATACTGGATTTAATCATTGACTGGGAAAATATGAAATGCTGCGTCCTCTTGTATATGCTTGTCTGCTTATATAAAAAGCTCACGAGCAGTTGTCTTTTTGGGAGAAATGGAAAGCGCTGCATATTTATTCAGTTGTCACGTGACGATAACGGTGGAAGTAATACTTAATTTAGGTACTATCTAGACCGAAACCAATGGCAATTGAGAGCGTCACGCCATGTATACGACAGAGCCATGCAAACTCGTCAAAATTTCAACATTTTATCGTCTCGAAAGTATTTTCGAACATCACCAAGATACAAATCATGACTAGTAGTAATATTATTAGCAAAAAGACGATTGCTTTATAAAATATCGTGAAAATTCAAGATTTTCAAATCAGAAGGCGAATAACGAAATTGTCTGCGTTCATAAACTATCAATATCTCACACCATTTTGCTTACCGTACTTTCGCCATTGAGGAAACACCTACGTTCAAATATATGGACACAAAGTCAAATGCCTAGTCAAAATATTCTTATATGTAACGCTAAAAGTTTTCAATGAATTGAAATAAAACAGCAAATTTTGAGTGAAAAATCGGGCCCCATTTTTTCACTTCGCACAACAAATATATAAACAAGGATTTATCAAAATAAACACTTTTCTGTAACAAAACATTGTGTAGAATGATACTTGGTAGAACGTAGACTAGCAATCAACTTGTCTGTACAAGTGCAAACACAGTCTGTAATATCCGCTGCACATGAATTATGAAAAATTATTGAATATTTTATTTTGTAAGTACTCTTTTAAGTAAAAACTCATATCTGCTTCGTTTTAGTTAGTTTGAAGGCATTATGGTGATAAAATAGAGAACATCAGTATTCCCGAAAATATATTTTAAAATAATGTCAAATATTTCCAACTTGAATGAATTAAAATGTACTTGTACAATCTTATTCCAAGAACAAACTTTGGACCTCCTGAAGTATGCGCGCAACCTGAACTCAGGTCGTGTACCAAGTCAGTTTTCAGTTTGTGCGACATTTTGGTGCGCATACTTCAGGAGTACCCAAACTTTATTCAAACTTCAACCAAACTCCAATCGTCTGGCGCGGCTTACGTCTTTTTGCAACGTTTTAAATAATTTTGAATAGATTTATACAACAGCGAGCTCAATGAAGTTAAAGCGATGAACGAAATTTTACGCTATTTATGCCCGGTATTCTATGACATTCCTTAGGTAAAGAACTGCCTTGGAGTGTGATGTCATAGCTTGTAGAAAAAAGTTAAGAATATGCATGTTTCGATTTCGGCAGGTTCAATATGTTTGGGTGAACCACCAACTGTAGAACACGCCGTGTACCGAAATATCAGGAGAATAATTTCAACTGAGAACGGTATGAAGCATCTAGAAATTGTTGATCCAGTAGAACCTCCTTACTACTTGTGGGACATGATAACTTACACATGTGAACGTGGACGACGTCTAGTTGGTCCTCTACCGAGATGCGGTGGGCATCGATTATGGACCGATGAGGTTCCGGTGTGCGTAGGTATATAAAATAAATAAATTGTTACAGTAATAACTTAACAGCAAAGTTGACTTTTCCAATCGTTCGTATTTACAGTTTGAGATAAAATTTGCAATTATGCAAAGAGTGACAACATACAAAGCTAACGACTTGTGGAAATAATAAAAGCTTTATATAACATTGAATATATAGATTTACATTCGTACCATTTTTACAGTGTTAAGTACACGAGACTAACTGGGATTTTGCTCAGTCGTGGCATAATACACATATTTTATATTGTGCTACAAGTTTGTGGCGTCAGTAACGCTCTATTTATTGCATCTAATGATAAAGTAGGTATATTAGTAAAACATCATGGTAAAGTCAGAGCATTAAATTTGAATATTACAAAAATCTATAACATTAAGAAAAAAACTTCAAAAATGAAATTGAGCAAATGCCACCAGTAAAACAATACAGCCTAACATTTTTTTTAGATATGTCATGCCGAAATCCTGTACCGAATGTAAGATATGCATATCATCGTTATTTGAGACCGGCCCACGGAAGAATGTTACCAGTGTCAAATAAGACAATTCCTGTCTTGAATGACGTAGTTGAGTACACATGCGAAGATGGATTATTGCTCACTGGTGAACCTCCAAAGTGTCTTGATTATGGCATGTGGTCCCACCATACCGTGCAATGTGTTGGTATAAATCTTATGTGTTAGTTTACGTCTAATTACTCAGAGCTTGTGTGTGATTCTAGGCAAATGCACTGTATTACGGTGGTTTGACGAAACAAAGTCGTAAAGTATGTGTATGCAGAAAATGTTGCAGGTGGAGATATGTGCTTAATTCCACTCATTTGTTTTTATTTGTGTTATATTCTATCAATATTATTATGTATAATGTTTCACTGAAATAGTGCATTTTCTTAATTTTGCAGTTCCATGCTTTGAGGAAGTTGACCCAGAATTAATATCAAAATATGGTTTGACATGTGGAAGTAGTTGTCTTACTACCGCAGATTGTGACTCGGGAATGGAATGCTTTTGCGACGGACCTTGTTCTCGAGTTTGCGTTGAATCGAGTGAGTAATATTTATGGAGTATAAAAAAAAAGCATTAAACTGGGGGCTATCTTGAAAAAAATGCAACTATTTCAAGTTGAAAAAAATATATATATACATTTTATGGGGAATGAAATTCTGGTCTATTTCAACTGGAATGTTCAAAATATCCACTGGAGATACAATGCTAGCAACTAGTATAGCTTATTTTATGAACATTCTAAAATACCCAACATAGAGATGCCCCAGAAATTTATACGTTTTTTTTTTTAGGTATATTCTCACGCTATTTAGTATATTCAATCCAAATAAGCTTTATAAAGTGTTATAAAAATATATGAACATATAATTTTCAATTAATAAAGTGTGGTTAACTCAATAGCTTCTACAATTCTGTAACTTTCTAGATATTGACTGTGGTGAGGCGCCCGAAGTACAGCACGCTACCGTTAATTACACCGGATCTGCAATACATAAAGTTGCCAGGTATTCGTGTGATTACGGATATTACTTGGCACATGGATCTCTCTCTCTTTACTGTTCAGGGTCGGGGTTATGGATTGAAGACGAACCAATTTGCATGCGTATGTATACTTAAAATGTTTGAACTTTATATATATGGTATAAATCCCAGTTATATTTACAATGCATCAAAAGTAATCTATTTCTTCAATATTTCATTTCGAAAATATTCGTTTTATTTATTACCACGTCGAAACAAAATTTATTGTGTATTCCATCTTTCTTGGAATCCCATTTAAATAAATAGATTTATAACTTGGACAATTTTCTTAATGTACAATACTATTTCGCAATCATTTTAAAAAATGTTTTGAATTTCTCCCAACGTGACATTATTTAATATTTCAGCTGTAACGTGTGGCGACCCCAGTACGAGTATAGAGGAGACAGGGGGATCAATCAGATCTTACGAAGGAACACATGTGGGAGCAGTAATAAAATTCCGATGTCCTACAAATTACAAAATGCTTGGAGCAAAAAGCCGAACTTGTTTAGGGAATGGTAAATGGAGCGGACCACTGACAATTTGTGATCTACGGGGTAAGGAATATATTACAAGAAAGTACAAAGTTTATCGCTACGGTTTGTTACAACAACATCATACTCTTTGCTTTTCAACCATGGAATTCTTCCACACTAATCTTTCATGGGACATGCAATAAAACACAATAAAAATTAACACTTTTACTTCATCATACTTTTTAAATCATATATTATTTTATTGGAGTGCAATTTTACAATTTTACTTTATCATACTTCTTAAATTATACGTATGCGGATTAACAAATATATTTTTATAATTTCATTGCCATTTCATTGCCATAAATTCATAAACCTTAGCATCAATTTTCAAATACAAGTAAACGTGACAACATTTTTAGACGAAGTGAAACGATGCCCTCATCCCGGAGTTCCAATCAACGGAAGACTTATAGGAGATGATTTTACAGTCGACTCCACAGTCAGATTCGGTTGTGATTATGGTTACGTTTTATATGGCGATGAAGAACAAACATGTTTATGGTTTAAAGAATGGAATGGAACCGGCATAACTCCTACTTGCGTTGGTAAAATTTCCTACAAATTGAAATATCTTTCCTAATATGATAAGAAAAATTTTAAATCTTAAGCAATCGAATTTTACACAAAGTATGTTTTGAATTCATAATTATGTATTGTGATGTTTATGTAAACAAATAGCGCAATAAAAAAGGGTGGGTAATGAGATAGTTAATAGCCCATACATGTATATGAAATGCAATGCATTTAAGTAAATTTTGGTCGAAGGGAATTCAAACAATAAACAAATCTTGAAAATTCTAAAAATGTAAAAGTTTCCATCACTTTTGCCAATGTTTCAATGTTATTCTTTAGAAAGGTTTGTCGTGGAAATTGCATGGGCTTTACTGGTATGAGTTTATTTCATGAATATAGATCCTCGGTATCCTCACACTGCCGGAGACGTGATCGGCTCTTTGACAAGAACACTATCTACTCTGCCTGATCAGCAAACAAGTCTTGGTAGATTTATCAGCGCGGAAGCTACTGAAGCGCAAGAAATTTACTTCATGTTCGATGTTTCAGAAAGCGTTCTGAAACGGCCAAAAGATTTAAAAGACGAAATAGAATTTGCAAAGCGACTTGTCCAACGGGTAAATTAAAATAAACTTTAATTGGAGACTAAAATAACCTAGCAGTACATTTAGTTCGATTACGTTTTAATGTAAGAATGTTTGACAAAATGTTCACTCAAAGTTAAACTGGGACATCCTGATGGCAAATGTTGAACGGGCGAATAAAATTTGACTGCAATGAAGCAATTTGCAATGTGAATATCAACCAAGGTTCAGTCCAAAACGTTTTGAACAGTTGCTGAATATGGAATCCGAAACTAATGAATGTTTTTGATGCTCAATAAACATGAAATTTCGTGAATTATAACATTTTTTGCCAAGAGAAAGATTAAACAGTGTTGGCAGACACTAAGTTTAAAAACACATCTTTATCGAAATTGATTCATTTGAATTTAGATGGAAGGATTCAAAGGAAGTATACATTTTGGAATAATGGTTTTTGCATCAGAAAACGTCACGGCTTTAGATATTTCTGAAAGTAAAGCTAGACCAAAAAGTATAAAGCAGATATTAAAAACATTGGACCAAGTCTACGTAGAAGGTGCATATTATCAATATCATTCTTTTTTATTGTTGATGATCAACCGATTAGAACTAAACAACTTTATTTGTGTGTTTGTGACTGAAATATTCCATTGCAATGGCAATTCTGACTAGATCTGTTTGACGCGGTTTCTGTTCAGTTGCAAGAAACTAGTCCAAAAATGTATAACAAAACTCCTCAGTGAAATAAAATTCAATATATAAAACTTTCAGCTGCTAGCAAAAACTACAAAAAAACAACACGATCCGGTACAGCAACCGCTTATGCCTTGGGGCAACTTAAAAATATAATGGCGTGGATGAAAATTCAAGAAGAAGGAAAAGATAAAAATAAAAGACATATCTTCCTTTTCACCGACGGTAAAGCAATAAAATTATAGGGCATAATGCAAGTAGATTATTTCTTTGTTTAAGTTTTCATGGGAAAAGATTGAAAAGTTAGGAGTCAAAGCTTTTCTCGAAGCCCAAAATGAGGCAAGGCAATCGTAAAACATAGACTGCGTAAATTGACCTTAACGAAACCCATAAATTATCAGATTAAATATCAGGGGGCAATATATTTTGTGACTTTTGTCGATTTAAAAAATACTATTCGTGATTTAACGATGATACTAATTTGAAATAAATGCATGCATGTATATGATAATTTTTGCATCTTTAGGAAAACACACAGAAGGAATTGATCCCATCCAAATAAGAAAAGATATAGAAAGTGAATTCAGACCAAATATTGAAGTATGCAATATTTAGTAATTGTTTCGCTGATTCTAATATAGTTTGCAATATTTCTACAATATTCAGTGTAACCTAACAGCACTGCATTTATCCTATTAAAAGAATTTTCAGATATTTTTTTTTATAGATTAAAATTATTTGAATTCAATTGCAAATAATTGAAAAACGATGTAGGCTACTTATTTCATGTGGTATCTCCTAACGACTGGCAACGTTATGTACAAGTTGGTACGTTTGTGCTACGATTCAAATCAACCCGAAACCTATTACTGCCACGCATACAGCTCAAGGCTTCTTTTAATAAAATAACGTTACGAAATAATAGTACAGTAATACCATGGTAGTCGATCTTGAAATGAATGTGATCGAGAAAAAGTTTAATTTTATTTCTTGGCATGTTCGAACTTTCTCCATAATTTTCATTTAATATTCTGATAAATAACAAATCAGACCGTTAGAAAAATATCATTTTGTTTGTTAAGTTTTACAGCATAACAGCTTGTAAGGATTGTCACGAAAGTGACAGTCAAAAAGAATTGGTTGGACTGGCATCAGATGGAAAAAATGGAAAAAACTATATTTATATAGAGGATTTTTATAAACTTTCGACTTACCTTGATGAAGTTACCGACGTAAAATTGGGTAAGAACTAAAATATTGGTATAGCCAGTAAGGTATACTCGGAAAATGAACTGAAATGAGCAATTTTTCAAAACTCGCAAAGCTATATGGTTTTATACGTGTATGTGTGTAACCCAAAACAATCAAGTTAATTCAGAAGGTTTTATTGTATTAAAATTTTGTGCATCAACTCACACAATTATCACGATAAATTCTGTGATTAAATTTCATTGGTTGATAGGATGAATAGATTTTGTCTGCTTATGTTATGAAAATATTTGCTGTCAAATTCTAGTTATCAAGGTTGTACTAAAATGAAATGAAATTGTTCCGAGCAAGTAACCTTTGTTACTATACAACTTATAATCGACCACATAAACTTTCATAAATTTACAGACTTTGCAGAATGCGGACAAGCTGGTAATGTTGGAAGCATAAAAGATCAAGCTAGCTTAGGTAGATCAACTGGCGGAGAGGACGCGGCAGAAAATGCTTGGCCGTGGCAGGCTTTAATTACTAGAAAATCACAAACTCCGGAAAAGGTAAAACACAAAGTTATTTTTATAGAAAATACTGCAAATTATAATAAAATATAGTAAAAAAAGTTGTAGCAATATTATCACCAGAATTCCCGACGTATAATATATATTTAATTACCTGTACTTTCTTACACGTTCAACATGCTATTGGGAATAAAAAAAACGTTTTTCCAAAGAGTGATTGGATGGTAACCTGAAGCATGTTGCAAATAAAAATTGTTGGTAAAATTGTAATAATCCATATTATATAAGTTTGTATATATTTCACATTTTTCCTTTTGGCATAGTTTTACGTCGCCCACAGTAACACGTGTATGGAAGATTCAATTGATGTCCTGCCTTTTGCAAACTGACAGCAGTCAGATACGATCCGAGCAAATAAGTTACTTTCCTTCATTAACATAGCATTCTTCTTGTTATTTTAAACCTAAATTTGCTTTTGCGTTTATTCTTCTTTAGTTACGATTTTGATTTAAACACTACTTGATTAGTTTGCTATTTAAACCTTGGGCCAAGCGCAGTCGTTCAAGTATTAGTCCAGCGGGCAAGACCTCAAATATGATAGAATTGTGCACTTTTGGATGCAAGCATAAAAATTAACACACATATACAGTAACATCTTCTGATTAATTTTGGATATGATGCCATCCAAAAAAATACCTCGTTGCCATGGAAACGAGGCACTATCCGTATTGCTATCCAAGGGTAAGAAACATTACTTTAGGAAAGGATATTTCCAAGATAAGTAAACCGATGTGTATTTAGGAAGTAAGGAATATGATAAAAAGTGCATTTTGACAATTGCCCCTGATAACAGAATACCTGGTTACCAAGGAAACGAGTTATCGTTATCGACCAAACACGATTATTATTCGCACACAGGGTTGCCATATTAGCTCTTTTAACGCCAAATTTGCCATTTTTGGCTTTTTTCAAACGCGTTTGGCGTCAGAATATCCGGTTGGCTTTTTGGCGTTTTTTTGGGTTTTTCCAAGTCTATTCTACTGTCTATTATTAGAATCATATGAAATACAATATTTAGTGTGTAACAACTGAACAATAGCCTATTACCTGTACTTAGCTACTTAACATTAGGATTTCCTGTAGCATCGATTTCCTTGTTTGTTACATTAACTCTTAACCATACCCAATAAGAAATAATTGCAGTTTCTGCAGCTGCTCAGACAGATGTTCAAGCAGGGTTGTAAACATTGCCTCGTTGTTTATAGTTTTGCGTGTTATTTGTCAGTTTTACGTTCTGTTTCCAAAAAATAGTTGTATACCTTAATTTTCATTATGCCTGATATGGTTTATGTGAGCTTTAGTTTAATTCTGCAATTGCAGTAACGAGGTGATTAACCACGCTAAAATTACTGAATAAGATATCAGTGGTCCACCTGTGAGCGGCAGGGGGTTAGATAATTTTTTAATAAAATTGATGGTTTATAAATTTTAAAAGTAAGAAATATTCAATAGTAAAGTACGATATAGGGAGAATATTTCAAGGTATATCACAAGTTTAAGTAGAAACATGTAGGTATATCACATTCTTATGTGGCACCCTGTATTGTATACATTGAATGGTAAAATAATGCTGTCCGCTTGATATTTAATTTAATTTCTACAGTTCTATAGGAACTTTACCTTCTGTTCGTGTGCCTCACTGAATGAACTAATGGCTCTATATCATCATGAGTACGTTGCCAAGGGCTTAAAATCTGACAAAACATGGGGCTTTTGTACTTAGTAAAAATGTTGGCTTTTTCTGGCTTTTTTATGTCATGATTTGGCTTTTTTTGATCGCGGGGTCTGGCAACCCTGGTCGCACAACCTGAACGCTAACCGGAACACAAATACTACGTTCATGTTGTCCGCCACCTTGGTGCACATACTCCTGGAGTTCCCCCATCCCTACTATTTAATGGACATATTTCCTATGCACATGTATATTATAGTTGATCAACATTATATCCCAGCCAAACTACGCTTGGAAAAATTACCGTGTTTTCACGCATCGACTGCACCGAGTTAGCAATAAATTTCCATAATCAATTGTAAATCCTTTGTTTATTGAATAAACAAATTGGTACTGATTTCACCTCGCTTGTTACAAACTTGTCTTTGTTTTAGAGCAATTCCTATTGTGTTCGACACGAGCGAGAAGTATTCATATTATTGTCATGAATCACAAATTAAGCTACAATCACTTTCAAAATTTAATTCCTTTTGTGCTCAACTGCCATTGCCAATGGTATATTTTTAAACTCATAGCCACATAAAGCTGGTGAAAATATAAAATAGGTATATATCTCATAACTGACGGATTATTGCTATCTTGAAGCTATCATATCGTCATCATATATATAAATAAATGTAAATTCCTTCTCACAACTCTGGCAGGAAGTATCTCAGCCAGATAGGATAGGATAGGATTTACATATTTATCCCATGGGAGAGGAAAGCCGATAAGACGGCTTATCCATATGGCGAACCACGGCCTCTCGTCCGGTTACCATTCCAAGTCGAGTATGGGATTAGTTTTACTGTATTGTTTGTTTTCGGAAGCATGGACTTGGTGGTGGAGGAAGCCGTAACCGACCAGCGGTTACGTGAACCACCCAACGACTGCGAGGAGTCCAGCAATCCTCTCGCACATAACCATCCCTGCATGGGATTCGAACCTGCGAACCCACGCAGAGTAATTAGAGGTGCGGTGGCGAGCGTATTCCTAACGCTTAGCCCGTCAGATAATCTGTGGAAGACGGAAAACTTGCATTACATTTCCGCTCAAACTCGGCTGAAATCATTGATTCTTGTAATCTAGATCTAACGTCGCCTTATGTAATTGCTACAATAAAAAATAAATAGAAAAACGATTGACATAATTATATTTTCCAAAAATATATTCCACAAAGAATCCCCAATAACTATTGGGGGCAATTTTACTATATGAATATATATTTCAAAGAAAGCACTTATATTGCATGAAATATATTGCCTAATTAAATTCGATTCTTGAAACAAACTTTTAGGTACATTCTACTCTTCCATATATTGCCGTTGGCTATCTGTGTCGTATGAAAATAGTTAATATCTATATTGCCCTTCTAATAATCAGAATTCAATTAACAATAAACATTAATACTAATTTCCTCTCGAAAATCATGTGCACTAAGCTCAAACAAACTTCAATATTTTCACTACATTTTATAGGACTGCAATTCTATTGAATTCCAGGCAACATACTGTTCTATATCTGTCACAATGATTATAATCGCGGTGCTCAGGAAATGTGTTTTCGACATTGTTATTTAACGGTAATAAATTCGGCGGATCGATATAATATATAGCGGTTTAAGACCTTAATATGTATAGAATAATATTATGTGTACAAGGATTGATATTAGATTATGGGAATCAGTTTTTATGGCTTATATCTTGACAAGTTGGTGGACAGAAATAAGAAAAGGGAAATGTTTTCTACTCGGCGTAGTTTATCCTACCCCTGCAGGTGTGGGGAATCACTTTCCTGAGGGGGTCCAGTTACAGATAATAGACTTATTAGGAATACACATTGCGTTTCCCACTCATACTGATGGATTTGTTACAGTGGCTGGCAAATTACGGCAGCTGCAGAGAGAATGTTGGTAGAAAAATAAGTCCAAACCCAGACTAAGGTTTATATAATAAATAGCATAATGTAGCTTTCGGGTAATCTTGGATGAGTTTTAGGTATATGTGGCTTGTTTACCACATTATTTACGGGTGCAGATAATACATGCCTATATCTTAGCCGAAGACTCGTTAGTTTCAACGCAAATGTATATCCATAAAAACTATGTATATTGTAGTCGTAAACTCTACAGGCACAAGTGGGCCGGATGGAATACTTCGGCGAGCTGGATCCTGCCCGCGGGCTGTATCTTAGTGGTACTTAAATCAATCAGACTTCAATAATCAATTATTGGAAACGAAGTGTACATATGAATCGTTTTGTTATTATTTTGTTCTTGCACCAAGGTGGCGCACAACATGAACATACTATTTGTGTTCCGGTTAGGGTTCAGGTTGTGCGACTAATAATCGTGTTTGGTCGATAACGATACCTCGTTTCCGTGGTAACTAGGTATTTTGCTATCAAGGGAAATTGTCAAAATGCACTTCTGATCATATTCTTCACTTCTTAAATACACACCGAGTTACTTATCTTGAAAATATCCTTTCCTAAAGTAATGTTTCTTTCACTTTAATAGCTATACGGATGATGCCTCGTTTCCATGGCAACGGGGTATTTTCTTGAATGGCACCATATTCAAAATTGATCAGGGGATGCTACTGTACATGTGTGCCAAGTTTCATGCTTGCATCCAAAAGTGCATGATTTTACCTCTTATCAGCTGGACTATATATGGTTCGCTTTGTTTGAACCTGATTTTGTGGTTCGACATCGGGGGATTATCAGGTTAACATAAATTATTTAACGATTGCAACGAGTTGTATAAGAAGATAGTATAAGAAAATACACTTTAATTTTAGAGTTTAGCGAAGAGCAACTTGTTGGGTGGAGCTTCGATTTTGAACGAAAAGTGGATATTAACGGCAGCTCACGTACTTGCTGACGAGTCTATGGATCATGGCTGGTTGGAGAATTATGTGATATTTGTGGGTAGGATATTTTATTCGTAACTTCACGTGTTTTGCACGCTGCTGCTCTGACCCAAAATCAAACCAATTAGTTTATGAAAACAAAGTAATAATAGTTAGCACAATCAAACTTTTAATATAATACATGCATCTAAAGCGGCAAAATGACATAATGATGCCTATTGTTAATACACGCAATATTTATGCTATTGAATACTAAGAAAACAAGACACTATCGAATAAATTTATTAACAAGATATTTTATATATACATATTCATACGAATATTCATGTCCTGTCTCACTTGTACCACATGTTCCAGTCTCCCACTTTTCCCATGAGTCCTACTTTCCATCGTGTCTCACGTGTCCCGAGTGTCCCACTTTTTCCACATGCCCCACTTAACTCATTTACGCCCCAATTGTCTCTCGTTCCCCACTTGTCTGGCGTATTTCACTTGCACTACGTGCCCCGCCTATCAATATCAGCCACATCTGCCATTTCTGTGATATCGATAATTGTATGGGTATCGACTAAAAATAGACCGATGTTTCAGGTATATTCTGGTATTTGATCTGATTTAAAATGATTTAAAAAGATTTTTGAATTTACTCTTGAATTTTACTTTACTTTTTTGAATTTTGAACTTACTACTGTTTTTAACTTCAAGTTAACACCAAATGTACTTACCTATTTATAACTACAATTCTAAAGACTGCGCAGATCGGACACCGCGATTTTTTTTCCGCCTATGCGCAACAAAACGTCTGCAGAAATTACCATAAATTGTTAAAAAAAAGCGTTGAGACGCAACTTTGCAATGGTTAAGTCTTTAATGCATGTATCCGCATTCAAATTTTAACATTCTTGGGTCAAGTAAGACACGTGAAGCCAGTGAGGCAATTGGATCAATTGGAACGTGTATTGAAAGTGTGACACGACATTTGGACAGGTGAGACACGTGGAACAAGTGTGACGAAATTTTCGAGAACGTTAAGCTATTTCAATGAAGGATTGTCGGTTAGCAAGCCCGTATACAAACCATGTAAGACCATCGTATTTGAGCATTTCTTTGTTGTGGTTATTGCGATTCGACATCGTCCCTTCATTCAGAGATGATAGGTTCTTCCATCTTAATATTAGCTTCGGTTTCGTAGGTTGCCATTCAGAATCTACCCTTTTTATTCAATATTATTCAAAATTGGGAAATAATAATTGTTTAGGAATATTTAGTCGACCTACCATCAGAGGAGAAAAAATAAGATCTAGCATCAAAATGTTTTCATTCGGAGACTACATTGCCCACGAGGAATATTCAAATGAATGGGGTAATAATTTCGAACACGACATTGCGTTGGTAAGAGTTTAAATTCTTTACAGAGAAATTGTGGAATCATTCTGTAGCGAATATTCTCGAAGCAATGAATGAATTCTAATTAATTAAAAAATATATTATAAGTTTCGTGGAAACGAAAATATAACTGCCTTCCAGAAATCATAACACTTAACATCCCAAATTTGTATGAAATATCTTCAAAGTAGGCGTTTATTCTATAATTCTGTCCAAATGTTGTTATTAAAACCTAAGTATGTTAAGCAGAATCTTAACCCCTATGGCGCGTTCTATCATTCAAAATATTTTACATTTTAGATAAAAATTGGAGCCGAGTTTGATCCACTAATGCAGGCCATTGGTGTTGATAAATTAACATTTGGATACTACATTCGTCCAATATGTCTACCTTGCACTGGAACATGCTTGAAGGAAAAGCAATTGGTGGATGAAAAAGGAATATCATTGATAAACGAAGAAATGAACGAAGTACAAATATGTTTAAAAGAAGGTTTGTCAATTTAATTTACGAAGTAGTAAAAGTTGTTTTTCAAGTAACCATATCCAATTGAAGACTCATCAATAAGCGAATGAATGCTGCTGTTACCACGAGAACCTAAGTCTTAAAGTCTAAACCAGTGGTTCTTAAACTTTTCGAGTCGCGCCCCCCTTTGAAAAATTTTATAAACTTCGCGCCCCCCCTTTTTTCTTTGAAAATCTGCTTTTGTGATGGGCTGGTTGATCTGTGTGTTTAAAACACACAATAATAACAGACTTCCTGGCTTGCCTAACGTCTCCAAAATTCACTTCCCATACCCTTGGACAACCACCAGGTTCAAAAATACAGTTTACAAAATGGAGAAGTGTAAATGAATATATGTACATTATTAGCAAAAAGAAAAGAAGTTCTAAAAGTTATTATGCATGCGGACGATTCCCCGACCTTGACCGCTGAAAAATAAAGTGGCATGACGTTTGCGATTGCATTTTGTTTGAATATCCGATTGTTTTCGTCAGCCGCGACAGATTAAAAACACTTTCTTAGACGTTGCAAACCTTATAAATTCTTTGTGCCTGCGGCACACCTGTAATGTTCTAAAACTACCGACTTGAAATGAATTTTTCTCCGTGGGATTTATCACAAACTTGGGAATTTCTCTAACAATGATATCTGAAAATGAATCATGTAGCAGCATTGCAATGGCGCGGAGTAAGAGTTGCAGCGAATATGAATCAAAACCAAATGTAATCTGGCAGTTTACACATTTTTATGTCTGCGGATTGCCGTGGTATTTTGGGGTAGGGGTGCTTTTGTTTTATTAAAGCAATCGCAAGGTAATTATTTACAATTAAATAAATAAAGCAACCATTTTAAATATGTATATCGGTCATGGATCTAATATTTTATTCAACCATCACAAAAACCATTACATATCCATTGAAAAAGTCGGCTCTTCTAACGAGTGGCGTAATCTCAACGACTGACCCATGCAGGAACCGTATCGCGGAATTTCGGGGTTATCTTGGACAAAAAATAATTAAAATAGAGAGACATTTTGAATTCTTGTTGTTAACATAGATTAAATATTACGATACAGAAAAATTTATTATAATGTGAAAAAGCCGGCATTTTTAACACAACGCGGAGATCGTTTTTAGGAGCCGTTGCTTGGAAATTTCTGATTCCATTTTGTGACCTTTCGCGCCCCCCCTGATATCATCTTGCGCCCCCCAGTTTAAGAACCACTGGTCTAAACCATAGCTTATTCAGAAAATATGTAAAACGAAATAACACCTAAATTCCCTATCGGAATCGTAAATATGATTAATATAATATTAAGTGTTGAACGGAAATACTTCAATTTGTGTTATTGGACACGTTGTGGACATAGCGATCGTTTTAATATTATGTTGTTGTTTTTGTTATCATTATTGGACACGTAGTGGACATAACGATCGTTTCAATATTATGTTGTTGTTGTTCTTGTTCTTTGACACGTTTTTAAAAAGTCGCTTTTCTCTTCGAATACTGGACCAATTGCTTTGAAATTTTCAGTGGTTAAAGATAAACATTTTCTCCAGAAGGCTATTACTTTTTTTTCGCTATGACGTCATCAAAATTATGTGACTCTACGTGTCCATATATTTGAGCATAGCTCTCTTGTTATTCTTCTTCTCCTTCGTCATACCCTTTGGACACCTAGTGGAAAATCTAAAAAGTCGCTTTTCTCTTTGGAAACTCGACCAATTGCTTTAAAATTTTTATTGGGTAAAGATGAAATTTTTCTTCAGAAGGCTATTACTTTTATTTATTTCAAATATTTCTGTTAGCTATGTGACATTTGTTTTTGTTTGCTATGACGTCACTGAACATTCTGCGGACATCGGACGTCATTTTGTGTCCGACTGTACTGCTTCGCTTGGTGTGAATATATTTGAAGACTGTGGTATCTGCTGTTATAATATCGTGATAAATCGAATAAGTTGATTTTGCAAATAAGAACCGTGTTTTTGTCTGTTTGATTGCTGTGATGTGCTGCTTTGTTTATAATTTGACGAGTTTTGTTTGCAATAACCGTGTTCTTAAAATATCATGGTCATAAATGCAATTAGAAGCCCAGATAGAGAAGTTCTGGTACCGTAGCACAGCGCGGTGACACTGAACTAACTCGTAGCTGTCAAAAGCTTGAAAATCCATACAGATATAGGAGATAAAAAGATGAAACTTGGCACGTGGGTAGAGTTGTGTTTCTTTTAACCATCTTTGAAAGTTTCGCGTTTCTACATTCAATGGAGGGGGAATAGGGGGATGCGCATTTCCAACACGTCGATAATATCTTTGTCAACCAATTTGCGACCACCGTGTTTTTGTCTGTTTGATTGCTGTGATGTGGTGCTTTGTTTATAATTTGACGAGTTTTGTTTGAAATACCCGTGTTCTTAAAATATATGACGGTTAGAAATGCAATTAGAAGCCCAATGTTTTTAAAGATAGAGAAGTTCTGGTACCGCAACACAGCGCGGTGATAATGAACTAACTCGTATCTGTCAAAAGCTTGAAAATCCATACAAATATAAGAGATAAAAAGATAAAACTTGGCAGGTGAGTAGAGTTGTGATTTTTTAACCATCTTTGAAGGTCTCGCGTTTTTACATTTAAAGGAGGGGGAATAGGGGGGAGCGCATTTCCAATACGTCGATACTATCCTTGTCAACCAATTTGCGACCACCGTGTTTTTGTCTGTTTGATTGCTGTGATGGGGTGCTTTGTTTATACAGTCACCGCACATGATTTTTGGAGAATTGTTCTGCGTGTTCATATATTTGAGCATTGCTCTCTTGTTTAATAGAGGAACTCTTACTTGCCAATGACGCAAAAGTTGTCGTAACCGGATTTGGACACTTGAATATCAGCATAAACCCTGTAACTCAACGTACATTTAATCCGCCAAGGAATCTTCGACAAGGTTTACTGCAGATTGAAGAAAAACACATGTAAGTTGTACAATTAAAAAAAACAAAACTGCCGACACAACGAAATACTTATTCGATAATGATATTGGAAGAACTTGGAAATTTTGCATTTTTATATTACTATCTATGTCCAATATGCTTGAGCTGTGGGTGGTAAATTTTATGAAAACTTTGAGATTAATAAAATTGTAAATTGATCATTTTTGAAATGGCATCTTTGATATGTACACACACACATTGCATCAGCAAATCGGACCAAAGATTTGATTCGAAATTGCTGCCATGATCTATGTGATTGTAATAAGAAAGTTATTCAGATAAAATAGCATTTTATAGCGTCGGTAAATTAGAGTTTCCGAGTTATTTTTTGTTATATCGTCTCAGAGAAAACAGTATTACTTTTAATGAGCGCCTCATTACCAACCAATAATATTGATCAATTAATATTCCTGTGGGGAAGATTATCAATAATATTCCCACGGGTAGTCGCTTAAATATTAATGAAAAGTGTTTTTCTTTACAAAATTTAACCAAAGCCGACTATAGTTTATAGCAGTTGAAAAATATTGGTTTATTATTTAGCTTTTTTCATGTATTCTCTACATGAAAATACAACCAATAGACCTTATTCATTAACAACCCATCCTACGCGCAAAAAGAAAAGTGATGCAAATAATTTTTTTTTAACATTAGCTCTTACGGGGAATGTGATCACCAGAGCAGAAATTTGCATTTTTTGTAATTTTCTAGGTATCTTTCATTGTATACGAGAGCAGTTTTGAAGATAGAATATTTTTTACATCTTTTTCGATATTTTTATCATGATAATAAACATGGTCAAGATTTTTAATAATCGTTCATTGAAATTTTAATGAGCGCGGTGTTTCCGATGACGTCATTCTCACTAGACCATGAGATTCTGCCAACGCGTCGTGCTCTGTGGGATATGCGCTCTAACTGCATGTGATAACAGGATACTGGAATACCGGTACTGGGACCACAACTGGTGTTCAACGAAAGACCTATTTTGGTTTTTATTGGATGTTATATATTTCATGAATTCCATGTAACTATGTACATTTCTGGTACACCTTTCAAAATCCAATGGCCTAACTCAATTCATATGTTGACACCATGTACCTATCCCAAAATTGGTGATCTTCCGGGCTGGATTTAGACCATGAGAGTGTGAGGGGACATGGGGCCATCCATGAGTGTGAATTTTTAATTAAAAGAATAAAAATTTACTTTAGGCAGTTTTGCTTTCAATTTCTTTGATCAAACAACCGCTACAGCCATACTTTAACATAGAAACTTCCAGCAGAATGCGCGTAATATTAATTTCCCTTGTTATGATGCAAACGACGCAATAATGGCTGTTTACAATGTGGTTGAAACCCGTTGTGTACAGAATTTACTACTCTGAAAAGATTGATATATATATATACTTTTCGTAGGGTTCAAACTTGTCAAGTTTTCAAAAGAATTACAAACTTCGAAACCGAATTTCGAGGCTCTAGGTGTCAGCCTGCCTAGCCTATTGGTAAATCCAGCCCTGGTGACTACAGCAAATTTCTGGCCCTAATCACTCAGCAGATTGAAATAAATGGTTTTCAGCATTTATTAGCGAAGATAGATATTTTAATTAAACATATAGTTCAACTTAAAGCCTGTATAATGATATTATAAATATATGTCCCACTATTACTGCATTGTGAGAAGGCTTTCCACACTATCAAGTCTATAAGGTTTTAGCGTCTTCCAATGTCTCAGATGGAAACATTAGTCTTCATTTCGCATATTCTTCTCATTAATGCCATTAGCATTGGAAGCTTGACTGATTCCAATGTACCTTTCCATTGTTGTTTAATGTAATATCCTAAACGTGACTTCGAATTTTTTTCTCAATTCAATCATCATATGTTTGAATACCCGAGCTGACTTCCACTGATTTGTTAATAATTTACAATTTTTTTTATAAATTAACTGTCGTACTTGCCAAGTGTCCACTAAGTGAAAATCTACAAAAAAAAAAACAGTGGTTTAATAATGGACTACATTTTTAACCGAATCCAAAAATGTTCCGTAACTCAGTCAACCCTTCCTCCAAGGAGTTTTTGTTAAATTGTTCAAACATCTTAATTAACTGTTAATCTTGATAGCGAACATGGGGAGCAGGGGGGAGCTGACTGTGATGGTCGTATCGCTCCCCAGTCTATACCGAATAACTGTGTGTTTTGTATATAATTTTTATTGATACAATGCTTGTATTCTGGTTGACAAAATGAATCTCTCTCGCGTATTCAGTCATGTTTTTAACTTAGTTAGGAGACCGGTATTGTACAAATATAGATTGGAGATATTCATCTTTTTTGTATACCGGTACCGTACAACTTATCCTGCCCATTGGCAGGATGGCCAACATTTTTGTATTGTTCGTAGGCCTATTTCAGTATTTACTAAATAATTTAGTTTTCACCTCTTGCAGCCTTGGTACGGTACCGGTAGTTTAAATAACACGTCAGCATGCCTTCAGTAAATGATTGCTAGCTGTACAGGTATAAATGCGTAAAACCAGTAAAAAAACGTGAGAGAAATGGTATGGGTTATAGATTGTCAATGTTAAACGCTTTCAGTACCGGTACCGTACTCAAAGCGACATTATCCCACAGAGCACGGCGCGTTGGCAGAATCTCATGGTCTAGTGAGAATGACGTCATTGAAAACACCGCGCTCATTAAAATTTTAATGAACGATTATCAAAAATCTTGACCATGTTTATCATGATAAAAATATCAAAAGAGATGTAAAAAATATTCTATTCTCAAAACTGCTCACGTCTACATTGAAAGATATCTAGAAAATTACAAAAAATGCAAATTTCTGCTCGGGTGATCACATTCCCCATAAGAGCTAATGTTAAAAAAAAATTTTTTACATCACTTTTCTTTTTGCGCGTAGGATGGGTTTTTAATGAATAAGGTCTATTAGAAAAAACTGACCTAATTTGAACTCAATTTTTACATTCTGATTTAAACTATAGTTGTGAAAGAAAGGCAGAAGAAATAAGAATTGCAGAAAATCTTGAAACTTTCAAGTTTTCAGATAATATTATTTGTTGCAAATCTGGAGTCCCAGGTGTAACAATTGATGCTTGTAAAGGAGACAGCGGTGGTCCAGTAGTGAGGGAGGTAAGCAAATTGTTTTTTTTTAAATTACAAGAAACGGATTGGATCCTTTTTGCGGTGCGTCTTCCCTATCTTTCTCTAAGTGAAAATCAACTTTTTTCGCTCCTTTCCCCTGTAAAAATCGTTGTCCATGATTTACTCTTGCGAATTTCATCTGTTTAATTTTAACATTTTAGCGGAGTTCTTTCTAGTTTTTGTCACGTCACAGGGGTGGGTTATAAAATTCGCATCTGCCATTTCAATTTCTAAAGACTCAGAATATAGGTTGCGAGCATACTGATACTAATTAGTTTTGATTTGTTTGTTCATTCTCTTTTAATAAATTGATAAATTGTGTCTTTATATGTAGCATATTTATTGTCAAAACACCCAAACGATTAACTTGCAACAATCGAAGTTGCCAGACATTGTTGGTCTGCTGAAATCCCTCCGAGTCTGCTGGCGCTCTAACGTAAAACAAACATAGAAGATCTTGCCGGTTCAGTCTAATCAAATTTGAAGGTTTCTATTGCAATATAATGTTTTATGTCAATAGGTTTGCTAAGCTATGCCGCAGGGTTTCCCAAACTGTGTGCCGCGGCACACTAGTGTACCGCGAATTTTCACAAAATTCCTGATATTTTTTTCACAATAATCAACACTGCAACATGAACTTTATTACTTTGCAATTACTTATGGGTGTAGTTCGATAATGCACATATATAGGGTGACCCAAAAACGGAACCCAGTCCATTTGGAACATTTTGTATGGATTCAGTTTTTTTGGGTCACCCTGTATAGTGATTTATTCTATGTCCACCGATAGGTAGCGTTACCATATTTGTGTGACCTTAAAGCGGGACGCCTCAGAACAACATAGCTGTGATTTTATCAACTTTAGATTTACCGATTTCACATTAGGGGATTACATTTAGAACCATCCCGAATGTCTTCAATGATTTTGTTGTCATCGAGAATTCATGCGCTGTCTGTATAATATCGGTTTCAGTTCGAAATATATAAATAAATTTACATTAACGTTACGGGGCTTACACGTAACAAATTGTAGCAATTATCCGCTCCGGTCGGGACGCCGGAGGACGCAAGACGCTGAAAAGTGGGACTGTCCCGTCTAAAACGGGACGTATGGTGAGCTTACCGATAGGTGATGTAATATGCATCACTTCTCTAATATATAAGGCGTTATACGTTTTTGATACCAACCCAACAATGCAAGTTTGCTCAAAGCAAAGTCGCTAGACTTTAATTAAACAATCTGTTCAAACTTTCAGCAGTTAGGAAATTGAAAAAACTCTTATAGTGATATTACTTTCATAATTTTTCACATTTCATGTTTTTACGTTTCCTTTTTCACATGAAATATTTCTTTGAGTTCTTAATTTTACCACAAATTTTGCCATTCGAAGTTTCTGCCAGTATATCAGTACAACATATGCCATACAAATATACAGTATAAAGTGCAATAAAATATTTTTTCCATTCACATGTTTCTGTAATTATTAATTACTTGCGCTGACAGAAATCAAAAGCTAAAAACGATAAAGACTTGTTACAATTGACCCGAGAAATCTTGTTTCTGTAAATATTAATTACTTGCGGTGACAGAAATTAAAAGCTAAAAAGGATAAAGACTTGGTAACATTTACCCAAGAAATCTTGTTTCAATCTTAATTACTGTCGAAACGCATATTATTTACGGATAAGGGATTTAATAAAACTGATTTGTAATAAGTGTCCCACGACTTTTTAATCTTGTTGTTAGTGTGCCGCAAGCTGAAAAAGTTGGAAGTTGGAAAAGTGGGAAGACCTGAGCTAGGGTTGAATAAAGGGGATTCTTGCCTGCCAGACAAGGTCCATCCCTTGTTCCTAGTGATGCCGGTAGTACGGTTCCATTACATTTGAACCCACGTACATTTGAACCCATGACAATTGCACCTGTATGCTATTGCACCTATAGAATTTTTTTGTTTCACGGATAGTTAAACCCATACTAACCCTAACCCATGGGTTTTAGCACCCGCATATAGATTGAACCCGTGGATATACGCATGGGTTCAAATGTACATGGGTTCAAATGTACGGTCACCCGGTAGTACATATTTTCCATCTGCTCGAAGTAATGAATCACAAAAAAATAACAATAAATAGTCTATTCAAAACTTAGAATGCACTCTTTTAAATTATATTGTTGCTGCGACCTAACTGTTATAAATGTCAATACTACCAGGTAAAAAATGTGGAGACTGGAACTTCATGTTGGGTTCAGATAGGAATAGTAAGCTTTGGATATAGATGTGGATCGAAATTTCCGGGATATTACACAAATGTTGCAAGATACATTCCTTGGATTAAATCAAAAACTGAAGCATAATGTTTTTATGATATGACAAGGTTTGAATTGCATTTTACTTAATCAAGAAGAATTTGTTTAGTTCTTTCTTTTAAAATTTGTGCGTATTCAATGAATTCCAAAAAGAAATTCATATTGATTCCAACAGTAACACTTCGCTTTGTTCCTGCCTGGCTCTTCTTTGGTATCGTTGATTCAATGTTATGATTTCTATATATAATTGTTATCCAATTTCAACCGGTAGTTACTGACTTCTTTATTACATGACAAAATCTATATTCATATGTAGTGTGTCAGTGTAAACTTTTTGACTCTTCTATTTAATTCGTTTTTCGCAAGATTAAATGAAAAACACAAACACAATAAAAAATAATGGAGATTTTCAACTACTACTCGCAATTTTGTTTAAATACATTTGTGTACAAACAATTTAGCCTGTGTGTTTTACAACTAGCTTATGCTTATATTTTTGGTGTATTTGATGCCAATTGAGTCAACCATATGTGTTATTTTCATTTCAGTAAAAAGATGTAACAAGAAACAAAGGTTTGGACAAATCTTCGGAGAAAAAACTCAATTTAGCATCATTCATACATACCTTGATGACGAACAATAATAGATTTAAAATTATGCACAAGAGTAATGAATGATAGGGTTTGGCATGAACACAATAATCTCGTTTCTGAGTTTCTTTATTGCTGGTTTGAGGTTTTAGTATACAATATCTTCAAGATTTTTGCTCTTAATGTAATGAACCTTTATAACTATCATCAACGACTGTTTCAATTTACCTTTTATATGAATGAAATTTCCTTTAAACAGTTTTAGTTCGACACGGAATCCTGTTCAACGAAACGAGTAATGAACCGCAGTAGTCAGTCCTATGAACCACAATTTGTTTCATTTTTGAAAATATTTTTTTGTCGACAACTAATCCGATTTACGTTACTTTCTGTCAGTTCATACTACATTTTTCCTTATGAAACACATATATTTTATCATGCATAGGTTAAACTACAATCTTGAAGTTCCAATCATTTTCTGTTCACTGGTAATTTTGAGAAAATTTTGAATATTTCTCTTTGCTGAAAATTAAATACATTAAAATAAAAAATTCTCTTTTTTTCTAGACGAATGGTTAATAGAAATATGTTCTTATTTTTTTTACCATGTCGCTTTGATGAAGATTGTCATTTCACAAAAGGGAGAATGCAGTTTAACATGCCATCATTGCTGTGAATGTAAAAGCTACGACAAGAAATCCTTCTGAATGTTTTTGTGCATGGCTTGGTTAAATATAGCCTCTTACAGAAAACTACATAAAGTGGATCTTATACGAAATTGAACCCTTTTTAATAAAAATGAGTTTATTTACTAAAATAGGTAGTGAGGAACATAAACATCGATTTAAAAAAAACAACCCTTATTGTAATTGGTTAATGTTTCTATAAAGCATGGCTAACCTACTTTTTTACTAAAGATCCATACATGAAACTTCAAAATGACTGGAGTTCGATATTTCCAAAAAATATATTTACTAGTGTGACTAAATATATTCCAGTGCCTCTGACTTTTAGGTTAGAAAGTTAGAAGAAGAGCGATTCGTGATCAACCGTAGCAAATTCAAAATCCCTTAACTCGTTGTTGTTTCTCTACTAGTGGATACTAACTAATCAAGACATATTCGCATTGTTTATTATAGACTCACAGTGCTTTTCGTATATGAACAGGTGCAAATAAGAGCAAATGACAAAATATCATCTATAGTTTTGAATAAAATTCATTGAAAAGAAACCTTCACATATCAAAATTTAATTGGGACTAATACATCATAATATAGAATCAGACTCGGTCCACATCGGACAATCGGAGCCTGTGGGGGTTCGTTCACAAATAAGAAATATTTTGTAATGACTTGAATTTTAAACTAGAGTATATTCTTGTAAACTTCTATTTTAGATATAGCCTACCTATTAATTGTTATCGGGCTCAAACGAACTATTAATCAATTAACTTGATTAAGCGCAGTCTTAAACATAAAACAAGAGAGCTTTGCTCAAATATATGAACACGTTTGAAGTAAATGAAAGTAATAGCCTTCTAAAGAAAATTTTTAATCTTCAAGCACTGAACATTTCAAAGCAATTGGTTCAGTAATTAAAAAGAAAAGCGATTTTTTAGGATTAGGTAACAAGTGGGCGTGGCTTTCCACACGTTTTCTCACCACTGAGGGGGCGGAGGCACTTCCCCCAACCCCAATGACACTTGAAAAAATTTCCATGACCCGGGCGAACGCTTTCCCGCTCCGAGAACGGAGATTAACGACCTCGAAACGCCAAAATCACTCTAGTGTGACTAGATCGATGACTAGATTGACAGGTAGCCTACCCCGGCCACTAAAAGCCTGTTTTGTCCCACTTCCAATTTTAATGTGAATTGAAATACCAAGTGACTTATCCATTACGGTACCAGGGCAAAATAAAAAAATATCGGTTCCCCGATAATTATATGCGGTACGGTAACTTACCAGTACCTGAAATTCGTTCGCAGAACGGTTCTTTCTTGTCATAAAAGAACTCAATTCATTTCCTCTTATCAAATTAAAAAATAAAGTTGGCTACAAAATTTATGTTGTTTACATCAGAACTGTAACAAAAAGATGAGAGGGTAATTCACTGCGGTACCGTACGGTACCTTACCAGTACGACAGTACCTGTTGCTGTATGTAGGCCTGCTATTCGATCGTGTAGCGGTTCTTCTCTGGCATATAAAAACTCAATTCAATTTGCTCTTATCAAAATTAACAAATACGGTAGGCTAAATATGCAAGCAAACCTATATTACTGCAATAGTTAGATCGCGAAAGGAATAAGTCAATTTCAGTGTGGTACGTTAACTCACCACAGTACCGTATCTGCCAGACGCTTCTTATATGCAAAACCAACTAATTCGATTTATCACGGTATTATAACAGCAGATACCACAGTCTACAAATATATTCACACCAAGCGAAGCAACGATTTTCAGAATCCGCCTTCACGCCGACGTTCGGTGGCACGTGACCATGCGTCCGCAGAACGTTCGGTGACGTCATAGCAAACAAAACAAATCTCACAGAGTTAACAGAAATATTTGAAAAAAATAAAAGTAAGTCTTCTGAAGATAAAATCGAACTTTTCAAAAAAAATTCTATTTATTACCAAGGTACAAGATGTAAAACCTATCTACCTAAAGATTTGTACATCCCGACCTGCGGCAGATGCCTCGTAAAAGGTCACAATTTCATGCATCCGGCCAGTTTCCCCGAACATCGATTACCTTGTTCATTTCGGAATATTGGCCAATCAGCAAGATGCAATAATTGACGTAACAATAGACCATTCCGCATCAGCTCGGACACTTTTGTCACCCGGAGAGATTTTTCAGTCCTGGTTTCAAACAATACCTCGTTTTCGTGATTTTGAATGATATTCGTTAGTTTTTGATCGAAATTTAAGTATGAATCAAATGAGTCACTCATCATTTGGCCTACTTAGGAGTTGTAGTAATCAAAAATTGTCTAGCAATAGCTGTGATAAAATAGGCTAAAATTCTCTACCGGTACGCAACGTTTTCTTCGAAGAATATACTAGTGGCGCGAGCTTTCGACGAAATTGTTGCTGAGTAGGCTACGTTTCTCGTGCTAAAATGAACGTCGAACATGCATTTTGCGCTAATAGTACGAGTCAGGTTAACTTTTGTACTGCTTACCTGCGGATATTCATGACAGCAATAGTTGTCTAGAAATCTTGTATATATATATATTTGTTTTGCTATGATGGTCTCGAAATATATCCTGCGATATAGAATTTAATATGTAGGACTTCAGAAATGTAGTATTTATATTGTTGAATAAATTGAATGGATTTCCCAACTTTTGGGAATTTATTGTATTGCATTGACAACTATATTTGTCCGGCCCGTTTCAACACAGTTTGAGTCATACCTGGCCCGCGGTCAAAAAAGGGGTGACCCCTATTGTAACCAAACGCAATTGTGTGTGAAGATTGAAGAAGCAATAAAACTAAAAACAAAAGAGCTTTAACGAAGTCAGTTTATTTTCCACATTTACAAATGTTGATGAGAACCTTGTCCCTGAACTTGCATCCCTAGTTTGTCGAAATCAGGGTCTATATTGGTCAATGCACAACTATATTCTGGTTGCGATTCTTGGTTTTTGTCATAGTAAAGGCTGAAAATCCAGCCTCGCAAAGATAAATTGTTAGAAAGGGTAAAAGTGCTTTTGTTACCTGCCAACGGAGATCAGATTTGGTTCTCTCATTCGTACTTTCGCCAAAAATTTCCATCGTGTCTATGTTATTTTTGCTCCAAAACAAAACCTCTAAAATGTTGTTGCGTATCCGTTGAAATCTGATAGAATTCACCTAATGGTATTTCTCATTCAAATCAATAAATCCGCTCGGAAAATTTTGAAATGGTACTTTTTTAGTCAATTGTATTGATGATTCGAATTTTACCAAATGGCCCACTAAAAAGATGTGAAACTCACGCGACATTGGCACACAATAAGATTGTTTAAAACTTGGAGCAATCCAGCCACAGGTAACAAATGGATAAATAACAAAGCATATATACAACGTTCATGTGGACACGTGTGATTTTGGCAGAAATCCGCAAGTGCGTTATGCAGTCCAATCGTTTGATTCAGCGAGGCACATTGACGTGCCGTGTCCAAGTCACGTGTTGCCAGGTATTTTAATAGTTTAATGTTCGAATATTCTGCCCAGCCGTACTCAGTAACAGGTTATTATTGATTCGATTAATTTTATGTGCATAAACTTTCTTTTCATGTTTTAATTAAATACTGACTTAATCATAACTTGGCTGGTACTAAGTATGGTGAAAACGCTTGCGTCCCGCAGTGAATTTCGTGACACTAGAAAGGTTAGTGACCTACATGAACTACCGAGTCTCCCCGAAAATAAGACCTTCCCTAAAAATAAAACCTAGTCAACAGCGCAAATTTTTTTTTTTGACCCAGTCGATAGCAAATCTTTCCTACTCGTTTTAAAGGATTAATATTCTTTGTTTAGCGGTTACTTTAAATAAAAACGTGTTATTTATGAGAAAATGAATATCGGTTTTCATATTTTGTATATTTGAGAATCTCGTAGTTTTCTAAATGAAAATAAAAGACATCCCCCCAAAATAAGCCCCAGTGTTAATTTTCGAAAAAAATTTAAATGATACACTCTATGTCTCATTTTAGGGAAACACGGTATACTACTACATAACGTATCTAAAAAGGTATTGCTCCTTGAGGACTCATTTAAACACTCCGCGGACTCATTTGAGGCAGCGGACTCGGGTTGTGTAACGCTTCTATATCATAGAAGTAAATTCCGCAGATGAGACCCAGTCAGCTCTCTCGTAATAAAAAAAATAAGCGGTGGTGCGTGCAGTATAAACAGGATATTCCAAAATCCATCACAGAATACCATGGTTTGAATTACTGATATTAGGTTAAAAAGAAAAGAAGGAGACAAATTCGGGCATATAGACGAGATCAGAAATTCAACTTATTAGAAATTTGAGGAAATGTACACAAAGATGCATTGTTGCAAAATTGTGAATATATCTTTCTATTTTTACCATAAATATTTTTATTGATGCTAATCTTGCCACATCCACATGACAGATAAAAAAAAATGAATGAATCACGTTTAATGCAAATTCTTCTTATTTGTTTAGCATAGGAAACAATATTATAATTATATTTCTAGTGTCGATTTTATTGATCGATGTAATCTCTTATATAAGTTATATTATGAAGAAGAATCTTACGCTGAATAAATGGCGGTATTTGGAGGCTATATATTTGTTAAATTATAATACCGTCTGAGGAGCTGAGTGATTCATATTTTCACTCGATTGTGAATCAACTATTTCCTGTATTTCTTACTTTATGAAAGCGCAAGGCAATGGTAACCGATATCGACCAGAGTTTTTGCGACAAATAGCGTTCCTGTGTTCAAGTACATTTTTAAAGCAAATAAGATACCTAGAGATATAATTTAAAATTGAGAAAAACTGACGCTACATTGTTGCTGAAGGTTTCGAATTGTGATGATGCGTGATCATTACGCAATGGGATTTTTTGTATGTGGCAAAAATGAAAATATTTGAGAAAAACACTCTTGCCAAATTTGAAGTACTGGAGATTGAGCTCAGCATGTTTATTTATAATTGCGCATTCCCTAACCCTGGCGCTTTCTATGAAAGATCCGCGTAACGCTATAGCTTAGCAGTGTGAAAAACAGATTTAACGAAATTTGAAATACCAATAGCCTATATTTAAATCTGATTTATATTTTAGATAAGTTGGTTAATATATAGGCTTCTACGCCAAAATGTTAACAATATGTTTAAGCCTACTCTGCGTTTTCCTGTTTATTGAACACGGTAAGTGAAGTTTTATTTGCATTATTCCATGTCATTGCGTTATGTAAGAGCCGTTCTTTGTGACCTGGACGTCACCGATTGCACAGTAGCATTTATTAACAGTTCAATAACGAGGTCTTTTTTAAACCCGAAGTTAGTATCCTCACAATCACACAACTTGAGGTATACAGTTGACACGGTTATCGTGATACAAACATAAACAAAATCAGCACAAATTATTAATATTAATTACATCGACTCGTGAAGCGTATTCGAATTTATGGGCACAATGTATTTTACCTAATATTGTAAAAATAAATATGTAATTAATTACAATAGTATACCAAAATCCTCGAATGCAATTAATCACCAAGTCTAACCAGTTTACCACTAAGTAACTTGAATACAGAAAGAGATACAAATTATAACATTCCGAATTTGTCCGCTATTCCAGGCTTGAGATATCCGTAGTCGATCATAAAACCGTCAAAGAAATCTAATCAAAACAATCAATTAACTGTGAAATTATTCACAAAGATAGGCTAATTCAAACTAAGGTCCATTTAGAGCAGGGGTCACCAACCCATTGCCCGCGGGCACCAAGTCGCTAGTCTGTTTAAAACGACTCAAATAACGGTGCTTATCAGTAAGCTACATCTATCAATTTTATTCTTGTAATTCTTGTTTAAACCTTGTATAGGAAAAGGAAATGACAATATATTAATAAGTGACCTCGGTAATGTCACGTGTCGTTCCAATTATGACATCACACACACAAGGTCAGCTGGATCTATGCGTGTCATCCATTTCTAACCATTTTTGATGGAACTTGGACATGTTAAGCATTGTTTAGCAACGTTCAGCCCTAATGCGGGACAGATGGAGCTTAAAATTGTAACACTGCTAAATGACCTCCACCTCAAAGCCAATCAGACCTGTCACATTTTAGGGCTCTAGTTTACACAGAAAGTGCCGTGGTGTATGAACAGCAGCTTTGATGGTCACAAGCTTGTTTGGTTCAACCTATCTTTGTAAATCAGACTTTTATTATATGAACTTCATCAAGAACAAACACTGAACACACCTCACCAATGAACATATGCAAGACTCACTTAGATTTTCGGTGTCAGGTTGCGAACCAGATAAAACACAATATCAGGTTTCCCAAGTAGCCTACTGAGGAGGAATACACCAAATTTGGTCTTGGTTGGAAATATGACATTCATTATTTGTCAAATGTGTTGGTAAAATATAACATTCAATAGCACAACTACTGTTGATAGTTTCATGAATAATTAACATAACATTATTATTAGCTAAATCCCATTAATATCAAATTGGCGTTTCAGAATATTGCTCTTAGCTTAGTCTGTACTCAGAAAGTAGCCCGCTTCTTTATAAAGGTTGGTGACCCCTGATTTAGAGTAACTCGAATCAACGTATTCAATCGTGCCTAGTGTCAAACGGATCTTTATGTCAAAACAGTAAACAGTAAGCAACGACTGGACAGGCAATCGCTTTCGAAGTCTCCTCAATTATTTCATAATGAAGTGAAATTTGAAAATATGAAGTGAAGTGTGAAATTCGCGGTCACACTTTTTATCATTGAACATTAATCATTTCACTCTTATAAACCTTATTTATCCAATGGCTACCTTAGCTTATATTGTTTCCGCCAATTCATTTTCGAGTTGAATTACAATGGAAAATTTTGCGGAACATGCTGTGAGTAGTATTACTAACAATGCTCAAGAATCACCAATTTTTGAAAAAAATGAGGGTGACTGCCTATATAAAACTATAAAGTTATAAACCATATATTGGAATATATTGGAAAAAGTAGAATTAGGTATCAAAGATCTAAAAAATGTATTCAGATAAATCTTCATAGTCGTTAGCAACAGCTAATTTTTTCTGAAACCAAATATATCCATAGTTTTTATTTATCATCGTATCAATATTTTATCGGTGGAAGAATTATTTCCAAACTATTTCACAAAATCATCTTCTCTCTCAATAATATTGCAAAAAAAATTTAGTTCACTGCTCGTTATCAAACCTTGATTAAGTCCTTGATTACTTGATTAAGTCTATATTATTAAGCCATGTCATCGGCTTACCTGTCCGCTGGGTTAAATATTCGAATCATGTCCCTTTACTCTGTCGCAGCCAAATTGACTATAAAGTGTTATAGTCACTTTGGTCGCAACGTATCAATAACGTACCGTTATTCTACTCTGCCAAACAAAGCGCAGTTCTGCGAACGAATCAGATGTGCGTGGAGTCGTAATTTTTGAAAACCAAATTTTGGTTAAAGACCTTGCGTACATCATGTCACATCGATATATAACATATTTTATGTCTTTTCGTGCAACCGTTTAATTCATACAGTGCATTTCATCTTTTATGAATTTGGTCACTGATTTAAATAATAAAAAAACATGCTCGTAACCAGGATGTTATGTTTTTTTTTATTTTAAATACTTATGATGGATATTTGGTATTTTTTGTTTTTTAAAAATGTTCTTTTTTTTTCAAAATATTTATTTTGAAATGTTTTGGTGTTTCATTAACTTTTTAAGCTATTAACCTGAATCAACAAGCGTTTTAGGTGTCGCTGCCTGAAGACCTCTTGAGGTCCCTCGCGACTCCTGTCACACAATTTAAGTTAGTTTCCACTTTTATTTGTAATTATTTTTTTATATATCATACCATGTTTAAATTGTGTTGACGAATAAATGATGATTGATTGAAACCCCTAATCCAACATTCTTACCCATAAAAATAAACTACTTTTAACGCAGGAAGATGCCAAGCATCAATGTGTGATACTGAAGGACGATTTACGTGTGAGGACGGCGTTTGTATATCAAGAGCCAGGGTATGCAATGGAGTAAGTGACTGTCGTCGTGGTGAAGATGAATCGAATTGTGGTAAATTATTTCACGAAATCAATAGAAATTGATTCAGAATCGTAATAGTGAATCCCGTGTGCTAATTTTAGAATATTCAATACTCTATAATTCTCTTAAAAAGAACTAATAATTTGCCACAAAAGATCATCCCAGTTTATTAGTGTTACCCAGAAATTTCACTTCAAGTAAACACTTTAATCACCTCGTTCACGCGTTTAGTCCCGTTTCTAGCGCTCTTCAAGTGCGTTGTATTACGTGCAGTCTTTTCTTGTTTGGTTGTGTCAGGAGTCTTTTGTTTTTTACGTTCAAGAGTTGTATAATATTTGTCCTTACAGGCGCAGCGCTTGATTATTTTACCATCATATTTTATTTTCTAGATGTAGTAAGGTCCATCTGCTATAGAAATTACGATTGGTGGTTTTCAAACGGATATCATTGCAAGAAAGATTGTTCATCGACTTGGAGATGCAAAGGTCTATTGAAACAATGTATATGCGATGATGAGTGTGGATTAAGTTGCATCAATCCTAGTAAGATATTCCATTAATTTTCAAAATAAAAAATAATGACTAACAATCATAACTACTATATATATTCAGCAAAAAAAAAAGCAAACGATTCACTAAAGCTCATAATACTAATCCAAGTTACCAATTTATTAGTGCAAATTGCGCAAAGGAAGAGTCTTTGAAAAACTTCTGTTCTTTAATTCAAGAACACGATTCGTGATTGTGGGATGAAAAAGAGTTTTGTAACAAATTTGTGGATGCCTCGTGGGTGCTTGGTATTCAAGGGCATCATCACATTGCGTCAAGTAAAAGCTATGAATAAAATGTTGAGTAAATATGTTGTTCATAATATGGTTTTTAATGTAGTTATTATTGAGTAGACATGTTCCAAAAAGTCTGCGAATGCCGTTCGATATAGGCGTAGGAGAAACGATAATGTCATATGATTTTCCATCAGTTATTATTGTATTGTATTGCTATATTTGTGACGCAACTAGCATCATCATTTGTTGTGATGAAGTATGCCACATCTGACTAGAAATTTGTAGTAAATCAACCAATTTAGACATACATTCATCAGAGAATTTGAATATTGAAATATCAGAACAAAATTGGGAAAATATAATTACTCCATGAAGCGACAAAGCAATCATGATAGCGTAACAGATAATATAAAAGTAACACAAAACACATGAATCTTTAAATGAGGCCCCAGGTTTCCGATTTTTACCCATAAATAGTAGCACATTACAATACGTTATATATCAGTGGCAGCCCGCATCTGCCCTTATTTGGGACCAAAGAGGCCTGCGAGTATTAAAAATATTGAAAAATGTGAGTTAGTAGTTCCTAAAGTGCACATGTCATACTTTGTTATAGGTTCAATATGTGAAGATGATCCACCCACTGTTGAGCACGGTGTGTACTGGAACATCAGACGTACAATTTGGAGTGGTGGATTAAAACACTTAGAGATTGTCGATCCAGTCGAACCTCCTTACTACTTGTGGGACATGGTAACTTACAAATGTGAACCTGGACGACGTTTAGTTGGTCCGCTACCGAGATGCAGTGGGCATCGACGTTGGACCAATGAACTTCCGGTGTGCGTAGGTACATATAAAATATACACTATAATGCAGCTATGGCATAATGAAAAGTAAAACGGTTAAAGGTGTTGTCTCTTATTTATTGGAATTTGCACATTTTTGCGGAAGATTTTTCATCACTCATTTACAACCAGAGGGTGATAATGCATGACTTAACAACATGGACATCTGGCTAACTCGTTCACTTCTCTCCATGGCCGTTCTTAGAAAAATTTATGCGCCCATTGTCCATTACATTTGTATTATTATTTTTTCACTGTGGCAAGTTTACGATATTGTCATACAGTGAAACATACATCGTTAGCCTATATCTTAACCTACGTGTAGTGGTACTCCGAAGTGCATCTGAAATAAATTATGAACAGAGAAAAAACACAGAATTATAATAGATTTCCGAACTATCGATATTCTTGATTTTTGAGAATAATGAAAATCAAATTTCAACTTATAGTTCGACATCAATCGTACTAAAATTGCAAGAATTAAAAGTAAAAATAAATTATTGGAAATCGTACAACTATGTTTTCATTACCTGCGTTTTTCTTTTATCAGATGAGTCATGTCGGGATCCTGTCCCAAGTGTGAACAATTCAATATACTATCGATATTTGAGACCATCTGAAGGGACAGTGCTGCCAGTTTCAAATAAGTTAATTCCTCTTATCAATGACGTAGTTGAATACAAATGTGAGGAAGGATTATTGCTCACAGGAGAACCTCCAAAATGTCTTAAAAATAACACGTGGTCAACTCACACTGCACGATGTGCTGGTATGAATTTAAAGTTCATCTGATGTGATATTTTCCAACACTTGTGTTTAAATCTGGTTATAATAATTTTAACGTATGGATAAGGAAAATTGAAATTTTTATACAAAAATATTCATCTACGTACTGATTTATATTAAAAAATTGTCTATACAAAACTAGGCTTGCACGTAATTGACAAAAATCAATTCCGTAATTACGGCCAAATCGATTACGTAATGACCCCGTAATTGCGATATTTTTTCACACATTTAAACCTAGCATACCAACCAATTTAATCCACTTCTATTCCGAATGGGACATCGAAGTTTGGTTTTCATATTCCCGGCAGTACCACACGCCGGAGACAGATGTTAAAGACAAATATCAAGGAGTGAATTCAAAATAATTTTATTCTGATTTTTATCTTTTGTATTAGCTTTGATTTCCCTTTATCAACTTTATCACCAAATTTTATGCGATCAATTTTATCATTACCAACACTGGTAATATATTTAAGAAACGATAGTTCACTTTTTTAAAATCGTATTGACGTATTAATTCGACTTTCGTATTAAATAAAAATTCCGGGTTGCTAATTTATTAATCAACTACAAGCGTATTCTCTCGTTTGATTATACTTTCGCTTGCCTCGCGACGAAGACTTGATATTTCACCGTTTTTTACAATATCCGACTTTACTACTTAGTTAGCATTTTATAATAATTATTGATGCCGACTTATTGACGATATTCCGAATTCCATGCTTCATTTTACATTAAATCATTTCGCGGCCTAAATGTTATAACATTATTTACGATAAATTTAGATCAAATATTAATTATTTGCGCATTATTTAAAATACCGTACTTATATGACATGCCTTCTCCGAAAATACAAAGTTATATCGCAAAACAATGCATTTTGTGACATTTATTTTGCACTCATGAAAATATTAATTTATTTTTCTAACTCAAGTCGACAATCCTATTTGCCAAGATTGACACAAGTTTGTTCGAGTCGACGATAAATCAAAATCAGTTGCCGCATTTGGTAAAGACAGGTAATCATATTTGGCCGACATATTGCGAGGCATTGTGAAAAACATATTGAGCAATGCCAAGTCCGGACAGATATATAACGATAAAATCGGTAACAGAACATCAAGATTTTGTAATAGAAAATGAATCTCGCGCAGAATAAACGCGGGAAATCCCGTCGTAATGTTGTTTCTCTGCCGTCTCAATCGCTTTACCGATGCCGAAAAGACTAAGTTGCGTTGGTTCATTACGCAATTTCTCTTCCGTCTTTATATTGCTGTTTGATAAGCGCGACATTAATTATCACGACATTTACAAATAGACCATGTTTTATAAGTTGATCTCTTACATTCTTCAGTCATTTCACCCGAAGAAGTTGAAACCAGGTGTGTTGGCGTCCATCGGTCTCGACACAATTCTATTCCTTATCTACAGTTAATATGTACATTGGCCATCTTAGATAAGTTGATAATAGGTTAGTAAATGACGCGGTATGTCTTCCCCATCTGCCTAACAAGAGAGAGAAAAACGGCTGCGAATACCGGAACTCTAACTTCTTTTACTTAAACTTTAATTTTTTACAATCGACGGAATTGACTGCTTTGAAGAGAGCTCGTTTCAATCGCGAAAGCGCTCGACCAATAATTACGACTTACGACGTAATTCGTGACTTCGCTTCCGTAACTCGAAATAATTCCGTAATTCCGTAAATTTGTAAATTACGTGCAAGCCTATACAAAACCATAAAAAACTGCAGGGTTTGATACCTTTGGACTAATTTGTAGTGTTTTTAATAGTTCAATGTTGAGTTTCTGCAATGATTAACTTGATGCTCAGTGGAACGTTCTGCGTTCAATCACGTTATATAAATTATTGAACTTTTCCAGTTCCATGCTTTGAGGGAGTTGACCATAATTTGATATCAAAATATGGTTTGACATGTGGAAGTAGTTGTCTTGCTACCGCAGATTGTGACTCGGGAATGGAATGCTTTTGCGACGGACCTTGTTCCCGAGTTTGTGTTGACCCAAGTGAGTAATATTTATATCACTTCTATCAGGGACTTTTTATGGCACTCGGTTTTATGATATTATGTTATTTATCATAAAATGCAAAGTAGCATCTAGTTCTCGTATAACCCCTAAAACAGGCTGCAGATGCACTTCCAAAAAAGACAGGCGTTGCGAGAAATGAACAGATCAATTTCATTGTTATGTCATAAATGATGCCAGGCCCAATAGCTGAATAACTGTACACAGCGGTGCCTACATGCGTACAAGATTAGAGTTTTTGAAAATTACCATACCGGCCCGAAAATCAACATTTTGAAAATGAGCGATCGCAGCCCGCCCTGACTGTCCAACTGACGGTACATTATAATAATTTAGTTATTGTTAGATTAATTTAAGGCCGGTTTTATCAATTTTTATCACTGATATGTTAGCATTTTCATTTTATTCGTGCCTCCGCTTGGCGGGTCACAAATAAAACGCGGTGGGTCACTTTGTGACCCGCGGATCAGTGGTTCGCCATCCCTGCTATATAGTATAGTACTATAGTATATCTTATTTAATAAGTAATCGCCAAAAGTCTTCAAAATTATACGGAATCGAATTCCCTAAAATGGCCTTTATCTGCCAACATACATTCAGTCGACGGGCTATCTAATTCTTCGATATAGAACACAATTTATTTTTTTGTAAAAAGAAGTCGGATGCGATAATGAAGCTTTTTCAAAATTTTTTCTTGATTTCATATTTTTCAATTGGGTCATCAACTTCTGGCGACCTTTGAACTAGAAAAAAAGAAAGTAGACTGAGCGCTTCATAGATAATTATTTTAAAATAATTCTAGACATGATTACTATACCCGTACAAGTATTTTAGAATATTTTCTAATTTCTACTACGATTTTTATTCTAAGTTGTATACGAATTGACAAGTCACAGTTGTTTAATGTATACAAAAATAACTATGCTACTTCTTCGTATACTTAAATAACTTTTCAGATATTGAGTGTGGCGAGGCATCCTTTGTAGAATATGCCAGCATTAATTATACTGGATCGTCAATACGTAAAGTTGCCAGGTATTCTTGTGATTACGGCTATTACATGGCATATGGATCTCCTTCTCTTTACTGTTCCGGATCAGGATTATGGATTGGAAATGAGCCTATTTGCATGCGTATGTATAGTTACAACGTTCATTCTATCAAATGACAATATAAAAAACATAAAAAGTAATCTAATAAAAAATATAAAATTATTTGTTAATAAATTCGAGCGCGATTCATTTTTTTGATGAATCTATGTTATTCCCGTTACAGGAAACTTACCCTTATGATAGATAATTCATCTTTAATGCACAGTTACTATTTTACAATCATTCAAATATATATTTAAAAGTTTTAAAATGCTCCCAAAGTCGAATTATTTTCATATTTAAGCTGTACAATGTGGTGATCCTAGTACGAGTATACAGGAGACCAGGGGATCAATCAGATATTACGGTGGAACAGATGTTGGTTCAGTAATAAAATTCCGATGTCATGGAAATGATAAAATGCTTGGAGCAGAACATAGAACTTGTTTAGGAAATGGTAAATGGAGTGGACCACTGACAATTTGTGATACACGAGGTAAAGAAAAAATTGTATGCAGTATTCATTCAAAAAGGCCAGGGTCGCGACTTGTTACAAAACATGATATACACTGTAAACAAACATAAATACATGTAAATGTAATCGAATCATTTACATTGTTACTAACTTTAAATGTAGCTATGTACTTGAAGGCCATTTAATTGAGTATAAATAAATTAAATATTGCAGATAAAGAACTTCGGTGCCCTCATCCCGGAGTTCCAATAAACGGTAGACTTATAGGAGATGATTTTTCAATCGACTCCACAGTCAGATTCGGCTGTGATCGCGGTTATGTTTTATACGGAGATCAAGAACAAACATGTTTATGGATAAAAGAATGGTCTGGAGCTGGCATAGCTCCTACCTGCGTCGGTAACATTTATTATGTTGATACACCCTGCACGTCTGCTTAGCAAATGTCATATCTATTGCAACTCATGCATATTCATATTATTTTAACAAAAAATATCTAAGTTTGAAAGGCTAGTTCAGGATGGCTGATCAAATCTGTGTCATAATAATAATCTTATGTAACAAAAGAAATACTGTGTTTCATTTTCATTCACGAATCTCAAAGGGTAATTTTTATAGCAGAATTTTTTCCATTTTGGTTTCATCATTATAGATCCTCGGTATCCACATACTGCCGACGACGTGATTGGATCTTTGACAAGATCGTTAGCCAATCTTCCTGATCAACAAACAAGTCTTGGGCGATCTATCAGCGACGATATAACTGAAGGACAAGAAATTTACCTCGTGTTCGATGTTTCAGAAAGCGTCTTGAGCCGAACGAAAGATTTCGAATATCAAATGGAATTTGCAAAACGACTTGTTAAACGAGTAAATCAGATTTGGGTTAAAATAAATTCTAATCTAAATTATATTAACAAAATTTAGTATTTTTAGTGTATTTCGATCTGAAATTAGGAAAATATCTCTTTCCCGAATATGAGTCATTGTACTCAGTAATGTGACTTTTTATGTATACATTTTCACTATAATTATTGTGATTCTATTTTCATCACATTTGCTTTGATTTTCAATTCAGATGGACGGATTCAAAGGAAATATAAAGTTTGGAATAATGATTTTTGCCTCATCAAATGTCACGGTACTGGATATTACTAAAACGGGAAATGAACAGAGGAACACAACATACGTATTAGAAACACTAGACAAACTGTACGCAGAAGGTACTTATATCAATATACGGAAATATCGATATCAGTAGATTGGGGTGGTTTTAAAGATTTCAATTTATATATCTATAGTTTTTGAATGGATCTGGGCCTAAAAAATTGAATTTGCTACGAAATCTTTGACTTGGCCTTTTCTTTTTACAAATGTGGAATCTAAAATGTTAAAAAAAAGTTCTCAATTTTCATAAACCAATATTTTTACCTTTCAGCCACCAACAACAAATACAAAGTAAAAACAAAATCTGGAACAGCAACTGCCCATGTGTTATTAAAACTCGCAGAGGTTATGTCATTTATGAGAGAGAACAAAACATATGCTAATAATAAGAGACATTGTTTTATTTTTACCGACGGTAATGAAATATGTTGAATCAATATTAATTTCATGATTTTTTGTATCAGTAAAAATACAGTTGGAAAAATAATCATTAAATAAATTTTCACTGAAAACATACCCATGGTATTTTTGTATTTTGCAGGTAAACATACGGAAGGAACTGATCCCGTTGAATTACGAAAAGACATAGAATCTGAATTCCAACCGAATATTGAGGTATCATTAAGGTCTACAGCAGTAGTCGGCAAATTTCATGTACTACTGGGCAAATGTACAAACCGACGGCAGAGAGCGAACCGCAATAATTCCCACTTATAAATAAATGATGCAATAAACTTCAAGTTATGACGCACCCGTCACATCCTTTTCTGTGGTATTAGAATTAACAGTAAGCACGTTCTGCAAGTAAACGTCATACAACCGATGTGCTTTTGCTCAAGTTAATTACTAAAAAACAAACGCCGTTAAACAGCCGTGATTAGGAACACACATACACACAAGTTTTCTTAAGTTATATTGAAACCTAATCAGATTTAACAACAAACTACTCACTTAAAACCTACTCTTTGTTGGAATTACAATTCAAGAGGTGGTTTGAGTATCTATGTGTTAACATCTGATATGTTCGAAGTGATTTTTTCGTTAGATAAACGTTTTTCTCTTTCGATTAATAGAAATCCTAGCTTCGAAACGGTGTCTTATTTCGTTTTTTCCAGTTTTACAGCATAACAGCATGTCATGATTGTAATGATGTTAACAGTCAAACAGAATTAGTTGGACTCTCGTCAAAAAATGGAGACAACTATATTTATATAAAAGATTACTATCAACTTTCAAGTTATCTTGATAAAGTCACGGATGTAAAATTGGGTAAAAATTAATTTATTATTTTTCCAGTTAATTTCAGATTAGTCAACAGTAGGTCCGTAAAGTTCATGTTTCTGGCACGATTTAAATTTTACAGAACTTACTAAAGAGTCTTTTTTGGATCTAATTTTAATAGTAATGCTTTAACATAAGTTCATTTGACATTTTGTTTTTAAAATTTATTATATGCCGGGGTATCTCTAATTATCTTGCTTTGATATAGTTCAGGTAACGCAGCTAATTATTTGTTTGAAAATTATAATTTCACAGATTTTGCAAAATGTGGCCAAGCTGGCAACGTTAAAAGCATAAAACAACAAGCGAGTTTAGCAAGATCAATAGGCAGTGAACAGGCGGCCGAAAATGCCTGGCCCTGGCAAGCTTTGATTACTAAAAAATTTCGAACACAGGAGAAGGTGAGATAAGATTTGTACTGGAAGATATTGTGCATATGTATTTAATTAGCAATTAACAAACGCCATTGCGTAGTCACCTGTATAAATGTTGAAATAAAGATAACAATAAAACAAGGGGTCGTGGTTATGCAAAGATAATGAATATCATGATTAATCCATGAATTTCTCTTCTATCAAAAATATGCACGCATGCAAGTTTTAACACGCGCATAAAAGTTGTGATTAAGATTTTGCGTCCGGCTAACCAATTCACGACGTCTGTGATTGGTGTCTCTCAACCTTTGGGTTATCAAGGTTAAGGCTTTAGTTTGAAATTCGCTTGTAAAATTTAAATTGATATTAATATTCTAACTTTCTGCAAGATCTCTTAATCGGTTGATATTATTTTTTTTTATTTACTTTTATTTATTAAGACATTGCAGAAAGGAATGTTGGGCGGAGGCTCAATTTTGAATAGAAACTGGATACTAACGGCAGCCCACTTACTTGGTAATGCAATCGAATATCCATAATTGGTTGGAGGCTTATGTGATATCTGTTGGTAAGATATTCAAACCTGTAGCCTAACTCATGTGAATTGTACCTTGTTGCTTAGATCGGAATTTATTTAATGCTGGTCGCCTACCGCTACTCCTGTATTGTGATTTGTATTGCTAAGGTATTTCACTTTAATGCAAAAATCTCAGAAAAAAAGAGTAATTTCAGATTATTACATCGAATTAAAATAGCCAATAGAAACGGATTCAAATTGTTTCAGGATTATATTTAAAATATTTTAGTGTACAATTACTTTTCATTTCTTCTGCCTAAATCTTCTGAAACAACTAGAAAATTGGCTTGTTTTTTTCATTTAATCTTAATGCATTTCATTTTATATATATGCATTTTTTGCGATGTGGTATATCAGTAGATTATATACATATAGAAATATTATTAAAACTAAACGTGTGGACAAAATGCCGAACAAATTTAATTAATCTATTAATCAATTCGTCAAAGCTACCTAAATAAATGCTAAATAAACAAGCGGGCAATGCACCGATAAATAATCCTATCACAATCAATTGTTTAGCATTCAGTCGTTATACTTATTCAACACTAAATCCACGTGGTGTAAGTATCACACCAATTCAACATTTAAAGTAGATTAGAATAGTAGCCCAAGTAAAATCGATTCTTTCTCAAATAAACCAACAGCAACAATGATTTAGCAAAACGAAATGTATTTTTGTTATTGGATTCCAATGTCCAGTAATGAAATTCTCACAATTTCAAAAAATGGCGCTGATTTTGGTGCAACAGGTTGACACGTGGTAACACGAAAATTCATTTGAATGGGTTTTCAGCAATAACAACGTCTTCTATACTCGATTTTATATCGATCCAAAAGCGATTCTTATCCACGTAAAATATCAAAAAAGACCATATCAGTTAGGTTTAAACTCATTTTTTGTCTATAAACCTATACATAATTATACAATATACAGGGTGATTGAAAAGTAACTCCCTATTTTAAAATAAATACAATTTATTCAAATGCTATATCATGTTTCATGTTTCTAAATTTATGTGTATATATTACTTAATATATGGCAATTTAATTTATGTTCTTGTTTTCCTTTCAGATTTGTTTAAATATTGTTCAATTTCAATCTTTTCAAATTTATTTTATTTCAAAACCCTACAAAAATGGCTGGACGTCTTACTCTACAGGAACGTGCCCAGATAGCCGCGCGTTATGAAGTTTGGGGATGCATTGTTCAAGTGCAAAGATGGTGGAGAACTATTAAGGGAAAACATGCCCAAATTGACCCGAAGACGATCAAGAATTGTCATAAAAAACTTATGACCACAGGATCTGTGGCTGATACTCAAAGAAGCGGTCGTCCTTCCAAATCCAGAGATCCTGAGGTAGTGCAAGTTGTTAAAGAAATGTTTACCCGTAGCCCACATAAGTCAATTCGTCAAGCAACAAGAGAAAGTGGGCTCTCCTTTCATTGTGTACGTAATGTGCTAAAAAACGAGCTTAAATGGCGTGCTTGGAAGCCGCATTACTGTCAAGCACTCTCTGCAGAAGACTTTGACATTCGTATGGAGTTTGGTGCCACTACTGGGCGGAAGAAGATCCTCGTGTTACCTGTGAAAAAATGCAAAATCGATCCAAAGTAACGGTATGGTGTGGAATTACTTTTGATAGGATTGTGGGTCCCTTCATTCTTCGCGATACCATGAATGCCGAAAGGTACCTCGCTATGTTGAAAGATGAAATTTGGCCAATTATCAGTGCTTGGGAAAATATTGAAGATTTGATTTTCATGCAAGATGGAGCTCCTCCACACTTTGCTATTGTTGTTCGTGAATGGCTAAATGCTAAATTTCCTGGAAGATGGATGGGTCGTCGCGGTTCGCACGAATGGCCTGCCAGAAGTCCTGACTTAACACCCTGCGACTTTTTTCTCTGGGGTTGGCTGAAAGAGGAAGTCTACTCAACCAAACCAAGAAATTTGGAAGAACTTGAGGGGCGAATACGTGAAGTTATGACTTCCATCCCGCAAGAGTTTCTTGCGAAATCAGTTGATGCGATTCCTGGTCGACTTGAGAAGCTGGTGGCAAATAAAGGCGCCCATATTGAATTTTTAAATAAAAGCCCATGCATTATACTTCCTTCTCATATTCATTAATTTTAGAAATTATATTTTAAAAATAACTATAGTTTTTTTAAAATAGGGAGTTACTTTTCAATAAGCCCATGCATTATACTTCCTTCTCATATTCATTAATTGTAGAAATTATATTTTAAAAATAAACTATAGTTTTTTTAAAATAGGGAGTTACCTTTGTATATCATTCAGGTATATTCAATCGACTGACTGATGGAATGCATAGAATTAAATCTACTATCAAAATGTATGGAATTGCCGAGTACATTCCCCACGAAGGATATGTTGGCGGGGAAAATTTTGAACACGACATCGCTTTAGTAAGAGATCGCTTGGTGTTATGAAGACTATAAATTATGTGTTCAGTTATCAATGAACCATTAAAGTAATGAGTAATGGTACTACTTTTTTGAGATTCATAAAAAAGTGTTTAGAAAAAAACGTGGTCCGTTAACTCGGAATATGTCGAAATCTAGTATAAAGTCGACTTGATGATGTCTCGAGAAAATCGTAGATAAAAATTTCATGAATGGGAGTAGTCTCAATAAAAATTTCTATAAGTTAAAATAGTTCACTTACCAGATGAAAATCGGATTCGAGTTTAATTCAAAAATGGAGCCCACAGGTGTCAATCAGTTAACATTTGGATACTATATTCGTCCCATATGTCTCCCTTGCACTGGAACATGCTTGAAAAAAGAACAATTGGTCGATGACAATGGAGTACCATTGATAAACGATGAAATGAGCGCAGAACAGAAATGTTTGAAAGAAGGTTTCACTATTTTTTTGAATTTTTTTTTTGGGGATTATTTAATTATCAATGCGCCGAGTAAATCAATCCTTTTTGGCTTAGTGTTGTAATAAAATGAATATTTAACTCAACGGTGCGAGTTTTGTAAAAATTGAACTACATAAAACATTATCTTTATCATAATCTGTATTATTTGATTGATACAATATTTAAATAATTTTTTTTTTAAATCACTGTCAATCAAAATTGAGATTTTAAATTGCTAGTTAGAAATTTTAATCTGGCAAAAAGAATTTGATCGTTGTTTGGATAACATTTCATGTAATATGTATAATAGAGAAACTACTACATGACAATAACGCAAAAGTTGTCGCAACTGGATTTGGAAATATGAAACAGAGTGATACTCCAATAAAAAAAGGAGACTTGAACCTATCACAAAAACTACTACAAGCTTTGCTACAGATACAAAATAGAAGCATGTGAGTAATACCTTTTTAAATGAATGTGTTATTCAACGTCCAGAGCGATCAAAGGTTTGTACTTCCGGTCAACGAAATTGTATGCATTGTCTCGGCGAGGATGTCATGATTTTGAGTGTTTGTCACGGTTTTCAATAACTAATATAACAATGGGAACCCTAAAAGCCAACATTGTGAGTCAGTCCTGTAGACTCATAGCACAGGTATCTAAAAAACCAATCTTAAATAGTACCCTAGTACGCATATCATAATAAACTCGATTTACATAATTCTATCCACTTTACTTCCCGTAAAACATAATATACAATTCTTATCATCGCATCTACAGCATCACTATGCATTATATATCGCTGGACTTCAAAACTAGAGTTCGTCATTCACATGATCGTTTTGAATGATTTGCTCACTTTATACAAATGACCCCTTTGACAGAGATGCTTGTAACATATTAGTGCTTTATAAGTTTCTCGATTAATGCGGAAGATTGTAGAAACCAAAGCGCTCTGATTTAATGGGGTATTTTAATATTGTACATTTTGTGCAAAGTTTTGATGTTTTAGGGTAATTATTTCAAAGTTTGAGGTTCAAATTATTATCTCAATTAGGATTTCTTTTTTAACGTTGTATTTTATTCAGAACGGAAGTAACATTAAAAGTTGATTTTGCATTATTTCAAAATAAACTGAAAAATTGTTTTCGGAATAGACGTTTTCTGGATTTTTCTCGAGGAGTCCTGAAACAATTGGTACACTTTTTCCGTTCAACAAAATGTTATGTCGCTGTGTTACGGGTATTGTAAGCCTAATATCCACTCCTCAAGCGCAAAAAAGTCGACTATAGATTGAAATTTTTTATCAGAGACTAAACGATAACATTTATTGTTTGTGGAGGAGACCTAATTGTTTGGTCATTCTTCTCGCATCTGATAAATGATTTTTGATAAACAAACAAAAACATTTAAAAATTATTATTTAATATGGTCAGAAAAATGTCGACAATACTCTAAACGAATTCATTTCGATATTTTAAATTGTACAAAACGTCCGATCAAATATTCAGCTATCATGGACTGTTTTTGTATTGTATCTTCTTATAACAGACAATAAAATAAAAGATTTGAAAAGCGTCTAATTTTAACTTGATTCAGAGTTTTTGCATAATGAAAAGGGGTTCTGCAGACCTCAATCATTTTGCATATATTTCAGATGTGAAGAGATGGGAGAAGAGATGCGGAGAAAGGTAAATTCAACCACCTACAATCTAGACAAAATGTTTTGCTGCAAGTCTGGAAACAGAAATAGAAAAACTGATGCTTGCCAGGGAGATAGCGGCGGACCTGTTGTGCGAGAGGTAGGCAAGTTATTTTCATAATAGGCTACACTGGGTATTCAAATATTGTTGGCAATGAAGTCACATCTATGACAGAGATACAACAATATTCAGATAACAATGTTCAGTTGTATGCGCGGCGATTGGAATTGAAACGCGTATGTGTAAGTTTTTAGATTTTAGACATTTGTCATAAGTAACAAAACGCTTTCGCGAGAAATCATAACCTAATAAAATGAGCTTAATCATCAGCAAAACACCAGAGGGCAGGATAACAATATTTCTCGTGGACTGGAAAAAATGCTACGCGGACCCAACCGTTGATCTATATAATCACTAGTGAAGGTCTATGTCAAATTTCACAAGGTCATTTCTCCTCTGATTCAACGCTACAACTTTCTGGAAATATCGTTGATTAATGATAATAAACCAGTAAAACTAAAGGTGATCATAATGTTGAAAAAGCTGATGTATCCTTATTTTCGTCACGGTTTACCGAAAACTCATTTAAGACTTGGCATTATAAAAAACGATCAAGGAAACAAATCATAAATTACCCGGCTTTTAAGTGAAAACATAGATAAGGACCAAATAAAATTGTTCCTGGGGTCAGTTTCGAAGTGCTGACGACGCGGAAGAGAAACTTAAACAAAATATATTGGGTTATAACAATTATGTTACAACAATTAAGTGTACAAATAATTTTTAAAAAGGTTGTTGTTATTGCTGTTGAGTAGTCTGATGTTGTCGTAAGTTAAAAATATCGCTTTTTGTATCCAACGGGCGAATCGATTTCAAACTTTTATTACCTAAACATGATAATACATAAAAGATGAAGAATTACCAGAAGGCCCATCTTTTTTTTCATATTTCTTCTGAATAAACCAAGTTTTGATGTTTCTGATATTTCACTACTAAACCATTCACAGTACCAAATGTTCATATTGCATTCCAGGTAAAAAATGTTAAAACTGGAACTTCATGTTGGGTTCAGATAGGCATAGTAAGCTTTGGATATGGATGCGGGTCAAAGTATCCGGGATATTACACAAATGTTGCAAGATACATTCCTTGGATTCAGACAAATATTGGAGTTTAGGACAATAATTTGTTCTCAAAAGTTGAATTTACAAATAATTTACGGTCAGCTCTTAGGAATTTGTGCAAAAACATATTTCATAATAAAAACGAGTCTTCTATATTATGAGCTGACTATATATACAAAAATGTAAAATGTATTTTGTGAAATTGATAAAGAAACTTGTACAGGTAAAGTAATTTCAAGAAAAAAGTTGCATTTCAGTTTATTTGGCTTTGATTATTGTTATAGATTCTTCAATACATTGATTTGAACAGTATGAGATCAGGTTGACTTGGGTTAAGTGGAATATATTTTATAGGGCACATAACTATTGTGAAGCGTCCAAGATAACTGATAAATTTGGGTAAATAATACACAAACAAGAGTTCGAGTATTAAATAAAATTTTCTTCATTTTTGAGAAGATATTTAAAAAAATACACGGGTTTGCAAAAACATATCGTTGTTGTTTCCGCACTTTGCTCGTGTATCTATAAATAGGAAGGAGAAGATCAAATATATTGTTATGTAATAAACGTTGCAATATAATTATTGCCAGTACAGTAATTGTGTATCGATATACTATGGTTGTGCATTTATCAATAGTTTGAACTAATGCCGATTTTATTATCAATGTTATAACTGAAATATTAGCAGAATTTTTTTGTTTTAATTCGTGATTAGCGGATCACCAAATGCACGAGCCACATTGTGTAAGTAAGTCAGCGGTTCCCCATCCCTGCCTTATATCATTTGAACAGGTAAATGATAAAAAAATTTCGCACAAATGAAATTAATAAATCTAATTGTTGTAACGACTGTTCAATTCTTATTGTTCGTAAAGTTACGAGCAAACTCGCATGAAACTTTATGCTCTTTCTAGGTAAAGTAAAACATGAATATTCATTGATGAATCTATTCCTCTTAAAAATTTCCAAAACTGCCTATATTTGCTATAGCTATATGTTCTGTTCAAGAACCTCAGGCGAACGTTTTTTATTAAAAAGATTATTATCATGAGAACGAAGACCGAGGGTCATATATATTTATTTAAATTCTGCATCAGTGGGGAATGTACTGTGGCATCCAATGTACTGGTATTATAATGTGTATGCCAGAGCTGTCCAACATTTTTTGACAAAGGGCCACATTTAATTTACGAAAGATTGTGCGGGCCACTTATGTTCTAGTTTTCACTACACCGACTACAGATCAATAAAAAAAAAGCATCTGAATTATAAGAACAATGGAAATACGAAGATACAGTAAAGTTGAAAAAAAAAAGCATCTGAATTATAAGAACAATGGAAATACGAAGATACAGTAAAATTGAAAGTTTTAACCACGCATAGATATTTCAATCAAGTATGGCACTGCGTTTATCCAACAAGTTTGTCAATAGTAGGTACAGTGGACGATGAAGCAATGTGGAGTGGATTTTTCACGTGGCTGTCAGAAATTAGTGTCTCACGGGTGATTTTACATGTTCATCCGTTAAATATCTTGCTTGTAGAAATAAATGCCGTCAAATATTGAAGTCATAGAACTGCCTCTTCTAGCTTCGCAGAAAAAAAAAACAGGAAAACAGATTGATATACATGGCCGACGATAGAAATAAATTCAAACATGTCTCACTAGCAATAACGACCACAAATAAACACAAAAGTAGCTTTCAATAGCTAGGTGGTGCTTCTCGCGCGTATGAACAACAATTTTTTTATTATAGGTTTCAATAATGGCTCAGATTTGTGAAATACATTGGGATTCAAATAATACCGCAAGGGCCACTCGGAAACCGTCGGCGGGTCACATGTGGCCCGCGGGCCACGAGTTGGACGACCCTGGTGTATGCAATGTAATGTGTACTTACACATGCAAAATTGAAATCAGGACTGAGGCGATTTTTGTTATTCTATTTTATGAAATTCATGTGCGAAAACGCACTTTCGCATTTATCCCCGAAAGATGTTAATGATTGTTCATAAAGAGTTTGGCAGGAAATTCTACTCTTATTATATTAATCGATCTGTATTTAACCGCATTAGAGTCACTACCATCCTGCTTTATTGCTATTTCAGGTTTTTGAGTCGTTAATTTATGTCTACAAAACATCGTTTCCCAAACGACTTAGTATACGTGAAAATATTAAATTGCAAAGTGGTATCGACCCCTAGTACAGTACAGGGTGGTTTATCAACATTATCGGCTTCGGGGGCCCCAAAATTATTTTTTGCATTGTTGGCAGGCCACAATAGTGCCACGAATATCTAAACAGTGTATAATACAAATCAAATACCTCTATTGTGCAAACACATTTTTCATTATATATGTCATTTATTAAGCTAAAACATGCAAAAATCCACTAAAACGTACAAAAGTCTTTCTATAGATCTACATTTAGTGTAAAAACATTTCATACCGGAGAAAGTGCTTCCGCAATGGTGAGTGCTTTCAAACATCGATTGTGAATCTCTTTAGCAAACAAGATTTACTCCCAATATAGCCATTGGTGCTCATATTAAAAATTCGTTAAGCTAAGTATAAAGAGCTCTAATTTTAGACGCGAAGTCTCTATATCTCTTTCTTCCCTTACCCCTTCTCCTCTTGCGTGGAAAATGCAAGGGTGGGATATGTTGAAGAAGGAGCAGTGGGGAAGAAAAAAGAAGGGAATTGACGGTAAGAGGTAAGGATGGAAGTGGGAAGGAGAGAGTTTCGGGGTGGGCGAGTGACGGGAGGAGGTAGAGATGCAAGTGGAAAGGAGAAAGTGTTGGGGTGGGAGAGTGACAGACGGAGGTAAGAATACAAGGGAAGATTGAGGTGGGGGGCAGAATAGAGAGGGAATGAGTGTGGAGGAAAAGTGGGGTGTAAGAGTGCGGAAGAATTTTAAAAAAATTCGATTTTAAAGGCTACCTTTCTTTATTTCTTCAAAAAATTTGATCTAAAAATCTATATTAACAAATAACTCAAAATGAACAGAAAGGCTTGGTCAAGAATGGTCGACGACTGCCCTTGTTTTTTTTGGCTACCAGATTTTCAGTGTCGGGTGAAATAACAAAGAACTCAAAGGTGTTGGTTTTCAATTTCGGTTAAAATAAAGGTCTACTGATAACATAAGCTATGCTCAAATATGTGGACACAAAAAGCAAAACGATTTTTTTTTCATCATCAATTTCCTGAAAATCTTGCGCGTTAACCCACCTGTAGGTCGGTCGGAGTACCGGTACGGTGACTATCCCAGCTTATCCTGTAGCAATGTTACAAACGCGCATTTTCGGGACAAAATATGTACCACATATGCAAAACACTTGCACTATATGTAAGCTGTGGTAAATTCACTTATGGAAAAAACACGGTTGGTCATCTTTTAACCCGCGGGTCAGAGGTTTGTCATCTCTTTTCTAATATATAATTTAAGTTGCTCAATTTATCCAGGATTTAAACTTTTCGTTCTGTATTGCACACTGACTTATCAGTAAGAGACATTATTGACTGCTCCGCACTAATAGGATTTTTAAAGCATGCCTACAAAAATTAATTCCCCAACGTTCCATCGGTTCTAACTGTTACTATGATTTGAAAATACATATGTTACTTGACTCACAGTTGATGGGTTCTTGTAGGTAATAAACGGTGCTATCACCTAACTATGAAGTGGAGTGATGTCGTGTGATCCAATGTGCGAGTAACACCAGAAATACTCTAAATGTCCGATCCCAAATAGTTCATCCAACATTTGTTGCTTTGACTTTATTGCATTATCGCAGTAGCAATGAACATCGATGAGTCAATTTATTCCAGTAATTACACACAATTTAATCCCATTTATATCACTCCAAATATTGACTAAATAAATAACAACAAACATGAAAATATAACTTACAAAATAGCAAATTTCCAAGAGCTAAGCGACGGAGGTGCGCTGACTAAAACCACGATAAGGAGACGGCTGCGTGCTAGAGATTTCACAGATGCCAGATTATGGGTCAGAAATTACAGTCAAGTTGGCTCAATAGAATATATATTTGAGACTCCCCATTTATTAACCATGGGAATAAATTATTATTATCAAATTTTGGATATTAATCACTTCAATTAACCGAATATGAATGTACTACGCTTATAAAATTGAACGATTATCGCAAGGCTGGCATGAATGCGATAAATAGATATTACGAAACACTTTTCTGGAACACAATCTAGTGCCCATAATTGAAATGAGGAAACATTTCTTACAGTTCTTTTGACACGAACCGGAAGACATACAACGTCGTCGATAAGTTGCATTCTAAACGGTAAAGCGAAATCCTGAATATTAAATCACCGTTGTATATCAGAAAAAATATTGATATATAGACTAGTAACATCCACAGAATTTAAATAGTAAATAGTTGGGTAACTAACTTCTAGTACACATGATGGAAGAAGACTTGAAATCTGAAATAGGTCATCATCATAAATACCAAGTCAGAACTCACGAACCGACTTTGAATGTCGCCATGGCTATAAATATATGAACAACCATCTATGTAATTTGAACGGTATTGACAATAATATCTGGTATTTCTTATGATTATTTCGTAAAAATATTTTACAACGATTTCAGATTCCTCTTTGTTTCAATTATGATTTCTTTTTCTTTTTCGAAATTGTCGAAATATTGAGTTTATTTAGATTCAGTTGTTGGTTACATTGTTAAGCCACGTTGAGGTACATTTGACTGAATATATTAGGCTAAATTACGCAATAAAATAGTGGCGAACATTCATAATTTCATTGATATTTAACAATAATTCCATCTGATATCCATATAAATGTTCGGTGTGGGTTATGATTACTTAACAACGGCTATCAAGTGTACAAATGTAATATTAGTAACATAAAAAGAGAGCAGAATATATTAGAAAAAATCACATAACTATTACTTTTTTTGTTTTATTTAAAACATATCAGACACAATTCATAACCGACGATACAGAAGTATAGAATCCAGGCTGTTTATTTCCACATCCATTTACTCGACACGATGGATATTTGTTCCCATTTAAACATTCCTCTCTCGATTCCATTCATACTTTTTATTTAAACTTTTCTCATTTGGCTTACTCTCTCGATTCGATTTACGTTTTCCAAATTTTTGCCCTGATCATATATAACTCAACCTTAATCATTTGACGTTTTTTTTGACGTCATTCAGCTTTAATGGTGTCGCTGACACGATGACTTGATAGTCTTTCGCGGCTCCTCGTTAATTGCAGTCGAAACATTATGTGTCTGTTGTTTTCTTTTGCCTTGATTTACTATGCTTTTGTTGTTCATAATGTTTCTTGCACGACGAAAATAA